ATGGGCCAGATATGCATTCAATCACCTCTAACTGTGCTTAAACGTGACGCATGCCTCAGGGATAGATCAGCACCGATCACTTTATTTAATATATGTTATTTATACTGCATACATACTATATAGTATATATAACATGGCAAAATAGAGGATTTTTGTAAAAAAGAAAAAGAGTTGAGGGAACTACGAATCGAGATTTTTGATTGCCAGCTGATTTAGCCCATTCACCCTTGTCCTGGCATTTCTACAAATGACGATAATTTCTTGAACACTGGTGTATTTGGTGAGTTCAAGAATTTAAAAGTTTATAAAAGGCCCTTCTATTGGATCAGTTCTTACACTTTCGTCCTTAAGAGACTGAAAGCAAAATTAAGATTTCTAAAATTCCCAACACAAGCATGGTAACCTCAAAGGCCAATGGTCCAGTGAGAAATAGCACGATGTCCTGGCAGGCGAAATCCCACTTGTCCTTCAATCGCTGTCCTGCTTGAAATACGAGCCTCAGCAGAAAAGAAATGGTTGGGAAGTTACGTTCTGTTGGTTCGAGAAAATCAGGATCTCATCGTGGCCGAATAAAAAGCCTCTCTGTGATTGAAAGAAGATCTGTAGGTTCATTTCATTTCATAAAGCTTGTTATGAACAAAGATATTTTGGTCTAAACTTGAAGACGAGCATTACCTGCCCACCGCGTGCATTGAAGATCTTTCAATTTTTCCGTCACCACGGTTTTAGTCGTGGTTTCTGACCCAAATCAGCATGGTCACAGTTTCTTACAAGTGATCATTTATTTTAGTGGTTCGTCTCTACAAAGAACGATTGGGCAAGCTTTACCAGTGCTATTTGTAACTATTTTTGGACTAGATATCAAGTATCTCATAAGGAAAGTTCCCTTTATCGGCATGCCGATCAGTTTGGTTAGTAATGCAGACATTCTGTTACTCGTACTTTTTCTACTACATCCAAAGATATAATCGTTTTGACTTACAGTATTCATTCATCAGGTGTTCTTTCTCCTCCTAATTTACTCAATTCAGTCTTTGTAATAGTTTTCAGTGTTTTTTATGATTCTTTCCCTTATGAAGTCACGGTTTCCTGGAAAGGAACTATATTCTTGTGGTGTTTTTCCACTCAGTTTTTCACCATTCTCCTACTGATATCTTTATGCTTTTTACCTTCAGTATTTGTCATGAAACTTCAAGCAAGTCCATAAGACGAGAGGGATGTAGCCATGTGGTTAGAGATGACTTGCTTGAAATCCAAACGTTGTCGTTGTTTCCGTCCTGCGCTCTGGGCAACCCGATTCCTTCATCTCTTCGCGGTCGACAAATTGCTTTCCGACTTGTTTAGGAGGTTGAAAATACTGACTCGATACACCGATAGGAAATCGGAACTCATTGTACAGGCCAGATATTATGTGGTATACCAACAAGGTAGTTCTAAGAAAGATTTTGAAGGAGCTTTTTTTGAAAAAAACTAAGTTTTTTCCTTTTCCTTGTCCAGGTTTAATAACTTTTTGATCATTATAGTTAAGTAAATGGGTTTGTCCCACTTGGAGAATGTAAGGAAAGCCTCACTTTAAAACAGAAAGTAGTAACCGATGGCAACCTAGGATTCGAAATGCTCCATCATGGTTTCTGGAAGTTAATCCTTGACAATGAAATCGTGAAATTTACGTCTTTTAGGCTGTTTCATATTTTGTTTATCAGTTTTGGTAGTTTTGAGTCGATTGTAATTGATGTTTAACGTGTAGTATTTCTCAAAGTGTTCATCTTTGTAGCTAGCAGACCCATCCTCACGGTCGTGCGGGTTTTTCTTCCGTTAGTTTCATCACCTTATAATCGTGATCCATAGGGGTAGCCGGGTTAGTTTGGATGTTCTTCTGCGGCTTGATGAACTGTGATTTCTCTTCTTATTGACATAATGAATTCTGAATAATGGTCAAGCTTGATTTTCTCTAGAATTCCGAAGCACCCTACTAGGCTTTTCACAGATCTTAATGGTACACAGTTATCTACCTGTGTGGATCGAAATGAGGTTTCCTGGTCACTGTTCTTCTATGGAGGTAGCAACTCCTGAAGCGACAACGATCTTTGCAATTTTTTCGTGTCTACTATGCGGATCCCAGCACTTCTCACATTCGATTCGTTTCCTCGCCTCCATTGCCCACGAAGATCTTCCAACTTTTAGTTGTGGTTTCGGTTGTTGCTTGAGGATTTTCATTTCAGCTTGAATGTCGTTGAATGCTGGCGGAATCTCTATTCTCCGTGGAGCCTGGAGATAGCCGCGCTGGAGCATTCACACTTAGGTTACAGAGAGTGACTTTTTCCCGGACAAGTCCGGTACCAATTTCGCGATCCTGAAGAAATGAGTGGTTTAGTGAGCTCGGAGCGGGATCGAACCAGCACCGCTCTCGTGATGATCGTCACTGCCCCCATCATTTCGATTAGTCCACTCTTATTTAACATCTGTATTCGTAATCGTTATGTTTTCAAAATACCTCCATTCATATATCGATAGCCTATTACTCATCCTCATTTCCATCCAGAATTGATTTCTACACGTAATGGTTATTTATTCTGAAGCCCTCTGTCTTCATGGGAACTTCATTGCAATAGAAGCACAAGGTATAAATGGAGTACCGTGTATCTTTGCGAAATCAAATTGAAAAATCTAAGGAATAGTTTGCCCATTCCATCTGATTGATTTTGGGCTTGGAGAACGTGTGGATCGTTCGAGACCTGGTGAGTCATCAACGGTGTGCACTGAATGGTGCAGAAGACCTAGAGCTAATTACTTTAGCGCTAATGTTGCCATGGTTTTCAGCGCAATCCATACCAGAGCTTTAGAACATAATCTCGGAAGCAAAAGGTTCAGAGAAATCCTTCCAAAAGACCTTTAACATCTACAGCACGTCAAGGTCTTAACTTTCTCATCCGCCTGATTGATAATGTATCCAGTTATTTCAGGAGATATTTTTACGCTCTTCACTAGCTGATAGTGATGCCAACCTCCGTAGGAAGGGTCGCCCACAGAGTGCAAACGGTTGTCAATGGCCAATCAACATTAAAAACTATCCTGTATAAAAGAGCATTTCCAAGTGAGGCTACTTCATTCGAGCGGTGATACATTGAATTCAGTTCGATGCGATCACGAAGACCAACGTCGGAAGATCGAGCAACTGCGGGCAATCGGCTCTTTTTACTAACCTCGTTTTAGCTTATCAGTAAAGAAATACTTTTTAACTCTGGAGAGCCATAAATGAAAACGAAAAGTAGTTCCTTTGCACCACCAGTCTGCTTCAAAGCAAGGATCGACGTGCGACATTTCTGTTGTGAACTGGTTAGAATCTGGCACATATTTACTAATCTTGTGTGCTAGACATGACGCGCGTTTAACGCAGTGGTTAGAGGTACCTGTAATACACATGTAGTCGTTATTTCAGTCCCTTGCACTGGAAATGCCAAGTCTTCCACCTGGGTCCGCAGGATGGTACCAGATCTTTCTCGAAGGATAGAACCACTGAATCGATCTGATCGTTGCAAGTCATTCACCTCTACGATGCTTGTTGGAGTTGAATACGCAGTGCATCCCTAAACGGTAGATCTTACCGTTTTATCCATTAGACGTGACTCATTGCATCAGCTGAGAAGTTTTTTGTTAACATTTGGCAGAGTTTGAATGAGAAGACACCCACTTTGAGTAACTGGAACGGGGTGGCCGCTCAACAAGACAACCAGCTCCAAACCTCATACTGTCTGGAGTTTTCGCGTCAGACTTCAAGATTTACAAAACAACTGTAGCACTGGAATCATTGCTTGGGTTTTTTTTGACGAAAACCTATGGCTTATATCGTAAGAAGATTGAATCATTGCTTAGGTCTCTTTTTAATGAAAATGTATGGTTTATATCGTAAGAAAATTAAGGTGTTATCACAAAGTTCAGAAAGTCCCATTGAAAACGACAGCTTATATGTGAGTGACTGTGGTTTTCATGGGTTAATAAAACGATATTAAGGGCTTCCGTAGTGCAGTATGTAATACGCAAGCCACCGGCTAGGTTAATCGTGGTTCGATCTGGCCCGGCGTCCACGTGTTGCGAATATCTCAGCATCATTGTGGTGTTGTCATGTTTATTCTGAGAATTAGAAGACTTTTGTTCCATTCTTTTCTTTGAATTGTAGCTCAACTTTACGATAACAATGAGTTTACCTACTATTGATGGTAATAGTCTTGAGGCCTTTATTATATCTTCATATGTTGCACTGATGGGTTAGGTTACATGGGTTCTGCATGTCGTTTACGTATTGTAATAAATGAATAGGCTTTTATCTATCCAGAAGAATAGCTGAAAGTACTGCACGTAAGGTTGTCCTGCCCTCGTTAGCGCCCTTAGGTTTGACAAGTTTCAACATGAACCGGTAGTACTCTAGTGGCGTCCGGGGGAACAGTGAGTGATTCGCGACACTCTCCAAAGCCAGAAAAATCTTTTTAGTCAGATACTTCTTTACACTGGAATAAATCGATGAGTTATTCTTTCCATAGGCCCTCTAAAACGACACTTCTACTGAACATGAATGTGATCATTCTCTTTGTGGACTCATATAGTAGTATCGATTGATGCGGGCTTTTCACTGATCTGCATTATCGCCTTTATTACTTGTCCTCTCGTTGGTCTTTCAATGATTCGCGTTCGTTCATTCCTCTTACCAGTTAGTACTATCGACGTCAGTATTCAGGCAGATTTTCATTGAGCATTCCGCCAATCCTCTAGCACTGGTGACTTTGTGAGGACCATCATAACAAGTCATTCTTGCTGAAAAGTAATTCAGTACTTCTGGTCCATAGCACTGCCGTACAGTAGTTTTTGTTTACATACAGAACCCTGACCTCAGTCATATGAAAAAGGAAGACCTGATATGTGACTATAGGTGAGTGATGACAGAACTTTCTTCACAGCAAATCCACGAAACTACTAGGTATATTTTAAATATATTGAAGTTTAGAATGTCAACTGAACCAGATAGTCTTCGACGATCGAAGAGAAACAAATTCCACTTGGATGTGGCGGCAATGCATCTGGCTAATCCAGAACGACGACGTGCTCAACAGGTTCGTCTGATACACATAGCCCAGCTTTTCTTTGAAGTTCATGTTTCTTTCACATGCTCTGTGCTTATAGCATAACCACCAGCATATGCATGGAATATATGCATATGTAGATATATATATGCATGTACATATATATATATACATACACATACGCTCATGTACACATCCAGAGGTGCCTGTAGCGCAGTGGTCCATGGTGCCCTTCAATTCAATAAACATGTGGTATCGATCCCACGCCCAAGGCCCACCAAGCTTTCCATCCCGCCGGCGTCGGCAAATTGGTACCAGATTTATCTAGGAGGATAGCAGTACTGGCTCGATATATCGGTGATCCACCGCGATTGTATAGGCCATTGTATAGGCCAGATTTGCATTCAATAACCTCCAACGATGCTTGGTGAAGTGGAATGCATGGCGCATCCCTTGGGGATTGATCAACGCCGAGAGCTTTATCCATTATCCTTCATAGTACACATCTATGAACACACACTTATACACATCCGTCCATATCCATATATGGTATCGTCGTATGGGAACACCTGTACACTTATATACAAACAGAGCGTTCAGTGATGCTAAAGTTTCTTGAAGCATCAATGTATTTATTACAAATGACTGTTTAGTTGTGAACACTGCTACCAGTAACCACATATCTTGTAGTTTAAATATGCAGCACTTTCCAGTAACACCGTGACCGCACAAAATACAGTAGGAATTTGTGACGATTCTTTCAAAAATAGGCAAAATCTTCTTCCTCCGATGCTTTGAGTTTAAGCAGACTTTTATGATAGTCAGCCTTCAATAAATAAAGATAACCCGAATGGCGACCACATTGAACACTGCTTTGGTTGATTCCGTTGCCAGTAGTCGAACCAGGCTCTTGCTGGTGAGAGCCGTAAATCCTAACCACTAAACCACGCCGAATTGTTGCTTGAGTTCAGGTACGGTATACCAAATCTCTTGTAGAGCACTGTTCGGTTTTTTGTACAGAAGTCTCGTCTTTAATGTGCTGTTTGTCACTGATAGCGATGTGGGTTAGACAGCCAATTTTCAGTGATTTGCGTGGAGATTTTATATAATGTGCCTAGTTTCCGGAAAGCAAGTAGTGCGACTAATACAATCACATAAGCTCTTATAGATAGTAGAAAATAGCTGCCGGTAAAGTAATTTATTAGTTGTTGTGGATAAGAGATAAAAACCAGGTCAGTGCTGCTATCCTTCTTGTATAAGTCTGGTGTCAATTTCCCGAACCAGGATGGATGAACGGCGTGTGCAGTGCTGGGCACTCTAAACCATTGCGCTACATGCTCCCAATTGTTCTGGAAGGTTAAAATAGTGAAATATGTCATAGTAAACCTGGTATTTTTTGCTTTCTGTTTTTCTGCGTGTTGTCGGTGAAATTCAGTTCGCTAGAAGACCATTTATAACTGTCGGGGATCTGTATGATAGAAAGTTATGTGGTGGCGACTGCTGTTAATTATTCGGCTGGGAAGTTCATTTTCTATTGATTAACGGTGTCAAATTATACGGATCTTAAGAATATCGCTTTAAGGATCTTTGAAATGTTTCCCAATTTAATGTTTATCTATCGGAGACGAGCACTCATCGTTGAAGGGTCGTCTGACGCCGTCGCCTGATGTCGTTGCTTGTCGTACGTCGTCGTTGAGCCCTGCTGATAACACCAGTCCGGCATCGTCGGAACCGTCTGACGAGAAGTCAAGAAGAGTTCGAAGGACGCCGGCAAGAAATGCAAGCTATGTGTTCGAGGATTCAGATGATGATGTAAGAGCTATTGGAGGCGGAAAAACATTTATAGCATGGAATATGAACCATGTGATATTCTATTTGAACCTCAGGATTGCCGGAGAGGTCTGGAAGGTACGAATTTGTGCGTGAAATGTCCCGCTCGATTCGAGACACGTCCAGGACTTGCGAATCACTTTAAACTCCATTTTGGTGAGTCGTTTCAGTGCTTGGGTTACTAAAATTTATCCCATTTGCACGAATTCGTTAACGAAGCATGTTTACGTAGATCGGAGCCTTGTATGAGATAGAGCACAAGCCATCAAAAGCATTCGATGAGGGAAGAAATTGTAATGGTCGTGGTTGGTAATGAATCATTTCGTTCGAAATGGTACACATCGAGTAGTACTGTATAGATCCTATGGTCTGTTTTAAGTCTTTTTTCTTCGTACTGAAGAGTACGGGAGACCTGAAACTCCCGTTAAACATTCCTGTAACCCAAACTTTGCGTTCATCGCAGTAGCTGTGGTGTGTCTGGAAAAGGGTGCTAGTTAGAAAAGGGAGTAATTGTTGCCTGTATTCGTTCTCTCTATTCTGAATCATGTCGAACGTTAGAAAGCCGTGACACAATGGTGTCGATTATGAGTTGTATTTGATTCATGATGCTTCCGATACGACGTTTCTTTCAGGTGAGAAGCGAAAATTCGCGTGCGAATTATGCGATTTCTCGGCGACAACGCCGAAATCGTTGCGTCTTCATCAAAAAGTTCATGACCGTTTTGGTGTGGGCCCAGCGACATTTTCGGATCCGCAAGAGAATCAACCTCATATTGTGAGTTCTGAGAGAACAGTTCCTGTTCAGTTTACGTTTTCTTTTTACTGAATGCATTCTTCCATTTGTGGAAGTTTTCTTTCATAAATTTAGAGGTGTTTTTCCAAAAAATGTTAGGGACCATTGATTAGATTAGGAGCAGTAGCATACAGTACAGATGACTAGAAGTAATTTGGCTGATTAAGGATGTGCTAAATGGCGGTAACTTTGAAATTTCAATGATGCTGAGATATTTGCAAAACTCTGGACTGCAGGTGCATGCGGTGCCACAGCAAAGATTGATAGAACTAGCTGAGAGATAGGCGAAACAAAGGACCTGCATGGTGTGGTGGTGAACGCGTTACTCCCCGGAAAGGACAATAGCGCGTTCGTTCCCCACCGCATGCACCTACGGTCCGGAGTTTTGCAAATATCTCAGCATCTTAATCGTTTTATTTACTGCCTACTCTTTTTTAATGGCAGGGTATATTGCGAAATATAACTTCAATCAATAATTGAAGTTATCTCAGCATCATTGAAGTTATATTTCGCAGTATACCCTGCCATTAAAAGAGAGTAGGCACTAAATAATAAGAACTTTAAAATTGTCACTAACGCCTCATTACATGTCTTTAAACGATCTTAAACAGTTTTAATCGATCTTAAATATTCTACTTCCATGGACTTGTATTGTTTTGCCTAGAAACAACGTATTTATCTAAAAATGATTCTGTTCATAACTTGAATTGAGGCTTTAAATTTCATTGATGTTCAACATGTGAGAATTTCCTGGCTACACAGCTTTAACCTTCACCAATCTAACCGTTAACTCATTCAAGGGAAAACTCTTTAAAGTTGGCAAGCATTTTCAACTATTAAATTTCAGTTAACCAATGACAACTGTTCGTTTTAAACTGCTGAATAATTTCCATTCGAACTAAGATCGTTTAGATCGTCAGATGATCGTTTTTCTATGCTGCCAGGAGATGAGAGGAGGAGAAGTTCTTTCAGGAAGGCTTGCACTGTGAGATGTCCGTTGAATCTACGTTTGGCCTCAATTCGTCTCCACCGCAGTTGTCTCCTCCAATAGTGTACAGTGTGTGTCCATCACGAAGTCATACCGAGCTGGTGCCGAATTCTGAGCAATCTCAGTCACGACGAGCTGCTCTGACTTGCCCAATGACCCCTCCGCCAAATCTGGTTCGAGTCAATGCATCGCTTAATCCCGGTTTGTTCCGTTAGAAATGTATATATGGTCTTTTTGTTTCGTTTTATATCAGCTCTATAGGCTCTATTTCTTTTACTATAACGACATTGCAGGTCAGGAGTGCCGCAAAGAACCTCGGAAATGTCCCGAGTGTCCTTATTTAGCCAAAACAGCATCCAGTTTGAAAATTCATAACATCGGTCACGAGAAGCAATCTGGTTTCCTGTGTCCATTCTGCACGTTCAAGTAGGTGGTTATTATTTGTATATAACTTTGTTACCAGAATCTTTGAAAGTCCATGAGTCATCGATAGTACTTCATTTTTCTCTTGTATAGGTATCCGTTCGTACATCCGGTTTTTTTTCACTCCTCTCTTCATTTGACTTTAGATCTTCGTTTATTCATGATTTCGTTAAGTTCTGCTTCGTACTACTTACAAGCACTAAAATGGGGTCAGGTTGTTTCAACGTTAAGTTCTTCTTTTTGCTGAGAAGGTCAGCATCTCGGCTTTCTCTAAGTGTGAATAATCTGCAACTCACTACTACATTGACAGTACGGAAAAGCATGAATTTCTACCTTAAGATGACATTAGAGCTGAAGCGAAGTTTTGTAGTAGCAAGTTTTTGGCGCGTGTAGCAACCGGTCGGAGGCGCCTTGCATTATACATGAGATGGATCCTCGCGCCCCAGACTCACCAAGCCTTCCATCCCTCCGGGGTCCGCAAACGGGTACCAGGCTTGTCTGGAAGGATAATAGCACTGGCTCGATATATCGGTAGACCACCGCGCGTCATTGGAAAGGCCAAGTATGCATTCAGTTACCTCCAACGGTACTCTTTGAAGTCGAATGCATGGCGTATCCCTCAGGGATTGATCAACGCCGAGAGCTTTATCCTTTTATCCATTATTAGTCAAGTTTTTGAATCAGTTGTTTATCTAGCTTCTGCTTCAATGGGTGTGCGTTTCTTTTTTGCTAACCTTGAGACCTAAATTATGGAAATAGCGGTATGATGTGATTGCTAATAGCTTTTCATTTTAGAAGTGAATCAACTGTGTTCCTTAAGCGACATGTGGAAGTGCATGGATGTTCATCGTTCACATGGCCTCCGACTTATGTTGGTCTGTCACCGTGGAAGTCGCTTTTTGATCGTAATAGTGCATACACTAGATCCAGATCAATAATGGTGGGTTTTCATGAATGGGTCAGTATTGGCAATTTAATCTCGTGCAGTATATTTCAGTACAAGGGTTTTCAGAGTTTGTTGTTCCTTCGATGTGCGTCACAGCATGCTCCTATTGGAAGTCCGATGAGGTGGCCTTGCCCGATATTGGGATGTAATTTTTCTGCTGCCGTTGTCTCTCAACATGTAGTTCATCACATACAATCCCATGTTCCGGTTTGTTATTATTTCTATCTGAAACTATAATCTTGCCTTTCATCGTTTAGTTTCAGTTTCAAAAAACTTTGCTCTATCTCACAATCTGTCAAGTCTTAGAGTGGTTGGAAGATGGACTCTAATGTCTAAAACAGATCTTCGTTAAAGTTTTCTGGATGTGTTTTGTCTAGATCTCTAAAGAGTTATATCGAACGCGTTGCAAGAATTGTTGTAACTTTCGAAACAAATTGGAATCCAAAGATGCAAACTCGAGGAGTGTTGAGGATGGATCAGAACATATCATCTGTACTACAACAAACTTCTCCAAATTTTCATGCTCGTTTGTAGGCGTTATGAAGGGAACTTTCACTAGCTGTTCTATTGCCGCCTCTATCCCGCGCTTAAGGAGTGCTATTTATCTGAGTACGTTGGATTACATAGTAGTAACACATAACATGGGAAGAGTAGCGCAGTGGTTGTGATGCCGTTCACCACGTCCAAGGCGATGACTCTTTAGCACCCCAGGCTCACCAAACTTGAAAGTCACAGCCAACTCCCTGGCACGTCTATTCCAGGATTCCAGGAAGAATCAACTTGAACAGCATTGAACGACAGTCATAAAGAAGGCCGAAAGCAGTTAGAACTTACAGGAAAACCAGGAAATCCGTTGGTGATGAGTGCGACGAAGCGAATTGAATCCGAGGATTGCTGGAGTCCACATATGTGATATTCACTAGCTTAAAATAAAATGAAAAATACATGGTGGAAACTACCTTGTCATCCTATCAAATTCACATCACCACCTTCTTGAGGCGTAGTCCACTTTTGGAGATGGCTTTTGAGCTTTCATAAAACTGCGTTAGAAAAACTTCTTTACGCCTCTCGCCGTTAGTTTCGACAGAGTTAAGGGATGATACACGGGCGAGAAGATTTCTTTCTATAAGAGTATTTAGTACCCTAACGTTGAAGCCATTTACATGGTCGTCTTTATTCAAAGCAACTTTTTGGAATATGGGGCATTCCTGCTAAGTATAGAAGTGTGCGAATTTTGTATCATTCTATTTTCCCATTTTATGAATTATGTTTGTATCCAAGGCCGCGTGTGGCGCAGTGGTTGGAGGCGCCACTGCGACACACATGTGGGATCGATTTTCGCGCCCATGGCCCACCAAGCCTTTCATCCCTGCGGGGTCGGCATTTTTACCAAACTTGTCTGGCAGGATAACAGCACTGGCTCGCTACATCGATAGGCCGCCGCGAGTCATTGTAAAGGCCATATATGCATTGAATCACTTCTAGCGTTACTTCATGAAGTCGAATGCATGGCGCATTCCTCAGGGATTAATCAACGCTGAGAGCTCTATCATTTTATCATTTATATATCTATCCAATTTATTGCCAGCTATCTGGGTAGTATGCTTGGTCCTTATCTGTTTCGTTTTTAAGTGCGCAGGCACACGTCAGAATTACCATACATACACGTTGATGACTTTGTATATCTGCGAATATTACCTTGATCGCCGTTTTCACCAAAGCATGCATCTACTGGATGGATAGAAGCAGCTTAGTTCCGATCCATCATAAAAGAATTCATGTTTACGAACAAAAAAAATTCCATTTATTCGATGGGAGAATACAGCACGTTATCCACGCACATGCCAGCCGATTCCGATGGGGCATGAGGGCCACCTATCGGTACCCTTTTGCTAGAGAATATTAGACGGTGTCGACTCGAGTCACTCTGGCTTTAAAGAAGACGAAAACTTCGAAACGTTGGCCGAATAGAATTCTATAATAATCTCTTTTGAGCTTAGCAATCTAGGAAAAAATAAAGGGTACATTACAAAAAATGTGTGCTCTTCATACTCAGCGATTTGTAGATGAAGGGCTTCATTGAAGATCTCGGCCTACCTTTACTCAGCCAGTCGCCAGTCTTTTTACTCTAAAGGTGGCGTCGGCAGTCACTCGTCATTGTGTTTGTATTTCGCACAAAAATTCTTGCTTCTTACCATTTCGCGGCTTACTTAATCGTTGAATTTTGTACTCTATGAAGCATTGTTCTCGTTGGAATGTATCTAAACTCTGCACGCAAGAATCTCTGTCGTGTTCGTTTCAGGCGAAGCGTCGTTTGTTACTCCGTCACGCATGTTTAAAATGTGGTATTTCTATGGGAACTATCGGTGCGTTGCGAATCCATCGGATTGTTCGTCATACTCGCCGTCACCATCCGCGTACTCTTCTGTACTTCATTCGCGAAAGGCTGGGATACAGATATGTGTGAGCTACATTTTCTTCTTTATTGATTCAAAAGTCCATGACATTGGTCAACAACACGGTTGAGAGAAGGGCGAAACGGAGTACTCACATAGTGTAGCGGTGAACGCGTCAGCCTCCAGGAAGGGTAATAGCGTGTTTCCGCCGCAGACAGTGGTCCGGAGACATTTCACGTAATACCTTGCCATTAAAAAAGAGTAGGCAGTAAATAAAAAGTGACGACACTGTTTTTAATATTTAGAAACTTAAGATCTATTAGCTTACAAGTGAAGTAAGGTAGATTTAAAACAGCGTTTATGTTGAATGTCAACGTCTTTCTTGTTCATCCGTCACTCAACAAATTTCAGGAGAAATTTCGTAAAGCCAAAATTTGAGATCGTTGACGACTTTATGCCAAAACTCGAACCACATCATGAGAACTTAGATGAGAAATGGGACGCACAAAATGTTAAGTTAGAGGCAGATGATAGTATGATGATGGCAAATGCGGTCTCGTTTTATGCTGGAAGGTTGTTTGTTGTTGTTAACATCTTTCATGATCTTATTTCCATCTGTGAACTGGTGCTTGATGCTTTATGTTCAGTGCCAACCATGTTCCAAAGGGTAACGAGTTTACCTGCGCCCTATGCCCTTATACTACCTCAACTCGATTGACTCTTCAACGACATGAAACAAAACACCATGTGAAGGAGATTTACCAGGTTTATTCCAGTTTTCATTGGTTGAAATGATGGGTGATTGGTGTTTGTCTTTCTTAGATAAGTTTTTTTTCCTTGGCCCACTCTCTATTAACCTAGTCATTGGTTGATAATCCACTGCTTCTCCTTAATGAGCAAACACGAGGTTGGTATTATAGAATTTGTTAGCATACAATAGCTAATGTTTCTGTGGTTTCGCCCTCTACAGAACCAGGAGAAGTCAAATTGGAATACTGACTTCATTGAGCTCTGAAGAAGACGAAACCGCCGAAACATGAGCTAACGTATGCTAACAAATTCTGTAATACCAACCTCGTGCTTGCTCATTGAAAAAACAGAGGTTTTTTGCACTTTTCCTATGCCGTATCTCAAGAATCTTCAACCTGGCTATTTTTCTTTGCAGACACATTACATATAATTTCGTTTCGATTCCCTTTGAGAATTCATGCACAACGATAGGATTTCAGCGTGTGGAGGCGCCCTGAAATGCAAATGGGATCGATCCTCACACCAAAGGCTCACCAAGCCTTCCATCCCTCCGGGGTCGGCAAATTGGTACCAGATATGTCTGGGAGGATATCAGCACTAGCTCTTTCCATCGATGGGCTACCGCGAGTCATTGTAAAGGCCAGATATGCATTCAGTCACCGCCAACGATACTTGATGAAGTCGAATGCATGGTTCAACGCCGAGAGCTCCATTCTTTATATTCTTTATACGATGTAGAAGAGTGGAATGAGGTATATAGTGAGCAGCAAAGAAAAGACAGCTGCTGTTTCAATTCTATCCGACTATTTTCATTCTTTTAGAACTATGAACACCGTAGTATTTCTGTCTGCCTAGAGCAATTTGCTTATATTTTGAAAGGATTGTCATATTCGCCTTTATTAGATTTATGTAATTAACAAAATGTGGTACATAAATTACCATATGAGTCCACATAGGGATTGTTCTGTTGATAACAAGGTTGATTTCAGTGTGCGCATTGCTCTTTTTCGGGGCGAACTCTCGAGTGTATCGAGAAGCATTCGCGACTTCATCAAAAACTGCCCATCGACGCTTCAGCTGGGTCGAGTTCGCCGTCTCCTCAGATTCACTTGCCACCTGTGGTGTTGCTTCCGGTGACTACAGTTCCTTCACTTATTCCACTATCGAATTCTGGAGCATCTGTGATAACAGTTTCCCTAACTACCGGACCAGGGGGAGAAAAGATTGCATTACCTGCCAGTACTGCTTTACCCATTACATTTGCCACTATTGTCGGATCAACAATTGTTCCATCGTCCTCAATGGAGTCAGTTACATCATATTCTCAACAACAGCAAACAAAATGTCCACCACGTCGCTCAGCAACGGAATCATCATTGCGATTTATTGGGGTGAGACTCATACTGTTAAAGCTCTATAAGTTGTCTCTTTTCTATGGATTTAATAGTCGATGAAAATTTAGTCCGATGGTGTGAAAAGACGGCGCTGCCTCCTTTGTCCATATATGTCGAAGTTCTCATGCGATATGCGTTCTCACATGGAAATGCATACAATGAATGCTCGGTTCAAATGTTCCCAGTGTTCGTACAGTACGAAGCGAGCAGTCAGCTTACGATCACACATTGCTCTACACACAGAGGACAATGCCAATAAAGCAGTAAGTCTTTCTTCGTCTTCATTTGAGTAGTTCTCATTTCGGTCACCGCCAGTGAGTATCGGATATGCCCATCTCCTGCCTTTCTGCTCGTCTATGAAGTGTGTTTGGAACTTTTCTTCAATCTCTTGGCTACACTTGAGACCTTTTTTTGTAGTCTTCCGTTGGTTGACACGTATGATTTTAGAAAAGAAGCAAAGCATTGAACATAGTGGTCCAAAAAGTGCTTATTGGAGTCAAACGCGGTCGAGGATTTTCCGGGTTTTACACTTGTGCACATTGTCCGTTTGTCACAAGAATATGTGCCGAACTGTGGAAACATGCCAGGTAAACGTTTTTTGTGACATATTCTGTTAATTTTAAATTTACATCGGTCTTTGTTTTCGTATGGGCCTTACATCGTAAATACGTTCATTGGTTTTGGACAAAATTCGTATGTCTCATACTGGTTTGAAGTCATTCCTAGTGGTCTTTAGTGATCTCCTTTAAAAAATCTATTGAGTTTCCAGTTTAAGTACTGCTGTCGACATTGTGTAGCACTAACCGATCAGCGGAAGATGTGAGCCTATGGTGGCTCATACCGCACTACATATCTGCAACAATATTAATCGTGTGGTTCTGTTTTTACATGTGCACTTGTTTTGGGTTCTTATTACTAATATCCACGTTCAACAGATTGTGGACGGTGTGGAATTTTATAAACAAGGTGTAGATCTTGCTGTTCTGGAAAGATGAGTTTCTGATTTCCTACAACCCGTTATATTCGCTTTTTTCCCACTTTTTCGTCAAAGTTTCATTAATGCACCCGTGACGACTCATCTCGTTCGATGACCTCGGAGAGAATATCGGATTTCATATCGATCTCGGCTCGTCCACAGTTAAAACGCATCGCTTTTACCGCTTAATGAATGATTGTGGTTTCCGGGCAAACATTTTTCTGATGACGAAGTAGTTGAAAAGTTGAGAATTTAACGAGGCTGTAGAAGAGACCTTTGTTTTATTGGTTTGGGGATATATATGTCACATATTTATTGCATGTTACCATGGCCATGTGGCTTTTAGTATTGGAAGTCTGTTTTATAACCCCATTCCATGCGATGTTGGTGACTTGTGATTTTTCATGTAGTCACTGAGATAGTTCTGGTTCATCCTCTTCGACAATGAGGATATTGGACTGTATCACAACAGGAAGGATGGAAGCGATTCCAATGATTAGTCCGTCCACCAATCCGGCGTGATCCAGCAGACGGACGGAATCTGAAGCTTACCAGTGTTTAACAGTTTTGTAGCAGTGTTGGCTTTACGATAAGTACCGGTAACTTCAATAGCTGGGGAACTTGGGGACTTAAGAGATTAACGTACTTATAGAAGAGAATTTATTCTGTCGTTGATTTTGCGGACAGGGGTTCATATCTTCTTCCTCGTAAACTAAGGAAGGTAAACCTGGTGGGACAAGACCTCTAGGTCCTAATGGCTTTATCTTTACGTCAGTAAAGTCCAATCCGAGTTAGAATCCTCGTTTTAAGCTGTGTGACCCCATCACTACCGATCGCATTTGAAGTCAGTGCATGTGAACGCGAAAGGATAAAATTAAGTTATGTTAGAATTAGTCTTTAATTAATTTAAGTTTTTTTTAGTTTTTAATTTTTTTTATTTTTTTAATGTTAGAATTCGGTAACGATAATCGAAATACCACCGAGTAATCTATGGCGCCAGCTAGTTCGTAACCGCCTATGCGACCGTCTATGTGCAACCCAAAATTGCATAATTTGCCCCAATGGTAGAGACGGTGACTGCATGAGTTCGGGTACAGTCTATCTGATCTCTTGTAAAGCGTGCGGGGACGAATACGTTGGCGAAACGGGTAGACCACTCTGCGTACGTATAAAATAACACCTAGTCGGCAAACGTAAACCAAATACCCCACTAGGCACGCATAGGTCTCAGAGACATAAAGGGGAGGACTTTGAAGTACGGGTCACGATCCTCGCACAGGAATCGAGAACACAAGAGCGCAAAACTCTCGAGGCGTTCTGGATTAATTGCAGAAATCCGAAAATGAACCACAGGGAGGAATGCCTCATTATCACGCCTGATATTGGACGGTATATAAACCTGCTATTCTGATGGGAGGGGCACATTACGCTTCCATGTGAATTTTGTGCGGTCGATCTTCACGCGACATACTCAGTGGAAGACTCATAGAAAGCGGTGGGTGTGCAGAGCTATGCTCAATGTGATTGAAATCTTGGTTTAGCGTTTTCTCTGTTTGGTTATGGAGGTGTTTGGCGGAATGGATTTCTGTCAAGTTGACCCTTCCAGGCTCTGAGGAGGGCGAAATCCGCCGAAACGTCAGCTTGTGCGTAAATAAAGAAATAAAATAGCACCTCGTGTTTGCTGAACAGAAGTAGAAAGATAAGTTATGTCAGTAAAAGTGGAAATCTTATTGGTCAAGGAAGATCACAGGATTCAACAGTATTTTTTGTCTTTATCATTCTTTTAAGTTTAAAATCATGAAGGAACATGTCGAGCTAAATGAGACCTGTGAGTGTACAGCACCTAACAATATTTTTTACATGCAAAAACGTATTGTTTTCAGTGATAAACGATGAAAAATTAAACTTTTACCTCTGATGTGAAAACTTTGAATGTGATACCATTTAGACGTCATATGGGAGCGTCAAGGCGATTCAATTGTTCGCTTTGTTCGTTTTCATCAATCAGGTTAGAGGTCATGGAACTGCACCAACTCCTTCATCCTGAGGGATTGGCTTTCATTCGAGTAGGCCTAGATATAGTTTTTATCTCTTTGTTTGCGATTTTTGGGGAATTTGACTGCCTGAAACGTAGAGTATACTCCTAAGGAACTATAGTGATTGTGCAACTAGTACCGTATCCATTCAGCAACACCCAACAGACGATGAGGACTCTTCATCAACACCTTTGAGTCCAACATTTGTCGAACTGAAGTGCGAGTGAGTTTCATGCACAAAGCAGTTCTACTGGTTTTTAAGCTTAAGCTAAGCCTAGCATTATGACGTCTTCATGAGGAAGATCGAATTTTTCAGTGTTTGTCCATTTAAAACAACCATCTATCAAAGAATGTGGAATCATAAGCAGAAACATAAAAAGGCTTCAAAGTTTGTATGCACTAAGTGCACATTCAGGTAGTCGATTATCTGTTGATAATGTGAAGATTACGATCTTATCTGTCATGTTTATCACACGTTTTAGCACCGGGTCTGAGTCATGTTTGGAGGATCATATGATTGTGCATAGTGAGTCTAGCAGTGTTGTTGACACAGGTGCTGCTCCTAGCCCTTCACCGTCAGCAGATCTCTTGCAAAAATCTTGTAGCGAGAAGTCTGTAAGTCCTGATTTTCAGGAAACTCCAATACTTAATGAGAGGCAAGTGCATGTTTGTCTTACAGTTAGTGGATATGGCAATTTTTAAAACATCTCCTTTTAGTGACAGGTGTTACCAGGATCCATTGAGTTCATCGACGGAAGTGAGCGCAACTAAAAATGATGTGAAGAATCCAATAACGGTTAGGCCAGAATATGAACAAGCATTACGCCCTACTAAGGAGGTGCTACCGGTTCTAAAATGTGATCGCAAAACTATAGGTATAATAATGTACAAATTTTTCCTATTTGTTCTCTATAGTGTTATTCGATTTTGATTTTCATTCCTGGTTCAGGTGGCTACCAATGTTCAGACTGTCCTTTCATAGATTCTGATAAGATGATCTTTGATTTGCATCGTGAAATGCACGGTGGTCGAGCCCGTGCATTCGCTTGTAATCTTTGTAACTACAGGTTAGTTACAGGTTTATATATGTTTATATATGTTGTAGTTTTGTCATTTAACTCTTTTTAGATCGAACTTTTATTTTTTCTAAGTTATAGTGTAGTCACTTTTAATTTACTTTCTATTCTTTTTTCATGGCAGGGTATGACTTAAAATAAAACCACAATGGTGCTGAGTTATTTGCACTCCGGACCGTAGGTGTTTGTAGTAGGCATCGAACCTCGTTATTAGCCTTTCCGCGGGCTGCCGTATTCACCACCACACCTTGCATGTCCTTTGTTTTGCCTTTCCGTCAGCAGTTTAGTCCGGTTAATAACGAGGCTCGATCCTCGCCGCAGATACCTGCGGTCCAGAATTTTGCAAATATCTTAGTATCATTGTCTTTAAACCTTTTTTGGCCTTTAGTACTCTTTGATTCTTAATTTTGTCTTTTATTTAAAGTTCCTTCCGTTTATCGACAGGCACCATAACATTTGTCACACTCATTACCCATCTTTATTATGACTAACAATCGCCCCATTTTGTTGTGGAGTGAAAGGTTTTTGCTCGCAACTGATAGTGAAACTGCTTGATCATTCTATTGTCGGTGAAATTCTTTCCATAAGAAATTTCCTTTTTCAGTTGCTTCGCTCCGGAGGCTCTTCATTCGCATCTTTCTTTGCATTTGTCCTCGCTTGTTCCAGCGGGTACAGCATCTCAAAAGTGGAGTTTAATGTGAAATGGGGTTTTTATCTATCTTAACCTTAAATTGCCTCACAGTTTTGCAAACACAGAGAAAATCTGTAAGTGGATGATGATGATAGGGTGCTGGAGAACTTTTAAAAATTCTGCTTAGATTGGAGGTGTATGCCTTCTTGAAGTTTTATACGGTTCTTTCTGCTTTAATCCAATTTTTTATATTTTTAGGAAGCGTGGTTTGGGGCGACGTGGTTTCCAACCGTCTGATCCGATTCCTCTGGGTGCAAAACACTTTGCTTGTACCCAGTGCTCTTTCCGAACTGTCAATGAAACAACATTTGTACAACATCGACAGCAGCATGCGCAGGTCTTTTATTTCAGGGTTTTCTAACGTTTGCTCCACTATCTTTTAAGTTTCTACTTTTTATGATCTCAGAATACTGTCAATCATTTCTAGCACATCCAACAGCGCTTAGTAACGCAAATGAAGAGGGCTGCCTCTCAACAGGAGGAAGACAGTAAACGATGCTCGAAAGTGAAACGAGTTGCGAGGAAAAGCGACAAACATGTTGATTTTGAAGTGTTTTTTGTTTTTCAATGTTTTTATTTTTATCTCATTTTATTCTTTTTCAGCATGCTTGTCTACAATGCACTTTTCGATGTGATACTTCAGTAGCTTTCTCGAGACATCTTGAAATGCATTCCCAAAATGCTCTTTTCAAATGCCGGTTCGTCCCTCTATTCATAGCCTAATGACTGTCCTATCATTGTTTTGAAATGGTTGTTAAGAATTTGTGACTATTCTGCGAATACCAAGAATATAGTTGATTACCACGAGCAGAATCATCATCTTGGTCACACACTTACTGATCTCCGCAAAAGTGCTATTTTGGCGCCTGATATTGTTCAGGTGGGTTATGGAGGTTTTGGCTTACTCTTACTACGTATATCCGTTTTCTTTCTGATTACATATTGTTGTTATTTGTTAATCGATTGTTCAGTTGGATGTCACCGCTTCGAACGAAGAACGAGCTCGGTTTGGTGGCCAAGATTTACGATGCAGAAGATGTCATTTTAGTACGTTAGACCTGTCAGCCTATACAAAACATTGGGAGCAGAATCACAGAGATACACCAGAGGACCGCGAAGTTGCGGGCGAGCTTCGCATGAAGTTGGTACCGCCAAGTAGTATTCTGACAACTGCATAAGGTTCTATACTTCGTGAGATTCTATCAGTCCAAGGCTTACACTTACGGTTTTTGTCGAATAGCAGTTGTGGAATATTTGATTGCTTGTCCGACAGGTCAGTGTTCTATTTATATCGCTGTGATACCAGTGAGAATTAGCGCAAGCTCTGCTGTCTTGTGTTGTCGTTGTTGTTTCATCTCAGTGTGATCCAGAGTTTATTGAGATTCATGTAGTCGCACAACAAGTGCAATTGGTTTAGACAGCGCGATCAGTGTCATCGTATCTTGACCGAATCATAAACTCGGGTTTTCAAACTTCGTAGGTGTTTTAATTTCCTCTTCCACTAATGCGTTCAAGTGACGTATACTTTCAATGCACCGATTAGAGTTTGTAATACAGATTTATTTCATATAGTTAAAAAGCTGCTGTATTAATAGATCTTTATATCCATCGACTGTGGTGAGATTCTATCTTCTACTGAGTATCGATGAGATGTCTAGTCTTTCGCATACTTTAGTGCGTATAGCAATCTTGATTGGTCTTTCGTGTGTATGCTGTGTGTGTGTCGGTATGTGTATGTGTATGTGTACGGTATGTATATTTACATCTGTGTGTGCGCATGTGTGTATTTCTATGTGTATCACCTTTCATTTGTCCTTTTTGTCAAGATTGTTAACCATACAACGCGGCTCTTCTCTTCATGCGCGCTCAGCCGGGTTTGATAGTAGAGAACATGTTAATTGATCGATTGGTCGCTTGATCGATTTCGCCATTATTTCCTGACTGACGTAGTACACACTTTATTGCAACAAATTTCCGTGCTATTGACTCAGACCTGTTGTGCTCAATGAGAAAATCGTAGGCTCAGTAATCTGGAAATACGTTTACTATGTGCTTGAAGATGTGCTATGAATGTGAAAATCTAATAAAGTCAGTCATGAGTTCCGTTTTTCCTCGCTGGTGCTATTTCTCTTAGGATTTCTTATGCATACACATCCTCCGAAATACTGTGATACCACTTTCGCGCAGAGGAATCGACACATCAAGGCGGAAGGGAAAATCGGAAGAGCACGGTACTGAAGACATTACACAACTTTCTGACCATTGAGATGATGGTGCTGGATAGTGGTTCCTGTGGAGTCACAGTTTCCCATTTTAATTTGGCTGAGAGCGTTCTTGTAGATGAAATTAGTATTGTCTAGAAAAAGTACCTCCTTATTCAAAACAATGTCGCGCTGTTAAGATTTCATTACAGATGGCTTATCTTACAGATTTCGCCACTGATCACCTTCAATTTTAGTTGGGGAAACTGAGTCCTTCTGAGTAGGCACTGTAAGTAAGTAAATGGAAGTCGAAGACTGCTGCTTGCTTCATTTCTGAAGAAACGGATGTACAGTCGCATTTTAGAGTTATCGAACTTATCTGCCATAATATGTGATAGTAAATACTTTTAAAAAAGGATAAAGCTGTCGGCGTTGATCAATTCGTGAGGGATGCGCCATGCAATCGACTTCATTAAGAATCGTTAGAGATGACTGAATGCACATTAACTTGGGGTGGTCTACCGATGTAACGAGCCAGTGCTGCTGTCCTTCGAGACAGGTTTGGTACTAATTTGCCGAGCCCAGAGAGATGGAGGGCTTGATAAGCCTGGGGCGCCCGGATCGATCCCATGTGTATTACAAAGCACCTTTAATCACTGTGTTACAGGTGTCCATAGTAGTAAATAGTTGGCCATATCTATTATAGTACGCAATGAATCAGCCAGGAAAGTGTTATTGTTGGCTCGAGTATTAGTATTACAATCTTGATGACAGATTGAATGTTTATGTAGATCTGTTCTGAAGGCAGGATATTGTCAAAAGGTTTCTTGTGTATACAATCAGTCCTATCCTGAGGAAAGTGTTGCCTTTCTGGCTTCGTTAAAATGGGTGAAATATAGTTATGAGAACATTCAGTTCTACTCTTATCCACAAAAGACTGTCCTTAAAAACGTAGACTGGCTAAGAACGATAATTTAACCCATCGATGCTAACGCCTTGTTTTGCGTGGCAGTCAAATGCGACCACAACTAATTTCATGTCGCTTCGGACTTGCTGATTTTTCGACAATAGACAATAATTAGATAAGCAAGGAATGTGATGAGCTGACAGCTTACAGAAGTATAGATGTCTTCGCTCTATCGGTCTAAGGGTGTGTATGCTGTGTAGATATCTTCGCTTTATCGCTCTACGGATATGTATGCTGTTATTTACTACATGTTGTACCATACATAACCCAACCAACCACACTCATTTCTACATTTGGAAGTATTTCGAAACTTGATTCCACTTTTATACCTCTTATGCCATCCCACCCCATAAGATAACCATGGCTCACTGCGGGGATTGGAATTGAAACGACATTCGATTATCAGTCAAATTACCGGCTAATGAATTTGTTGGGAAAAAACTTTTCTTGCGTATTCCAAGATGCAACACAGAGCTTAAGTTGACGCCCAACATCTCAGTTGAAGAAACCTCCGAGTTAACGGTAAAATTGCCACCAAGAAAACTCTGTGCGAGAAAATAAACGGTCGAGAAGAGAATGGACCACATGTGATTTACCTCGTCCAGTTCCCTCGGCAACGCATGCACGACGTATAGTTTTCTTCGCCAGCAATGGGTTAAATTCCAGAACACAATGTCTGGCCTTTTGTGTTCGATTTGGTTCAGGATGATAACATGGTAACAAAAACTGCACATTAGCCACAGTTATCGACAATTTGTTGTAGTTGTCGAGACTTCAGTAGATTCGGACCAGCATATTATCTGAAGTCAACCATTAAGGTATTATGCTGAGAAAAAAAACAACGGCTTTGAAACTTTGAAATGCTATAGGTCGACCCAAACACAACTTTACAAGTCATGACATGAACCATCAGAATGTACAACCTTTTCTCAACAAGAAACAAATTGAAGTTCTGAAAACGATGAAAACTCCAGAAAGATTTTCAGCAGCACTCTGGCTGTTTCTAGTGAGCCTGAAATACCGGTGTGGCGACTATGGAGGAGCTGTTAAAAAATGAGGGACATTTTAAGCTCTCTGGAAAGAGTGTGATAATAATCAATACTTCTGATGAACTCACCCTAACATCGAAACTCAGGGTCTGATGAAGCAAGCCAGGACTAAGTGCCCGTCATCCTGAATGAGACAAGAAAACACTGGCCATTACCACTGTCCATTCACCTTGTGCCTGCTAACATAATACCGACTGCTGCAGGGTCGATCATCTGTTGAAAAACAAACTATTATCAACGAATACCACCCTGTATAAAACAGCACTGCCGGTGAGCATGCCTCATTCGTGCGGTGTTCTGCTGAGGAAGATTCGTTTCAGTTCGACTACGAAGACGCCACATCGAGAAGAACAACTGTGGACCAGCGACTCGGGTCATTGGCTCTGACGAAGACGAAGACGTCGAAACGTTAGCCGAATAAACCTTATTAACCTCATGTAAGCTCAACAATTTAAAGCTGCACATTAAAGTACACGTAAAGGAGAACTGTTGCTCAGACCCTTAGGAGTGTTTGCGGCGTTATCTTACCTTCATCGACAGCCCTTATCTTCATCTTCATCAACAATAACTTCGCCAAAAACTTCTATTCTTTTGAGCAAACAATGGATTGAATCGATAAGCGATGTCTAAGCTAAAACTGCAAGTCGAAACGATGACGAGAGTTAGAGCGTTCTAGATGGACTTAGAGAAGTCGAACGCAGAAAACCATCCTTATCTAAAGTTATTACTGAAAAAGGGAGCAAGAACGATTAGAATTAGTTCAGTATGATCGATTGTACCCACGCGATAGTGATACTCAGTGAAGCACCTCATAAGCACAATAGAGTACTTCGTCCCATCTTCATCGATTTAAAAATTGGCTTCGATTGCTAAACAGAAAACCCGTTATGAAAAGACAAACAACCACATAGTCTTTGCCCAGTAGACAGAGATCATTTAAAAACTATACACTACTAACTGAACTAATTGAACTGGATCATTCTAAGTGATTAGTGTAAAAGGATGAAGCTCTCGGTTTTGATCAATCACTGAGAGATGTGCCATTCATTCGACTTCATTAAGAACCGTTGAAGGTGATTGAATGCATATCTGGCCTTTACAATGACTCGCCATGGTCTACAGATGTATGAAGGCAGTGTTGCTGTCATCCTCCCAGACAAGTCTGGTAGCAATCCGCCCTCGGAGAGATAGAGGGTTTGGTAAACCTGGCGCGCAGCGATCGATCACATTTGCATTGCAAGACGCCTCCGACCACTGCGCTACACCAGCCCTTTACGAAATTAGTATAGGCAAAAGTGAAGGTATCCAAAAAAGTGGCATCATGTCGACGAAATTGCTTACCACCACTTTTCAGAACGTCATACGAAAGTTGGGATGGGATAACATGGGACCAAAAATCGACGTTAGGTATGTGCACATTCTTCGAATTTCTGATGGTACTACTTTATAATAATAGTAAGCATTAACTACAATAGTAAGCATTAACCAAATCGTAACGAATGCTGGTCAATTTCCATAGCGCCTATCGAATGACCAGCCATCGATTAAATCTCAACAAGACTATGTTCATGAGAAACGGACTCATTTCTGGAACCCTATTCATGCTCACCTCCCAACGGTTTACTGTCTCATCGTGGCTGGGAGGTGTTCCTGGGTGTCGGACTGCGATGTACAACGGGGGATTCGTCCACCTGGCAGGGTCTCAGGGCCAAGCTGAGTCCGGCGTTTCCATCAGGAAGCCTAGCTAAGAGTAAACCAACACCAGAACCCATCACTGTCCTGATACCAAAGTCGCATGGTAGCAAATCTCCCTCTGATCACAAGGACTGCGACTGCCTGTCGTGGTGACGACCTGGGGCAGACTATGGCCGTCCCCGGGATTCTAGGGAACCACAATGGCTAAACCAGAAAATCTCCTAAAAATGGTGATTATGCTGGGGCCTGCACAACTAGTGAGGACGGGCCGTTCAAGTATCAAGTATTAGGTATTCATGATCGAAGGATGGACATCTCCGAGTATTCCAGCTATGTATGCGTGAGTCAAGAAACCAACATAATGAGCGACTTTGCAATAAAGCCAAGTAGAATGCAAAGAGCTGATTAAGGAACTCAAAAGTGCATCGAGTATATAGTAAATGAAACAAAAAAAAAAACCGCCTCCGTAACCACTTTTTGGATCCTACGACTGTTTCAAATTCATCGTATTATTACAAATACCGGCCACCATAGGAAGAAAGAAGGGACAGCGTTATCAAGCGAAACATCGTCAACGTGATGCTACGAGGATCTCGTGCCATGCAAGTAAGACATGGAATCAGATGTTTAGGCAAACATCAACTATTAAAAACCATCTTCTCAACGGTTTACCGCCTCATCATGGCTGGGATGTACTCCTGGGTGTCGGGCTACGATGCATAGCGGGGATCTATTCCCCCGGCAGAGTCTCCCAAGCTGAAAAGGAGCCCAGCGTTTCCATTAGGAAGCCTAGCTAAGAGTAAACCAATACCACGATCCATCACTGTCCTGATATCAAAGTCGCATGGTAGCAAATCTCCCTCTGATCCACAAGGGCTGCGACTGCCCGTCGTGGTGAAGACCTGGGTAGATTTTGGCCAGGATGATCTCAGGATTTCAGGGAACCACAATGACTTAACCAGCAAATCTCCGAAAAGTGAAGATTATGCTGGGACTTGCACAACCAGTGAGGACGGGCCATTCAAGTATTCAAGTATTAAGTATTAGAATCCATAGACGTTATTCTGTATCAAAAACCGAAAATGATGAATGTCGGACAAGGACTGCTTTCCACTGTCGAACATTGAGCTATAGCCTCTAGTGAGTGGCTTCTGTGGGATTTTAAGCGCGTAGTAAAAAGATTCAACAGCTAGACTTCATAGCGAAGACCATAGAAGCGAAATATAAAAGTGCTTCTCGAGTTTGCACACTGATTAGAACCAATTTACCCACTGCACCATCTAACAAGGAAAAAGGCAAGCTTTGCTAGCACCCACTAGATCTAAACCAGAGGATGGGCGATATATGTTGCACAGCAACAATGGAAGCAGCAAATATTTGTTCGGAAATATTTGTGGGGATCAAAACAACAAAAACAGAGTTTATTTTCAAATTAACCGTATCAATATTAACGTTATGGGGCTGATAGCACAGTGATAGTGACGCCGATCATCACGAGCATGGTGCTGGTTCGATCCCGCTCCGGACCCGCGAAGTCGTCATCCTTTAAGGATAGAGAAATTGGCACCAAAGTTGTCTAGTAAAGGTTCCCTCTCTGCAGTCAGAGTGGGGACGCTTCAGCTCGATTTTCTCAGGGCACCAGGGAGAATCGATTCAACCAGCATTCAGCGACATTCATGACGAAAGGAAAACCCTCACACAGCAGTAGAACCGAAAGCGGAATTTTTAAGAATTTCGTGAATGATGGATGCCAGGAAACGAATCGAATGCCAGAACTGCTGACATTCACACAGTTGATGACTGGTCATCTAAAGTAAAAAAAAATGTCAACGCATCGTAATACACTAACTTTTGCTTTCCACTTCAAAAATGCAAATATTACTTTTCCTTTATAATCTTAACCCTTTTATTTGCTGCCTTTGTCCTTTTAATGGCAGGGTATGTTGCGAAATATAACTCGTATATAATGCAGAGATCAAGATCAAGATCAATAGAACTAGCTGAGAGACAGTCAAAACGAAGAGACCCGGATGGTGTAGTGGTGAAGTGCGCTACTCCCCGGAAAGGACAATAACGCGCGTTCGTTCCCCACCGCATACACCTGCGGTCCGGAGTTTTGCAAATATCTCAGCATTATATACGGCTTTTCCTTTATTTTTGTACGACCCGTCTTCACGTTTACTGTGCCGATCCCATCACTTCTTATATTCGATTCGTTTCCTCACCTCCATCATCCACGAAGATCCTCGAAATTTCTACGCGTGGTTTCGGCTGCTTCTTGAGGAATTTTATTTCATCTTAAATGTCGTGGAATGTTGGTAGAGTCGATTCTCCCTGGAGTCCTGAGATAGGCGGGCTGAAGCGTTCGTAACTGGACTGCACAAAGTGATTTTTTCCTAAACAAGTCCGGCAGCAATTTTCCGACCTCGAAGGGATGAGAGGCTTGGTGAGCCCGCAGCGGGATCGAACCAACACTGTGTTCGTGATGACCGGTATCACTACTACTGTGCTAACCACTCCCTAAATATTCTCTTACGTCCAATAAACACTGATCTTGCGGACTACTAATTGTTAATTTTGTGTAGGTGGGAAATATGGTAACATTATTGAATTGATCAATAAAAACACTTTGACGCTCGGATACTAGCATCTTCACTTCAACAAGATTTATCTCCACTTAAATTTGACACTATTTTGCACCAAATTCATAGTCAATAATAATGATAAAAAGTCGAGAAAAAAAGAATGTTTATACGTGATATGAAAAATGGAAAGCAAATGGCAGTCATAAGGAGGCCTCACTGGAAAATAAATGAGACTCTTACATTCTTAGCTTTGTGAGTTGAAATAGGACGTACAAATCCATCATGTCTTACTAACATCTGGCAGGTTGTCCACCTCTTCGTCAAGCCCTTCAACAAGTTCTATGTCAGAATAGTAATCCCGCTCTCCTTTATTCTCATCGACCTTAACATTACGGTATAATATCGTTCTGCCAGAACAGAAACTTCATCCTAGGAAAACATCCAGTGTGCTCTGTTAGGTAAAAAGAAGAAAAACTACCTCCGAGTGAGATGACCCAGAACTACGGTTGTCTGTGCAGCCACTGGACTTCGGTGAACCTTGCTCATATGATTCTAAAACTGTTGGCCGATGAATATCACCACGTCAGAATGATGAGATAAATGGTTGACAGCAGATATGCAAAACCGAAAAAATACCAGGAGAATTATGTTGTTGTCGCTCAGAGTTCACATAAGAGCCACGTTCCTCTTCAGATTCTTCAGATGACGAACTATCTGATACAGCACTCTCACCTGAAAATGAGTAAAAAATACATTCGCCTACTACTATTCATCCGACTACAAATACATGGAGATGAACAACGGGAGATTTGAATTCATAATTGGCCGATATACAGTATCTTGATCGATAAACTCGTTCTAAGACAACATTCCCCTGTACATACCGTAGTACAGTTGTTTACAATTACTATATTGCAACTGTCTACAAGTTCCTCAGTGTTACTTCTTCGGTAAGTACTACATTTAATCTACTTGTACATCTAAAAACGATGAAAAACAAAGGTCTCGGCGTTGATCAATCCCTGGGGGATACACCATGCATTCGACTTAATTAAGCATCGTTGGAGGTAAGTGAATGCATATCTGGCCTTTACAATGACTCGCGGTGGCCTACCGATGTATCGAACCAGTGCTGTTATCCTCCTAGACAAGTTTGGCACCAATTCGCCGATCCCAGAACGATGGAAGGCTGCTTGATGAGCCAAGAGTCTGGAGATCGATTCCATGTGTACTGCACGGCGCCTCCGACCACCGCGTTACACGCGCCCCTATGTACGTCTATATAGCTAACAATTCTAATTTCACAAAAATACCTTTCAGTATGCGCGAAATTCGTCTTGTCGACATGCAGTCGAGTTCGTCGGCGACAAGCAAGATAACATCGTCTTTGGAACGACCCTAGAACATCAACTAATTGTAATCACAGCATATACTAATGAAGAAATTAAACAACAGTACGATCCATGTAATTTCGAGTTAATTACAGTCTCAGCATAACCGGATTCAATGCCGACTGTGCTCCTCAGGTCAATATCGTGTGGTGTGGTGGTGAACGCGTTAGCCCCCGGAAAAGGTAAGAGCGTGTTCGACCCTCACCGCAGACACATGCTGTCCGGAATTTTGCAAATATATCAGCATCATTGTGCTTGTATTCCACATAATACTTTGCTACGAAAAACTGTAGTAGGCAGTAAATAGAAAGTTAACATTAGTAAGCACACATTTCTTCGCTCATTGTGACCTCTACAGATTGAAATGAAACCAAAGACGAGAAGACACATGTTTACTTATTTTATTACGATACAACTAAACCTCACAAATAGCCCTCCCGGTTTTCCTTTGTCAAAGCTCGCGCCTTGAATGACGCGGGTGAAAAGCGGGATCTAGCTCAGTAGGCCAAAAACATTATCATTTCGTTATAATTTTAAATGGGAAGAAGAGCCTGAACATGTCTTTAGTGCAATCAGGCCAATCCTCTACTTGGATATTTGGTTGGCACGTGCTCACTGGTTGCGCGGGTCCCAGTACAATTTCTATTTTCACGGAGTTTTGCTGTTTTAGCTTTTGTGATTCCCTGGAATCCCGAGGTCAGTCTAGCCAAAGTCTTCCCTAGGTCGTCACCACTAGAGGAATTCGTCGCGGTCGTTGATCAGTGGGAAATTTGCCACCATGCGACTTTGATACCAGGACGGTGGTGGATCATGGCATTGGTTTACTCTTAGCCTGGCTTCCTGATAGAAACGCTGGACTCCTCAACTTGGGAGATCCTTCTGGGGAAATGAATCCCCACGATGTACATCGCAGCCCGACATCCAGGAACACCTCCCAGCCACGATAAGGCGGTAAACCGTTGGGAGGAATTCTCAGCTATGAGTTTAAATCCTCGCGCTATTTTTCAGAAAATTACAGTTACCAGATGAAATCGTCCGCTCGTCAATGTGTTCGTAAGCACGGCCATACTTCTTCAACGATGTTCACAAACTGGGAATGGTAAATGTAAGAAAAGATCATACCTGCAAACATGGAGGTAACATCGACTCCACATTTTTCCATCCAACAAAACGAACTGCGGCAGCAGCTAGGGTTTCATGATTAGATATCATTGAAGAAAGAGGAGCTGAAACAGTTTCACCGAACAATTAGTAACAGCACTAAGTTAAACGAGTACGGGTAACTAATAACTGCACTAAGTAGTAAATGCTCTCACCCAAGTAGGAACTAACCCACCCGAAACATCAAAATGTTCTAGAGAAGGTGACTCAGAACGGTACCTACAATAATATGTTGGTTCATTGAAGTGGTTCGGTTTAGCGGACCTACCCGTGGGAATGTTTCGACGTCAGCTTCGAATTCGACCGCGATTTACGGACCTTAAAACTGATTATGGATCAGAAGACAGATGCATAGAACTTCCAAGGAAACTCACCCTCTTCTTTGACATGACGCCCCGGCGGATAAACCTTCTGATCGAGGTACTACGTTTCCAAGGGGCGTTGTTTCTTATTGGAGCACGGAATCCTGAGGTCAGTAAGACCCAGACATTCAAATTAGTAGTTAGACGATCATTCCGACGATTTACCACCTCATCGTTGCTGGGAGGTGTTCTTGGGTGTCAGGCTGCGATGTACAGCAAGGAATTCGTCCCCGAAGCAGAGCCTCCTAAATCGGTAAGGAGTCCGGCGTTTCAATCTGGAATCCCAGCTAAGAGTAAACCAATACCGGGATCCACCACCGTCCTGGTATCAAAGTAGTCGCATAATGGCAAATCTTCCTCTAATCCATAAGGGCGGCGAATGCCTGTGGTGGTGGCGACCTGGGGCAGACTTTGGCTACGCTGAACTTGGGACTCCGGAGAACCACAACGGCTAGGGTAGCAAAACTCCGAAGGAAAGTATTCTGGGTCCGCAAAGCCAGTGAAGACGAACTATCCACGTATACAAGTATGTTAGACGATACAATCTAAATAAAGATTCTTCAATTTGGGCACAACCATGCTTTCTAACTGTAGAACTTCTGTATCATTTTTAATCCCCATGCTTGTTTTTGAATGTAGCAGCAATATCCGCATAACTTCCGCCTCATTCGTACACATCGCTTAATATCACTAAAATCAATCCGACATCTTCACCTCGTTTTGGTAGAGTTGGACTTGTGGAAATGCAAGTGGAGGTGGATTCGGCCACAGGAAGAAGTGGAAGAATACTGATCGACATGGGACAAGAAACATTCATTTCTCTCCTACGATATGATATAAGGAAGCAGTAACTAAAACGTTTGAGTGCACACCTCTTTTCCATCGTCGTTCTCCCACCCCGCAAAAAGAAGTTCTTCATTGCTGTCTTTCACTTTTCCTATCATCTCTATTCATTAAATTGTAGGAAAATAGTAAGAGTTAAATTTAGCGAACCAGATCAATATTGAACGATAACCCAGATTACCTACACATTTCATTAACCGTTAGGTGGACAACGCTTTATTACTTGAACACGATGGAGTAGGATAGACAACCGTATTTAAAGTACCAACAATAAGATCAATAAAATCAATAGAATATCAACAAATCAACATCAATAAACTCAACAAGCAAAGATAGAAAGAGATAAAAGATGTGTAAGATTTCATCAACATTCAGCGACGTCCTCAGGATGATAGTAATCTCCAATCAATCTGAAGATATCACAAGATCGACATATGTCCGATTTTCCAAAATGTTCGAAAGTCATAGAATTACGTGTAGTGTACATTTAACTAAATATTGAGGATGGACATATTAGTTTTTGATTTGTACTTAACATATAACAGGCGCGTGTAGTATAATGCTGGGAGGCGCCCTACAATGCTCACGGGATCGATTCCAGTGCTTCAGTTAACCAATCTTTCCATCCCTACGCGGGGCAGGCAAGTTGGTACCAGACTTGCCTGGCAGGATAGCAGCACTGGCTTGGTAGATCAGTAGGCCACCGCGAGTCATTGTAAAGGCCAGATATGCATTCACTCACCTCCAACGATGCTTAATGAAGTCAAATGCATGGTGGACCTCTCAGGGAATGATCAACGCCGAGAGCTTTATCTTATTTATATAAACATATGCGAAATAACAAAACTAAGAACTCTAAAGCTTACTGTATTCAAAAATTTGAGAAATTGTTAAGATCCCAATTTTGGAAACACTAGCATACCTGTAGACATGAGACGGTAGGATAGATGCGGAATTGGAAATATACAGCGTGATAAGAGATGCTGGAACAACATCGTAGGTTGGTCGAATCACTTCAACAAGACCAGAAAATAACGCCGAATAGGAGAATGGAAGGCCAGGTGCTTTATTCATATTCACCAACATTTCATCTGGCACAAAGAATGGAGTTATCTGAATATAATTTCACAATGTATAAATTCCATCTCGACGAGTTTTAAGGATTTTAAGTGACATATGCGCCTAAGCAAACCTTATAGAAGGGGATGAGCACGTAAACGGGAACGTTATGTCGCTGAGCGGACAGCGAGATTGATAGGCCACCAGCTGGTACGAGACATGAACCATCCGGAAACACAGCCGCGCCAGGTAATAGCACATAAAATTACGAAATACTAAGATGAAATTTTAATGAGGAAACATTAGATCTTCAAAAAAAAAGACAGCCAGGACAACCGGGAGAGATTTAGCACTTGTGTTCATAGTAGGAAAAAAAATATCCACAAAGATGGTATCACTACATGTACTAATGTATGAGGGCTACCGTAAAGCAATCATCAATATGAAAAAAGAGTAATAGACCTCTCTGGAATGAAATACGTAAGTCATGCTCGATATCAACAAGACGGAAACGAACCGCTACCCTCGTATTGAAAATCTTCTCAGAAAGAAAGTCCAGACTCGAACCAAAACACTGTTCACTGGGAACAACCGAAAAACAATTCGGTTCTTTACCACTTGAACCCTAATCCTCCATTTGAGGCGTCTAACCTATGATTAGACACGATGTTATGGAGCAGAATTGAATTCACCAGTATTATACAACATTCATAAAGACGAAATCCTCAAGCTTCAGCTGAAACAACACACGAAATGCTCGAAGACCATTGTGGATGATGAATGCTGAGAGAAATGAATCGAATGCAAAATTGCTCGGAACCGCATAGTAGATGTGATGACGGGTCATGTAAGAAAAATATCCAGCTCACTCCACATAATGAAAGGGAGGTCTCGCATAGCGCAGTGGCTAGCGGCGCCGAGCAATAAGCATGGGTTCGATCCCGCGCCTCAGACTCACCAAGCCCGCCATCCCTCCACTGTCAGTAAACTGTCTTGGAGGATAACAGCAGCACCGACTCCATACATTGATGTCGCGTCTTGTCGAAGGTGAATACGGGGTGAGACGAATTGAATGCAAAAAGTGACCGGATTCCCACAATAAATGTGATGAGGGATAATGTAAAAAAATTGACACATACGCACTGTGCGTGCGTAAACACATTCATGGATGCGCCTGAGTTCTTGTTGCATAAGGAAAACCTCCCATTATGTTATTGATAAGGTGCGTAGAATTCTGCCATCAACAAATAAACCAAAGAGGTAACACCATCCTTATTTCAGTACGCTGTCAAATAACAAACTCTGGAGATACAGAATAGCGAAGTGACCAGAGTCTGAGTCAAACCGACGATTGTGTAGGATGTGAAACACCACTGCACTTCGTAATAATCAAAACACTCATACACATTACTTGATGCCGACTTGAGACAACAAATGACCATTGAAAATACACTAATTGCTTCATCCAGAGCAGCGAAAAATGTTATTTTCCAGCTTAAGGTGAACTCCAAGGAACTTAAAGTTAAGCAAGATGCACAGAATGAACAAGTAGAGACGGTGATTGCATAAGTTCGTATGGTTTATCTGATCTCTCATGAAAACTACTAGACCGTTGTGCGTCTGTACAAAGGAGTATCTAGTCGGTAGGCTTAAATTAAACCAAATACTCCACTAGACAGGACACATAGAAATAAGGGAGAGGCTTTTGAAGTAGAAGTGACCATGCTCGCAAAAGAAATCTGAAACTTCTGCGCATAAAACTCTCAAGGAAAAAACTCGAACATATTCCAAGGGTCGAAAAATGTACCGTGAATGGGAATGCTCTGTTGTCACGCATGACCTCACTATCTCAAACTGATACTTTAAGGTAAGGAAGGGCATTTTACCCATCCATGTGAACTTTGTGGGACTAGCCTCCACCAGTAATAAGTCAATTCCTCATAGAAAACGGTACGTTTATGAAGAAACTGAATCCAATACAACTGAAGTTTAGGTTTGGAGTTTTTCTGTTGAGATTGTAGAGTTCCTTGGCCGGCTCGATTGCAGTCAAGTTGACCTTTCCAGGTTTCGAGGAAAGAAAAATCCGTAGAAACGTCAGCTATTGTGAATAACTAGTGTAATAGCAGCATTGTGCTTACTCATCAAGAAAGCAGTGAATTGTTGATCAATGCTGAAGCTAATAGAAAATAGATCTTGGAAAATAGAATAAGTGTTAACAACTTCGCAACAACTCAACATCATTTTGAAATACTATCAAGGACAACCATAATGATGTTGAAATATTTTTAAAACTTGAACTACGCGCTAAATCGAACCACGATTACCCTTTCCGAGGCCATTGCTTTGTGTGTCTCTCAGCTAGTTTCCTAACATCAAGGACAGTTCGAAAGAACAAAACAATTATTAACTGCCTATTAAATTAATAAACTAGATCAAAGTCAATCTTTTTAATGATTCCTACTTACCTTAGTGGCTTCGCACATTCTAGTCCCAACATCACACAATTGTATGGGTGACGCGAAATCTGGCGTCGTATCGGCTTCGCTCTTGTGTACAACATTCATCACCTTGAATAATGGTTCTTAACCGCTAAGCAATAGCATCATAAAGAGTAGAGCCAATACTACCTATAAAAGATTCAAAAAAAGCCCACGTTGCGTTTCCTAGTTTTTCGAACAGTGTCAAGAAACGCAGACCAGGTCACAGAGCCAGAATAACTGTGAACTATTAGAACATCCTGTGGATTTATGAGGTCAATTGCTCGAGTGCAAATATTCTCACAGCATAGTGTCATTTCAGATGCGACCTAAAGTTTAATAAAAACTGAATAAGAAGTAGAAACTTCGCCGACCACTTCACCACTTCAACTTCAGTCGAAAGAAATAATAAGGTCATCTAAAAATACCTCATTTATGGCCTGTATGAGTCCTTTTTTAAGCTTCTTTCCACTAGCTGCCCCATTTCTATCGTCGGTCTTCGTCCACAACTTGTTTAGTGAATCAAAGGCAGAAATGGGTTCTCCTGTAACGAAACTGATATAAAGATGTAGCTATTTAGTCACTTTGACAGAAATCTGCCATTTATGCTAAAGAAGAACCCGACCCATAATTAGCCGAATATTCTCATCACGGGCGAGTTTTGTAACCATCATGAGAACGTTTCGAATCACCAACTCAGTCGGTTCCACAGCACAAATCCATCTGCCGTGGAAGGTCAATACATCAAGCAATTCACTAAATTTACTATTCTGAACTAAAGAATTTAGATCCTAGAATAGCACTTTTGGAAAAATAAGGTCCTTCTGGGCGCATGCGGCGCAGTGGTTGGAGGCGTCCTGCAACACACAAGTGGAATCGACTCCCGCGCCCTAGGACGGTCAAGCCTTCGATCCCTCCGGGGTTGGCAAATTATTACCACACTTGTCTGGGAGAGCAACAGCACTGGCTCAATACATCGGTGGACCACCGCGAGTCATTGTAAAGGCCAGATATGCATTCAATCACCTCAAACGATGCTTAATCAGGCCGGGTGCATGGCACATCTTTCAGGGATTGATCAACGCCATAAGCTTCATCTTTTTTTATCCTTTAAGGTCCTTCTCAACAGAACAGGACGATAACAGGGAAACGCCCACACTTAACGATGACAATGAATTCAAAACCTACGTAATAGTCTCGTACTTTTCGTAAACCACAACTCTCCTTAGAAAATGCAGTGTTTCTAGAGCGACATCTAGCGAAGAGTGAGGAATTGGCCTAAAAATATCCAGATGAAAACCAAATTATATCGATAATACGTAGTTCCTCATACGGTTACTCATAACGAGAACCTTAATTAAAGCTTTCCAAAAAAAGATGGAGAATCAGAAACCCACAACGCTAGCCACTGCGGAAGTTAATGGGTGGTGCATCGACTTGAGAACACAACTCACTAGGTCTGGATGTATGTGCGTAAAAGCATTTGTATTAAACAATGTTCTACACTTTTGATACTACTGAGTAGATATACGGTGTACTGCGAGGATATTTGTCCCCCCGGCAGGGTCTCCCAAGCTGAGAAGTCCGCGGCTTCCATCAGGGAAGCCTAGGTAATAAATCAACACCAGGACCCACCACCATCATGGAATCAAACCAGCCGCACAATGACAAATCTCCCTCTGGTCCACAAAGGAGGCGACTGCCTGCGGTGGTGACGATCTGGGACAGACTTTGGTCAGGCTGACCTCGGGACTCCATGAAAACATCATGGCTAAACTAGCTAAACTCCGAAAATGGAGATTATGCTGGGGCGCACACAACCAGTGAAGATGGACCATCCAAGTATCTAAGTACTAAGTGGCTAAGTTGATCTCGAAGCAATTCGATGCTCATAATTACCACAACTTCAGTATGTGAAAACTAGTTAACCATTAGCGGAATGAAAAGTCCAACCGGGGCTGTATTTAGGTCGGAAACAATGTACAAGACGAATCCGATACAAAAATGAGAGCATAGAAATAGTGCATATCTCGAAAATGTCACTGTGCTTCAAAACTCCTTGTTTAAGCCATTCAACACCGCTGAAACCAGCTTTCAGTACTAACCGTTGATCTTCCAGTAATACATTCTGTTATATTTCACTCTTAAAACTCTTGGTCTAAACGATCAGGTACCGATGAAATCAGCTTTCAGCACCATATTTTGGCACAGGCCCCTTTGGTAAATAATGACATGCTACTCAATAAAGGATTAACTAAGTGGTCTATCATAGTTAGAAGGACAACTGCTCATTATATCGCGATGAATGTAAGTGAACAAATGCTGTTAATCTAGAAGATTTGGGAGGTTTGTGGTCAAAATGTTACGTTCACGTTCCGATAAAGTGTTGTTAAAGGTTAAACTCATTTCTCCGCCGTAAAAACTGTAGTAAGTAATTTGGTAAAAAAAACGAACTATAAAAGTTAGAAACGAATAGATTTACTTTTTGTGTAACAGAGTCACAAAGTTCCTTCGATGTTCCTCTAAATCTTTGGAGATTTCCATGTTCATCGTAAAACCATAAACTAAGCCGGTTAATCGTAGCCTGAAAGTATCAAAGGTGAAATGAGTCAATTTTCAAAACTACTTAGGATACTGAGAATGAAAGAAATAACTGAAACGAAAGTAGCAAGGTCTTCTTAGAAAGTTAAGAAAGGGGCAGAACAGAAAGGAAGAGAAAAGGAAAGAAGAATAGGTGATAAATAAGTGGTACAAGTCGTCAAAAAAGGAAGAAAGTTTAAAACACCGCTTCAAACAGCCTAAAAACAAACAACCACTCTGCCCTAAACTCACTTTTCAGCTCAGAACACAGTTCTCATTTGAGCTAGCTTTTCTCTTATAAGTTTCGGAGAAATTATAATTTGAGTGGTCTATTTACTCCTCTGAATTCAATTCACCGATAGAAATGTTCTTTTAATGGACCTCTTAATCTGTAGAGTTTTTGGTTATCATCATTGGAATTATTGTTTTATAGGGAATTCGTGGTAACGTTGACCTCAGATCCGTGCAGATTGAGATGTTCGTTTTCAAAAGATTCCTTTTTTCGCAGTTGGAAAGTGAACAAGTCCCCGGTGGGAGTATAGAATGGGAAGGTATTCTATCAAAGCCACCTTGTAGTGAGTCACAATTTTGTTCAAACGCCGGCAGAGGATAGCCAATCGAAGAATAACTTCGTGTGTGGCTACCGATAAATTCCTTAACTTACTTGCATACTTGGAAGGCCCCTCTTCACTGGTTGTGTGGGGTCCAGCGTAATTCCCACTATCCGTAGATTTGCTGGTTTAGCTATTGTGGTTCCCTGAAGTCCTGAAGTCAGCCTGGCCAAAGTCTGCCCAGGTCGTCACCACCACAAGCAGTCGTCGCCCTTGTGGATCAGAGGGAGATTTGCCACCATGCGACTGGTTTGGCACCTGGACCGTGGTAGATTCTGGTATTGGTTTACTTTTAGCTGAGCTTCCTGATGGAAACGCTGGACTCTTTCTCAGCTTGGAAGGCACCGCTGGGTGGATGAAACAGCTGCTCTACATCGGACCCCGACACCCACAAGTACCGCTAAGCCACGAAAAGGCGTTAAACCGTTGGGAGGATTCTTCGCTAACCAACGGGGAATATTTGGTTGGAATGTGTACATCGGCACTATAATAAGTAGCGCTTTCCATTTGTACTCCCGCTGATGGCAAGTGTGCCGAGCATTGGTTAGAGGTGCTCTGCAGTACACAGTGGTTCAATCGCTGGTTCGATCCCGCGCTGCGAGCACGTCAGGCCTTCCATCTTCATTTCTCACTTCTCATTTCAGATATTTGGTATACTGGATTGGCAAATTAGTACCAAACTTCTCTAAATGGCTAAAAACATGTATGAGTTATCCAAGAAATCGAGGCGAACATAAAACATGGACCTAATGCATCGGTAGGCCACTGCTTATCGCTGTATAGGCCTGAGATCTATTTAGTCACCTCTATGATGCATGTTAAAGTCGAAGAAATGGCGAATCCCGCAGTAATTGGTCAATCATGGAAGCTTTATCATTTATCATTTTATCCCGGCAATGAACTGTAGTTGTTCCTCCTTGTAAGGGTTATACGCGAAACTCACACGAGGATAATGCTCCGGTATATCGTAGAGGGGTTTGTATTTATTAGGACTCGTGTGGCGCAGTGGTCGAAAGCGCCCTGCAGTATACTCGGGATCGATCCCCGCGCTCAAGGCTCAACACGCTCTCCATTTCTGTAGGTTCGGCAAACTGGTGCCAAACTTTTCTGGGAGGTTATCAGCACTGGTTCAATACATCGGTAGTCCACTGCGAGTCATTGCAAAGGACATTTATGCATTCAATCACCCGACGATGCTTAATGAAGTCGAATGCATGGCGCATCTCTCAAGGATTAATCAACACCGAGAGCTTTATCCTTTACTCTTATCGTAGAGAGGAACCGATTTCTGTAGTGTTAGACAGACGAAACTAGAGAAGACTTCATATGAGTGGGCACCACAAAGCCCTTTAGTCGGCCCTTGTGTTGCATCCTGAAACAGTACAAAATGAGTGACGTGTAACTCGGGAAAACATTTCTTAGGCGAGTACGACATCATAGCCATGGTGGTCTTCAAGGCATCAAAGTATATTTTGAGTGGCTGTTCACCAGGAAAAACAAAAAGTACTGCACATCGACTTCTCCTAAGTCATGGATTTATTCATCCTATCGGAAGCGGACTCTATAGGTATGTTTGAATATTTAAAACCTTCGTAATCCTGTATCAACCCATGCTATTTCAGTCTTCTTCCCCTCGGTCAGCGTGTAATCGACAAATTGATTCGATTGGTCGATGCCCAGTTAGAATCAATTGGTGCTTTGAAAGTTAGCTTGCCTATTCTTGGCTCTCGAGTGTTGTGGGATAAGACGTTACGTTGGGAGAGCATGGGCTCGGAGTTGTTCTGTATCAAGGATCGCCACCAAGTGGAGTACTGTTTACAAGTACGATTTTCTCTTGGAGTTATCTTTATAGTCGGGATTTTCTACTTTTTGCTTTTATAGCCTACTGCTGAAGAGATGTGCACGCAGTTGATATCGCAACTTCCAAATTTGAAGAAGAGAGTCTTTCCACTACTACTTTATCAAACCACTGAGAAATTCAGGGATGAGATGAATCCAAGGCCTGGTGTTCTTCATGTCAATTTTTCAGATCATTTGTAAAGTTCGGCATACCCACTTTTTTTAGGTTTGGCTTGCTGCGAGCCCGAGAGTTCCTTATGAAAGACCTGTATTCTTTCGATTTGGATAAAAACAGCGCCATAAGGACATACGACATGGTTTGCGATATCTATGACCGACTTTTTAGGGATAAATTAGGACTGGAAGTTTATAAGGTAGACTGTTATCTCATATAGATACTATACTTTTTTCATTTTCAAATAGTAGTCTTTTAGGTGTCAGCTAAACCAGGAATCCATGGAGAATCTCATTCACATGAATATCATCTCAGGAATCCTTTGGACGAGGATGGGATCCATTTTTGTTTCAAGTAAAACACAACGTTCCAACTCAAATACGTTAATACTTCTCGCCCTGGACTTTCACAGATGTCCAGTCCTTATTTCTCCAGACTTTCTCTCGTTTTTGATTTGAGGTGCGGATCTGGTAACAAAAGGGAAGATGGTCCACACGATTGCCAATGTCCCGATCCTACGTCCGTGAGTTCGTTCTCCACAATTGAGGTCGCCCATACATTTCAGCTCGGTACAAATTATTCATCTTTATGTTTACTGAGTTGACGTAATGATACCATTGTCAAGGATAGTGGGATACAGTCCGTTAAATTTTGGGCAGCTTATTTTTGCTATGAAACTATTCAAGTAAAGTGTAATCTTGCTCGTAGGAAATGTTATTGATAAGCTGAGAAGAAGGCAAAGGCGTCAGTGGTGCAATGTGTAACTCGTGAACCCCCAGAAAGAGTAGTCGTGGTTCGATCTTGCCTGGGGTCCAAGCTTGGTCATATTGATTCTTAGACGCATTAGTATTACGAAAATGGTCACCTTAGCGAACTTCCACTTAGCACGGGGGCGTTCTTTGCATTCTTTTTTCAAAGTTTAACGCTTTGTTAACTTTTTATTTACTGTCTACTACAGTTTTTCACGACAAAGTATTATGTGAGATACAACCAGAGTGATGCTGAGATGTTTGCAAGGCTCCGGAGAACAGATGTCTGCGGTGGAGACCGAACACGCTCTTACCCTTTCCGGTGGGTAATACGTTCACCACCACACCATGCAGTCCCTTCGCTTCGCCTGTCCCTCAGCTAGTTCAGCATTGTAGTTGTATTTAACGCTTTGTTTCAAACTTTCAAATTTCATAACATTCTGACAGTATTGTAGACAATTTTAGAGTGCGGACTTCTCCTTATATTTCTTTGCCGATTTTTCTACTTCTATTCCAATTAGAGTATTGGCGGTCAGACAACCCAATACACAAATAGTTTCCAGACATATAACTTTAATGGTGCTGAGATATTTGCAAAACTCGGGACCTTAGGTGTCTGCGGTCCGGAGTGTTGCAAATATCTCAGCACCATTAAAGTTATATTTCGTAATATACCCTGCCATTAAAAAGAGTAGGCAGTAAATAAAAACGGTTAAGCTTCCAGACAATTTAACGCAATGCAGTTGTTCTAAAATGCAGGTTTTGCTAACTGTTATAATATAATTTTCAAACATTGGCAGTTAAAGTTTTATTTACAACATGAGTGGAACAGGCAGGCTTAGCCCTTACTGGTTCCTCTTATAAAAGGATAAAGGATAAAGTTATCGGCGTTCATCAATCTCTGAGGGATGCGACATGCATTCGACTTCATTAAGCATCGTTTGGAAGTGACTGAATGTATATCTGGCCTTTACAATGACTCGCGGTCGTCTACCAATGTATCGACGGTTTCCTGATTCCGAGGGGATGGAAAACATGGTGAGCTTGTGGCGCGGGGATGGATTCCATGTATATTGCAATGCGCCTCTGACCAATGCGCTACACACCCATAGTGGTTCTTTTTAATAACATTCTAAATGAAGCAAATTAATTTGATGTGTCCACATAAATCTTGGGTTCGTTGTAGTCGTACAGATGGTTGAATACGTATCTGACCTAAAATTACTTACGATGGTTGGTTTACCAATGTGTGAAATCGGTGTTTTTATTCTATCAAGCAATTCTTTAATCAATTTTCCGACTCATAAGGATTCAGGTTTAGACTGCCCAGGAAAGGGATTAACCAAATACACTGTATCTGTTGCGGGACACATAAAAGTATTTTGTTGTACACGTTTCCTTTACTCGAGAAATCAATGGAAATTTTAGCAAATCAGGGAAAACCACGTTCATCTTTGCAGTTCCCATCTGTAGCAGCTTCATTTCAAGCGGACATTGTTTATCGTTAACTTTTGCGGATGTAAGCTTAGTTGAAATCGCACTTCGACTTTTTCGTGAAATCTCAAGTGCCGTAGTAAAGGTGTTTTAATTGTTCCCTAAGTGTCATTACAGTGATATTAACAGTACTGCCAACTCGGGGCTCGTTATCGTCAACGTACAAATGTATTCGTAGTTAACACGTCCACTAATAAAATTTTGCAATTTTTGTCACTATGGAATTGCTAGTTGCTAATGTCTGCAACGGTTCCGGTTCCGCCTGGCCCCGAGCTCACCAAACTTCCCATCCTTCCAAGGTCGGCAAATTGGTGTAAGACCGATCTGGGGCAAGATCACTTCGTCTAATCCATGTGTGGGGGGGGGGGGGGGGGGGGGGGCTGGAGGCTCCATCACGGTTATCCCAGGACTCCAAGGAGAATCATCTCCATGAGCATTTAACGACGTTCGCAATGAAAACGAAAATTTTCAAGCGGCGGCAGCTAAATCAACGGGACAGCTGGAAGACCTTCGCGAATGATGGATGCGAGGAAACGAATCAAATGCAAGAGCTGCTCAGAGTCACAATAGATTTGAAGATGGGTTGAAAAATTAGCAGCTGACACTTCACTCCTTTCCAAGGGGGTTTGCCACCTGACCACATTTCCATCACGACAGTTCAAACTCCTGGTTTCTCCTACTTTTAAATTGATCCGAGCCGTTTTTCACTCCATTCGACTCGACTCCATACGTCATCGACGATGCACATTGATGAACGGCTGTGGACAATCCACACAGAATCATTACGGCTCTGAAGAAAGCGGAGGCATCGGAACATTGGCCACAATGAAAATTTCTGTGGTGACCTCGCATAAGCTTATCAATGCAATGAGACTCTTAGATTAGCTTTCAGTCTTTTGCCGCACGTCATACTTGGACTCCATGGGAACTCCCTCGCCATTGCGAAGCGGTAGGCCATTGACGTTGTTTGCGTTTCTAATAAGGAGACATTCGGCGATACAAATCTTCTGAAGGGGAAGCTACGCAGATGTTCATAGAGGGCATTTGTAACATTTTGATTCGCATCGTTATTTTCCTTGTTCTTCACGTTCCACAATTTTTAGCATTCTACAATTTTATGAAACATTAGATTTGAGGTGTTGCATCGTTGCCACTGCTATTTGTGGACTAGTTGTAGTAATCGCTGCTATACTGTGAGAATCTTAGTCAATTCACAAACAGCAAACAACTTTATAATATTTACATATTCTTATGAACTGGTCTTGTTGATCTGATGCGAGGTTTGTATGAGTTGTTGTTGTTGGTGGTGGTGGTGGTCGATGGCTGACGTTTCGGCGATTTCGCTTTCCTCGGAGCCGTGTTGTTATCGGTGGAGCTTTACACTACTGGAGCTGATGGCTACATTTTGTGAAGACCACGGTACTTCCCAGCGTAGCTGTTTCAGGGCTCTATGGAAAATGATTTGACAAGCATTATACATGTTATTGTGTAGTGTTGCACGTCTGAACTAACGGCGGCTCAACACCGCAAAATTGCGACATGAGAGAAATGCCGCAGTTCCAGGGTCGAGTCGTTAAAAACGTGGAGTCAGTGAATTAGCAAACTTCAGTCCAGATTTTTGTCCTTCTTCCAGTTTTTCTCAAGTTCAGCAGTGTGGTTTTTACTAGTAGAGTTTATGTATCGGTGTTTAAAACCTATAGAACTTATAAAAGTAACCTTACCTACTCGTTTTTTTTCCACAATTTTGCTTAGAACACATTCATGCCCAAGAAAATTCTAGAAGAAAGAATTGGTGTTAGATCTCAACTGAAAAGTTTGTAACATTGGAGTGTAATGATATATTTGCTAAATAAATGGTCTACAGTTACTACAAAAGTGTGGAGCAACATCAAATTATGCGGAAATGGTTTAGGAACGAAATATTCAAAGGCATTAGGTGCGTTTACAACTGAGAAGTGTCCACTGGAAATGTGTTGTTTTGGAATTGGAATCAGCAGGTGTGATTGAAAAGCAATAGATAAAGGAGATGTGTTATCTGTTTTATGAATCATTCCATTTTCTTCCAGACTTCTTCCGGGCATTGTCGAAGTCCTCTTGGAGCCTGAAAAAGGAATACGATTACCTCCGATCCTTGCTCCGTTTTCCGCAGCAGTTGTAGTCAAAAGGGTAGATATTATTTACTATCTACGAATGTTTATGAGAAAAAGTATCTTTCTCGTTGATTGTCAGAGAGTAATTTTACGTCGCGCAACTTCAGGTGATAGCGGTTATACACGGACCCTAAGCGACTATGCTTCCGCTGACACATCATAGATAGGAGATAAAGCTCCAGTTGCTGATAAATCCCTGAGAGATGTGCCATGCGTTCGACTTCACTAAGCATCGTTGGAAGTGATTGAATGCCTATCTGGCCCATAAATGTCTGGCCTAATAATGACTTTCGATGACCTGCCGATGTATCAACTCAGTACTGCTATCCTACCGGACAAGTCTTGTACTAGTTTGCCGTGCTCGTAGGGATGGAAGGCTAGGTGAGCCCGGAATGTGGGATCGAACCAACGACGATGTGTGTATTTCAGGGTATCTCTAACGTCTGCGCTACATGGGCTCCACCCAGGAGACATTGTTGGATTAAAAGGATGTACTCCCTATCCCTGCTCAATCGGATTGACGTATATCTTCGATGTGCATGGACACACATTCATGCAGTACTATGGGAAAGCCATTTAAGCTGCTCGTTAGTACACAGTCTCCGGACTAATTAGTCGTAGGTATCAACCAAAAACGGCGAAAAATGAATGACTTAATTCCCATGTCTCTTGAAAGATTCCCTTTCGCCAAAACTAGATAGGTGGCTATGCGCAGAGAGAATGTTGAAATGTCGGCACCGTTTACGGCAGCTGAAATCTGGAACTCAATTCACTACAGTGACAATATGCATAAAATCCACCCACATTAACATTAGAGTCCTCCACTGACGAACGGATGATGCAGGATAGGAACAATATGTCAAAGAACTGGCTAAGATGAAGGGATACTTCACATTAAACGCATCGCAGAAGAACTGTCTCACGCAACAGTAGATTTGATAGCACTAGTGCTCTTGGTACCACGAGTGAAGTAGTAGACTTCGTTCTCTTGAACAACTAATGAAACGATTTACGGTTGAAAAGTTGTTGACTAATGCCTACTTTCATAATTTTCCCATTCCTCTTCAACTTCAACCAATGACGAAGATGTAAAGGCATTTCGTATGGAGTAAGAGCAATTCTACAAGGTCATCGTAGGCGACGCTAACGCCATGCGAACATCAATAGCTACATATTCACAATAATACTTATAGAATGGAATGGGAAGAACACGATGATAGACTGTGTAGATTTGTCACGTGGAAACACAACCTTTAAGTGGAAAGCGCCATATTAAAGTAAAACACGCAGTGGTAACTCTAAGGTTCCGCCAAAACCAGTCTCACCATTCGTCCAAAGTTCTGCATGTGATTGCTTCTTTGGGAAGGAATTCCCCATGGAAAGGAAAAAGCTGCATAGTTAATAAAGCGAGATGCTAAAACTATCGTAAGTAACAATTTTAAACTTTTTAAGCCAGCGTTTGGGACAATACGGTTACCGACAGCGTCGATGAGGAATGGAACCAACATCTTTATGATGCCGTTAAGAAGACTGAGAACTTAAAAGCCATTGAGGAGCCTGTCTCTAGAAACACTGGAGCTGATGACACTTGTAGTGTGGAGTTTATGGAACCTCAGGAAGCTAATAACATACTTTAAAAGCTGGAGAAAGAGTATTCAAGAAATAAGAGTACTAGTGCTAACAGCAGTTGTGGAGGTTCAGAAGAACATCCATAACTTCAGCCATAGGTGTGCCAGTTAAACCACTAAGGCGATCGCTTTCGTGCGATCATACCGGACGATCGGTACTTTACGAAAAACGATGGAGAATGTTATCCACGAGAGTTCACTCCAATGTAGGTGTTATGGGGCTGCGCAAGAGAGGAACTTAATCTATAAAGTTTTGAAAGAGACCTGGTCCTATAGCAGTTGACCTTCTTTGTTAAGGGAAGAGCACTTTATGTTCAAATTCGCACTGCTCATGAAGCCAAACTGTCTAGGTTTTCTAGGTCTAAGCATCCTTGCGATAAAAACACTTCCATCTATTTGTGAACTTTAGCTTTGTTAATTCATTCTTGACGAACTTTGCAACTGAATTTTCAGGACCTAATGCTGAACGCGATAACGGACATGATGCTGTCGACCCTAGATCGTCAGTTGGAAGGAGATGTATTATTCGACGACCGTGTTGAAGAAACCATAGGGAAGCGAATAAAAGGACTTCAGGAAATTGGTATTCCTCGAATCGTTGTCATCGGAAAAGTTACTGAGAGTACGATAAATGAGGTAAATGTTAACAATTGTTGCGTAATTGAAGCGTCTTATCAACCTGCTGAACTTGTCTTTTTCTAGGTTCCTAAATTTGAGTACATCTCATCTCAGAGGGTATGTTATGCTCCATATGAAAAACAGGAACTATGTTTGAACGAAATGATGCAAGTGATCGAATAGGATACTCTTCACAGATTTGAAGTACCACAACGAAATGTGATCTCAGATTTCCATGTTGATGAGATGATAGGATTTTGCACCTTAACATTTGCTATAATAGCTGTCTTAGGATGGATAACAGTTTCGTTAAAGAGTATGCTTTATGTACATTCCTTCAATATTTGTACAGAACTATAAATCTGCGTCTTTATCGGAATACTGTGGAGCTGGTAGTAAGGTAATTCGAACAACATGCTGACGACCTATCATTGCAAGTCCAATAGCCCGTGGCTCACCTGTTTCACCAGACCACCGTTCTTCTGACCTGAAAACGTTTCTTGAATTGGTTCATCGCTGTCTAAATGCAATTTTCATCACTTATTGTGCGTACCCACCCAATGGCATACCGCCTCATCGCGACTGAGAGGCGTTCCTGAGTGCCGGACTGTGATGTACAGCGGCGGATTCATTTCACTAGCAGGGCCTTCCAAGCTGAGGAAACCGGCGTTTCCTTTACAAAGCTCAGCTACGAGAAAATCAATACCAGGATCTACCAACGTTCTGGTACCAGACTAGTCGCATGGCGGCAAATCTTCATGTGACCCGCAAGGGCGGCGACTGGCTGTGGCGGTGGCGACCTGGGGCGAACTTTGGCTAGGCTGACCTCAGGACACCGGGGAACCACAGTAGCTAAACCAGTAACACTCCGAAAAAGTAGAAATTATGTTAGAGACCGCACAACTAGTCAACGGGATATCCAAGTTTCCAAGCTTGTACGCTTCTATTTTACCTCAGACGAGACTTTACAGTTCGCACACGGACGATATGTGGGAGTGTATTAAAGCCAAAGACAAGCAACGTTTCATAAAACAACTGATCTCTTCGTTGTTTCATATACTTGTTTTTTTTTTCATTGCGGAAAATCAGTTAAATATACACACTCGGACATAGTATTCGTAGTAGAACGTCTTCAGACCGACTACTATGTTATTTCCTCCAATTAGATTTACATTACTATGTTCTGTAGTGAAACCTTGGTTACCAGTTAGTCAAGTCGCTTCTTAAGTTTTCTCGGTGATTTAACCTCATAGGAAACTCCTCTACGAGTAACAAATACTAGCTTCACCAACCTATGGGTACAAGGTGACGAAGAACCGTACCTGCCAAGTATAAAGTTTGGCTGCCTGTCAGTGCATAGCATTTGACCACGAATAAGTCGACCATCAGTCAGTTCTACTTCCATCCATCTACCCATGTATTGTGCCACATATTCCATAACTATCAGTACTTTGTAATGACACCACTGTTTTCCCGAAGGGTTTTGGAACAAGTTGGTGCGATACCAATACGGTTCAGCTGTTGTTAACTTAGACAATATGTAGAAGAAGTGAAGGCTCAAAATTTCACTTGAAGAAAATCAGTACGTCCAACAAATCAATAGACTGAACTGCAACAAGCAGATCTGAATTGGAAATAATGTACAGCTACATGATAAACTGGTATTGAGTACTTCTTTAGATCTATGTATAACACAGAAGATGCTACAGCTGTTAGTGAAGAGTTTCAAATTTTGGCATAGATACAAGAAAGACAATAAAAACAGAAACAAGACTTCCATATGCTTAATATCAATAGTAATCACTTTTTATACAGCCTGGGTAACATATTACCCAATATTCCATATATAAGGACAAAACCTGGCATATCAAATATATAACGTAATACACGTCCGATGGAGATGGAAGCACAGTGTTCCTAGCCGAATACATCACTAGTAACGGAGAAGCAGTAAAAGGATGAGAACTTAAAGTTGTGAAATGAGGTCACTGAGCGAATAACGACAACAAAACTCCTAAGATGAAAGCTCAGTAAGAATTTTGATATCGCTGTCATAAAGCCGAGAAACGGCTAGGACCTTGGCTGCTGAGTACTTTTCACGTACAGCTACTAGCTTTGGTAATGCATACAGCCTTAAAAACACTCGTGCAAACGTTGCCACTAGAGTTTCAGTTTCCTCATCCGTTATACCCGTCAATTTCCTAAAAATATGGTAGTCAGAATGCGCACAGTTCTACAGTGCTATGTTGAATTAATATGACTTAACAGACGTTAAAGCTTTAATTTTGTTGTAATCACACACTAGCAATTCGATATTAGATATTAGAGGGGAGCCTCTGTACGAGAATTGCTCCAAAAAAAAAAGGGAAAAAAAACAACTACACTACTACTTCTGTGTGCAGTAAAACATGATTTCTGAATGATACCAGTTTTGAGCGTACAAAGGATTAAATGATAAAGCTCTCGGCGTTTACCAATCCCTGAAGGATTCGCCATGCATTCAACTGCAATAAGCATAGTTAGGGGTGACTGAATGCCTATCCATCCTTTGCAATGAGTTGCGGTGGCCTACCGATGTATCGAGTCAATGCTGCTATCCTCCTAGGTAGGTCTGGTACCAATTTACCGACCCCGCAGGGATGGAAGGATTGGTGAGTTTGGGGCATCGGATCGAAGGCGTGTGTCTTTCAGAATGCCTCCGACTACTGCGCTACACGCGCCCATATTTTCAGTACATATGTATGTATGAGATATACATATAGATACGATATCCTACATACAACATACCTCATTGTTTCGCTATCATAAACTGTATCGCACAACTTCGAAGCGATAAAGGTACACACACATGCGATGCGAGACGGTAAAATAGGAGAGAGTGAACAGTCGAGAAAAGCCATCTGAAACAATGTTAAAACAACTTTTAAACTGTTGTGTAACAAGGCCAAAAAGAAAGATATCGCTAAACAAATAACCAGAAAAAGAAACCTCGATTAGAAATTTGCACATGTGATGCATCCTCAAACTAAATTTCATTTCTTTACTGTACCATCGTAAAAACGCGATCGAATGTGGACGTGAGAGTTCGAACCTGTACAGAATGCCTTTTCGCTTCAAAAAACAGAAAAGAAAGCGAAGATGATCCGAAACCAACTTAGCAGCGACTAAAATCTTTGTTTCCATCTTTAGAATTTGTTTTTTGGTGTAGGTATTATCGGTTATGTATTCAAAATCGTGAATGTCTGGCGCATACATTTCTTCGTATTTCGAAGCAACCAGCCTAAAGAAAAGAGATTTAAACATTAGATACAAGACATGACTATCCAATATGAAAGCTCACATGCACGCGACCCCAACCAGTTGCAATTCGTCTTTGTCAACTTTTGTTCTCGACAACATTACATCAAGAAGGTAAACAGTAAGATGGAGTGTTTCAGGCAAGAGATGGAAACGTGTATGGACCTAAAATTAGAGTGTCGACTAAAATGAGCCCAAGCAAATCCTCAAGAGGAAGAGAAGGATACCTGGATTAGCCAGTCCACGAGGATGCTCCGCATCTTCGGAGTCGACGGTGAATGGGTCATGAAATTTTCCTCAATCTGACTTCTCTTTTCAAGATGAAGAAGATATTTGTAGACCTGAATTTTTAAGAAGCACTGATTTACTGATACCTGACAAGAAGATCCATACGGAGTTAAGAGCACAGCACTAGGAGTAAAATATTCAACATTACCACGAAAAAAAAGCCTCCACTTCTCCTTCACCTACCATTCAAACACACTAAGAATTGGAACCATTAGATGCGTTCGTGAAACAAAATGACATTTTTTAGAAAGACATGCACGTGTCCTGAATCTCAACCCTTGAACAGATCTCCTAAGTGAGAATTAAAGGAAACACAGATTTGTCCCGCTGTATTTCTTAATTGCCATAGAGCTTTATTAAAGCTGTTTTAAATGCGCTCCCTCATCTATTTCACAAAAAAGAGAAAAACGCACACAATCCTCAAAGTGGTAAAAAAATTATGAACTAGTTAGACTTCTCATAGATTTTGACCAATGTTTACCAATAGATAAAAAAAGTAACCTGTAGATAATGACAAAAGTCGAGTCCCGTTTCTCATTCTTCATTTCATTCATTCTCATTTTTTCATTCATTCATTGTTTGCGTGATTCTAATTAAATGGAATAGCAACACAATCATACCGCATGGTGTTTGAGCATCTACGATTTTAACAACTCTTATTACACACTGACTTTACGACAACTGATCACCCTGATAAAGTTAGAGTTAAAAATGTGTTAAGGTTAAAGATACGACGGGTTATACTATAGCTAAGAAGTTAGCGTTTTTCGGATTAATAATGTTTGTTAAAATGCACATAACAAAGTAATAAAACAATAAGATGTAATAAGAGAAAGGATAGGTCGTTGTCAACATAATCATCTCAGGAATTCTTTCCCTCAAGCTCGAGTCTATAAAAATTTAAGAATTCTAAATTGTAAAACACCTATTTCGCTGTTCTCCAAATGGAAATGATTCAGAGCTTGTTAAGTGTACTATCAGAGATCGAGCGAACGTATATGAATCAGCAAACGAAACAATACATAGCCTTTCTGGGCTGCCCACCGAAGGAAGCCTTTGCTCCCCTCAGCTCTGTACCAGCATCCAAGGGACCCCGATTATTCGATGTCCAATCCATCGCTGATACAACACCGAAATCCTCGGACGGCCTCCCCGAGGCATCCACCGAAACAGTCCCCGCTCCCTGGGTCGTCTGAGCATCGAAGAGCACCCCAAGTATTCGACGCACGACCCATGGCTGAGCCGAAACCAAAATCCTCGGACAGCCCACCTGTGTCAACCATTGGGAAAAATGTGCAATAGTGCTACTCTTGGTACTGACGAGTACATCGTTTGCTTTCCACAGAATTACATGTAATTTATCCCAATTATTGGGCAAACTAGTGCTTCATGTAAGTTTGAACATTTTCCGATGGATAATGAGTTAAACGACTTCTTATCCGTAAACGTTAGCAATACTGTCGATTCTCGTGATTTTCATCCTCTGTTACTGGTAAAACGTGAAGTCCTCTATCGTACATGACCACTACTTTTAAACATGATAAAGATACATGGGGTTATGAAAACTTCCTAATAATAAAGGTGAACTTTCTGCATTTTCTTTTCTACTTCACTGATATAAATGCTTTACACTTGTCCAACTCTCAACAGCACTCTTTAGCAATAAACTCTCGGAAATTTTTTAAGTTACACCCTTATGGGTGTAAGGATGGGACCACTGCTATATTTAGCGCTAGCAGAACCAACGTTAGTCCAAACTCAACTCAATACTCAGTATTCATTAAACTGAATTGACATGGGTACTAAATTTAGGGAATATGAGGTAAGTTATTCACAAAATGAAAGTTTTAAAAGTTCATGAAACCAACAAAAAGACCAAGTAATAGGGGAATGCTGTAAAAAAAAAACTAAGAAACGTTCTAAGATAATACATAAGCGCAAAATAAAACAAAGAATCTTTTATAAGGGGCTACTGAACTCTCTGAAAGCGAATTTAGTAGAAACTAACACCTTATAAGCATAACGACACTAATATATTTGCAAAACTCCGGACCGCTAGTGTCTGTGGTGGGGATCGAACACGATATTACCCTTTCCGGGCGCTAACGCGTTCGCCCCCTCACCATGCGAGTCCTTCGTTTTTCGTCCTTGCGAGTTTCTCTCAGCCGTGTTACTGTTATAACATCTTATAGTTAAACCACAATGTATGTAGAATCAGTGATGAGACGAGGGTTCATACCTGATCGGAGTGCTCCACATACTGGTATTCTCGCTCCATACCCACTATATCAGGATGGACCACGACTGCAACTTTTTCCTGGGATAGCTGTAAGCCACAGATCGCTAGTAGTTCTAGAATTGATGCATAGCACTACAACTGAACACACCTGTATCTGTTGTTGCTCCCGAGATGGTGCTTTTAAGCTGAGTGACCTAGTCCTTACCGCAAGCTTCCCCGTTTGTTGATCAGCGAGCTAAAGTATAGAAGTATAGACTCCTAGCTAAACTAAGCCTTAAGCTGGAAGTGACTGTACAACAACGAACTGCGACATTTCGTTGATCCTTGAGTGCTGGTCTTCTCGTCAACTGGGCATCCTTCCCAGCTGCATGCCTCTTCACTAAGTTCTCGTTCACGTTCGAAAGTGCTCTTGTGTTCCGCTGGAACATCGGTGAAATAAGAAATGTTAAGAGGGTTAAATCTGTGGAAAATAGAGACAAATCTTGTACATACTCTGCCTTGGACATCCATTACTAACGAACTCTCTGAAAGTGAATGTTAGCGGAGTAGACCCACTGAAATACAGAATGAAAATGAAAAAATCTCCATAGTTTACAACGATCGAAACGATGTATCCATCGTTATCAACCCCTATCACTTTAAATACAATGATTGCTTGACAGAGCACCTTCAAAATAAGCTAATTTTGAAAGGAAAAAAACGAAGAAGGGAAGAAAAGAAAAAAATTTGGTGGGGTAAAGTAGGGAAGGAGATCTCTATGCGGAAGAGGACGCTGACCCGACGGCCATGGCAGGGACGTAGGTGGTGTACCGCGGTAGATTCAAATTTCAATCGATCAATTTGATTAATTATAGTTACTGTAAGGAAACTGTTAGGAGAGAGTTGTTCTTGGGAGCTGATATCCGCTAATGCCAAAATGAGAACTTAGGAACTGATTATATTCTACATTTCAGAAGGATTTAGCCGTTCAAGTGGTCTGATTTCGAAGATCATCATTTGTGATTCTTCGTGTCCACAAGTTTCGAGAGGAACATTAAGTAGTTTCTATTTCGGCTATTCACATTTTCAGAGAGAGGGTAGCGCAGTGGTAGTCATATCTTTTATTACGCCGATGTTCAACGCGAATCAGACAATCAGACGCTGGTTCGACTCGTACCGGATCCACCGAGCCTCTCATCCTATCGGGGTAGTGAAATTAGCACTAGACGTGTGTGAGGCAACCTCTGCCTCTAAAATCCACGTCGAAACACTAGCGTGGCCAGATTAGGGTTCCAGTGAAAATTGACTCAACAGAATTCGATCACATTCTTAAAGAACATGAAAATCCACAAGCAGCAGCTGAAAGCACGTTCAAAAACTTCAAAGACCTTCGTGGACGGTGCATAAGGGGAAACGAGCCGAATGCCAAAATTTCTGGGACCTCTATATTATGAGAAATATGATCTCGAGTTATCCAATAGAAAAGAAATAGCTACATATGTTCAACATATATCACACGAGAGCCTCCCAACGGTTTACCGCCTCATCGTGGCTGGGAGGTGTTCTTGGGTGTCGGACTGCGATGTACAGCGGAGGGATTCGTCCCACCGGTAGGGTACCCCAAGCTGAGACGGAGTCTGGCGTTTCCATCAGGAAACTAGCTAAAAGTAATCCAATATCATGGTCCACCAGCGTCCTGGTGTCAAAGTTGCATGGTGGCAAATCTCGCTCTGATCCACATGGGCAGCGACTGCCTGTGGTGGTAAAGACCTGGGGCAGACTTTGGCCAGCCTGAACTCGGGATTCCATGGGACCACAATGGCTTAACCAGGAAATCCCCGAAAAATGGAGATTATGCAGGGGTCGCACAACCAGTGAGGACAGGTCATCCAAGTATCAAGTAAGTATCACACGAGAGCACCTGGTTTGAGGAGTACAGATCGCGGTGATCTAGGTTAATCAATAGCTCACATATGATTCGCTTAGGCACTAGATTCATCCTAACGACACAAATCGGAAGAGAGACGTTAGACCACCTTTGTGAGCATCATAGAAGACGGATGTGATGGCCTTCACTATTTTTGAATGAGCAGATTCTAGTGGACAACTCTAGCATGTGGCACGAGCAAGTGGAGAGTTTGCTGACACCCGATCAACCCAGCGGATTAACAACGAGAGAATGGACGATGACTGGCTACTTACTGGTGCCCAATGAATTTCTCAGTGTGAGAATAGCATTACGACTTCGAATCCTTGAAACCGGTATAGGCAGGCCATTGGACAGAATAGGGTGGCTCTTAAACCGTATCCAGACCCAGTTGCTGAAGTTCATACCAACCCATCTGCCCAACAGCAAAATATTTCTGGATCACCTACGGTGCACGCATCCAAACAACACCCATGTAATGGAGTCATTCGATGTTACGTCACTTTAAACCAACGTGTGCTCCACACATGAATACTTGGACGAATGCTTTGCATTGTTAAACACGCTTTAGCAGCAATCAGCGTGTTGATGAGGGTAAAAAATAGTCTTATGTTATGGCCGGAGCCACACACAAGTTCGTCCTCCAAAGTCCATAGCGATTGCAAGAAGACGAAACTACTTTAGAAAATGCTAAACCTCTAACGACACGTAAGGATAGGCAATCTTTATGGTGCTTTTGATACCGAACTGTCGATAAGGAATCGATCAAATGATTGAGAACTACTCGTAAGCAGACTCCAGCTCCATATCAGGTCACCGCAGCGAGACCTAACCGTGAACACTTTCAGCTAAAAAGGGTTTAAACAATCAAATAACAAAGATAAGGCGTTCCCACGTGGATTAGATAAGTGTTGGAAGGGGGTCGAACCAGGACCTCGCTTCCTGATGGACGCATTACTAACCACTGAAATACTGTCCCCTATAATCCTTCGTATTCTTGTTGAGCAAACGCGAGGTGTTATTTTTATTCTTTATTCACGAATAAGCTGACATTTCGGCGGATTTCGCCTTCCTCAGAGCCTCGAAAGATCAAGTTGACAGCAATCTATTCGGCCAAACACCTCCATTACAAAACTCTATAGTTTGGTTAATAACAGAAAGTCGGTCGTGGGAGTTCCTCTCCCCTATAGTTAAACATTGTTTAAACGATGTTCTCGTGACCATGTAATAGCTCATGTCTTATGGTCGGTTCATATGGGAATGAATATAAAGATGCTAAAAGTTTAAGGATCACCCCGGTTCGTCAAAATATTGGAAGAGTACGTTGACGCCAAACTATGAATCTCCTCCCAAACAAGGCAACTCACTGATCTAGGAACTATCTAAACAATGAATATAAGTCTCCCAGTGGTACTACCTGTACGATCTATCACCAAACGTGTCAATCCTACGTGCATCCTCAGGGCAAGTACAAGATAGTAGACCGTACTTAACACCTATGCGACATCTATGAGTACGCCAATTAACCATGCGACCAACCGAATGGTGGTCTCTCAGTGAGAAATACCATAACGAACTAGGCTAAGTAACAATAAATTGAAGGTCTTATACATATATATCTTCTTGGTGATCCTGAATTCCCCGATATGGTCCTAAAAATAGAAGAAAAAAGTGCGATTCTTTTCTAACGCTAGGCTACTATTGTACAAGACAAGAACAAATACAGACTTTGTCGCTCACACAAAGATCACTCGGGTCACATAACAAGCAACGGAAGGACAGGTGACAGGTAATATATTCCATTAATTGCGTACTTTCAACATTAAGAAATCTCACCGTATTTATTCACTTTAAATTGAATCTTCATAAAAAATATCTCTGCATGGATGGAGGTAGAACTTCTAGTCATCAGCACACCTACCACCTAATTTTTTTAAGGAAGGGAACGACAGTGGAAATGAAATGTAAGCAAAGGTGCCGATGGCGAATCAAAGTTGTCACATATTGAGAAGTAAAGGAGATAAGTAAGTGGTAGTTAACGCATATTGACACGAATTCCTATCAAAATAGAGTAAAGTTGAGGTTTATGGTAAAGGCACAGAAATTATGTTCTAGGAAAATAATACATAGCGGGCTTTAAAAAATCACGAAGTGAACGGTAGAACCAGCTCGATTACTTCAGTCCTGATTGATTTTGACGGAAATCAAAAGGACGAAAAGATGAAGAAGTGGGAGTAGCATTTCCCCGTGAAAGCACTACTCTTGGGCCGCGCTCCGAAATACCGCCAAGAACAGGAATGCTGCCTGCGCGATGCTAAAAGTGTGATTTAACAATAGAAAACTATTCCGACCTTTCTGGCACTGAAAAAATTACAATTTCATTTCAGGAAAAACAGCTTTAAGGATGCTTTAGCTTCAACTGTGTTAAGCACTTTCTTAAACATTACGTTAAGAATAGCGACCATCCAACAGAAAGGTAAACGGTAAGAGTAGTAAAGTCATTGGCACTGGGGCTTCATGAACGTTGTAATCTAACCGAACTGGGTAAATTGGCCACGTGAACTTTCAGCTCCAATTTGAGAGGATGGATAGACTGGATTCATATGCATCACAATAAATGTTGTATAAAAGATGAAGAACAAAACAAAACGGTCAGCGTGGAAAAGTTCCATTGGAAAACAATAAAGTTCTCCTAACCCAAGAACCCAAGAGTCTGTGGGTGCCATGCATTCGACGTTACTAAGTATAGAGGTGAATTACACTTATACAATGACTTATTGAGACATAGCAATAAGTTTTGCTAATTTTTTATATCATCCTAAACTACTCTAGCACTGTTTTACCAACGACGGAGAGACGTAGCTTGACAATCTTTGCTCGCCTGGTTGAACCAACAGATACCCGTGTATTGCAGTGCACTCTCAACCACTGCGCTACACGAGCCCCTTTGAGTGTTGTATAACTATATTTCCAATTGATTACATTCATATGAAATGCTGAGATATTTGTAAAACTCCGGATAACAGGTGTATGCAGTAGGGAACGAACGTGCTGTTACCCTTTCCAGGAGTTAATGCGTTCTCCACCATACCATGCGGATACTGGGTTCTTCGTTTCGCCTATCTGTCAGGTGGTTTTCTACTTACCAGCGCCATCTGCAATCGCCCGTCAATGGGTTAACTACAATTTAAAGAAAGTAAGATATAATGTGTTTGGGTTTTCTAGGAAATCTGTTTCTGTCGATGAAACCGACCTCGTCGTATGAGCATAGACGGATCAGCACTGTAAGGAATGAATCCATACAATTTGAAAAAAAAATTTGAGAAGGATGGGATGGTTGCTGGGATGTTAGTTATAAATGTACCAGTGAATGTCATAACAGCTGAAATATTCTTTGTACTTCATATGGCAGTTGCTGGAACTTGTTCAGCATGTTTTATGTGCTTGTTTACTTTATACTCGTGTGTTCAGACAGGCGAAACTAAGGACCCGGATGGTGTAGTGGTGAAGTGCGCTACTCCCCGGTAAGGACAACAGCGCGTGTTCGTCCCCCACTGCATACACCTGTGGTCTGAAGTTTTGCAAATATCTCGGCATTTCATACGAGTTATATGTCGCAACATACCCTACCATTAAGAAGAAAAAGGCAGTAAATAAAAAGGTTGAGATTGTGATTACATTCAACATTTTACCTTGCCTTTTTCATCTGGTATTTGGTTAGAAGTCGAAAGGGAGATCGATGACACTGACAAAGTGTCGAAATTGTCGTTCCCAGAGAAATATCCTCGGTGTGTAAGATCAGCTACCGAATACGGATAAGCAGAGCTCACCTACAGAAAACATCATGCAAGGATCTTTTATCATCTAAATATAAAAGTTCTTCAAGAAGAAAAAGGAACTGCATAACAACTCTCAAGATCGATTTTTAATTAATGTTGGAACCGATTAATAAATTACTGCTCTTAATGAATTGACTCAAGGTTATTAACGCATTCACGATGATATGCATTGAGTTTGATGGATAAACGGCTCAAAAGAAAAGGTTTTTGGTACTGATAAACACCTCAGAGATTCGCAAGCGCTCGAATCTATTACAGATTATAGAGGTAACTGAATGCATATTTGGTCTATACAAAGACTTCCCGATCCAGCAAGCTAGTGTTTTTACCCCACCAGATTTTAATACTCCGGAAATCGCCAAATGCACCTTTTTTACTTCTCCATCGAGGCTCACATACTGGATACTTGAATTATCCGTCTTCACTAGCAGTGAAAGCTTTACAATACCTTTCATTTGCTTCTTTCTTGCGCAATCGTTGTCCATAGTGGTAGTATGCTTTGAAGCTTGTGACGTCCATGAGGTAGATGCCGTGATCCGTCGCTCGCTACCATTTGCTAATGCAGATGGCTGAAGTGAGCCAAGAACACGACCGCCTATTGCGTAAATGGCCATCCACGGAGACGCTAGCATCCTTTTGCAGCCCACTCGAAAACTCTTTCCGTTCATCTGTTGTTTGTTATTCTCAAAATTTTATCATATATTCGGCTCATTTGTGCTTCTACATCGATGAATATTACCGCAAAACTCCAAGATAGAATAGGTTTCGAATATATGAGCTGGAAATTCCGAACAGACGTTGTGTACATAGGTTAAATATAAGAAAACATCGTTGAAGAGTTCTGTAAGTGGTGCGCAATATTTTCAACGGAGTTGGATCACCAACCTAAGTCTTTGCTGCATAACAAAGCACTAGGAAGGGCGCTAAATCGAAGAGGTGAGCCGAAGTCGCAGAAAGTACATACAGTTTGTAGCTTCTATGTTGAAGGAATTCGGCTGTGGTATTTTCGGCCCTGAAGCTCCGCCTCTACTCATACTAATCGCTCCTCTACTCATACTTTCTGTTGCAGCTCCAACTTCGGAATGAAGCATCTCGAGCTGATTCCTTAAGCGAGATTTCGAGGCATGAGAAGGTGATTGTGGAACGGAAAAGATCGATGCAAAACTTTTTCGTTATCAATTCCATATGGCAACGTCTTGTAGTAGTCCTGTCTTCGTTCAAGGGTCTGACAGCCGAACATTACAGTTGCAAAGGTCCCAATGGCATTTATTCAGACTGGATCGTTTCTAATCAGTTTCCAATAACTCTTCTTGATTGTACCAATGTAAATTCTTCTGCAAGGATCTTTTACGATATTCACTACAAGCCGTTGGAGATGTGTTGTGGTAGAATCAAGCCGAAGTTTCCTTCTCTTTCCGAGCAACTTCTCAGTTTCAAAGGAACTACACTCAACAATTGCTATTTGGGAAACTGAGACGAGTTCGATAAATTTTAATTCCTTTGACAAACAGCATATAGTCCTCGGTTGGATGTTCCTCAATTTGTCAGCCATACTAGAATGAGATTTCATCGAGAGTGTCCTCGTCATATACGATCTGTCTTTTCCTTGTTGGACGGTGAGAAAATTTCTTCTCCAGTTTATGATTGAGTCGGACCATTGCATGGAGATGGTGGTCAGATCCAGTAGAAAATGATGGCACCATAGAGATATCAAAGCAAGATCTTTCATTCGTGAGAATATGACCAGTACTCGTACTAGTCCAGCCAGACGGTTCTAACTATCATTTTGATCTCCAATCTCAAATTCTTCACTCTTATATTGATTTCTGCCAAAACTTCCTAATCTAGCATTGAAATACCCACAAAATAAATTTTTTTCGTTACGAATTACTTCCTCCGACTGGATATTGAACGCGTCTAATTCACCCTCATCAGTTGCACAGGTATATGAGTAGCAGATGATAATTCTGACCTCCCTTTAACGTGGACACTGGACAAGAAAAACGGCAAAGCAAAGTGATAAGATCTCGGATGAGGTAACCTGGCAGGAAACAGAGCAGTGTACGGTAAAGTAAACGCTATCGACATTTCGTGACGGGACCTTCCCTCCATGAATAACAATGGTCCCCACTAAAAATGTCGTCATAGCTCATCAAGAAGACAATAACTTAAAGAAGCGAACAGTTCTCAAAAAAAAACTTAATCAGGCAATGGCGATAAAGAAATTGGGTTAAACATCTAGCATGTGGTTGGAAAAATGCTCCAGGGTAAAGGATTTAGTTCACGAATAAAAATTGTCCAAAAAATCGTAATGTTTTATAGTTCAAAATCCAAATTTCCACCATCAAAATCTATCGATGGAGCTCTACCTCACCTTTTCTGAGTCAAATTCAGCCGGTCCAAATTTTGACAACAAGCTTTTGCTTCCTGGGCACATAACTCCGAGTTTTTGCTGCATGGCCATGTCTACCAAAACATTACCGCCACGCTAAATAATGGATTTTAGTTTCGACGAACACGAGAAGAAATTACAAAGAGAGTGAAAAATATCCCAACAAATACTAAAAAAGACTCTTAGAAGTTAAGTAGCATCAAAATACATGAAGGGATTCAATCAGAGTTTCTTGTATATGAAATACTAGAAAATTCTACATTTGACACTAACTGTCACGTTTGCTGATGGTATCCATCTCAAGTAACATTCGTTCCATAACATAATATCGGCAAGTGTCCTTGGAGGACGTATTACATCATAGATTAACGGTGTTCCTAAAAAAAGACCATAGCTAATTGTAAAGAAATGCAACAGTTCGGCAACCCTCAAATGAGGATGAAACACAATAGCTCTTAAATAAAAACGATGAATCGTTTCACATGAGCGGATTCTGACAAAGTACACTTACAAAAATCTCACTTACAAATTCAGACAAACCTGAAGATCTCTGAACAACTAGAGCAGCCGTATTGGTGACATTACTGAATAGCCGAGTGTATGACTCATGGAAGAACCGCTCAAGTGGGAATGGACCACCACATCTATTTGAAGAAAGCTGATCTCCTACAGATGATGCACAAAACGCTGGCACAATTCCTGCTAGCGATAAATCCCACAAAGCAATGAGTGCATGTTGAGTATATGAAAACCTAGAAAGAAATATGACCGGATGACACTTCCGTTTAATTATTTACCAACTAGTTGTAAATTAACCACAATGACGCTGAGATATTTGCAAAACTCCGGACTGCAGGTGTTTGCGGTGGGGAACGAACGCTACTACCGTATCCGGGGACTCACACCATGCGGTTCCTTCGTTTCGACTTCCTCTCAGCTAGTTTTCTTGTACTTGTAAATTGTTTCAGGAGAAACGTAAATGAAGCCACTTAATGGGCAGCGCAAAGTTAAACAACGCTTCGCTGTCGTTTATGCCATAATTCTGCTATATTCTCATACACTCATAAACTTGTTGTTATGGCATAGCTTATTAATCTAAGCACATTTTCATGCAAATCACAGGCGAATAATGAACTTACTGCATGGGATAGAGTCGAATTAGCTGTGCAAGACAGTCAAGAAATAATAGAAATGTAGGAGCGATCACAGCATCATTGTTTCCATTGGGAATTCCAAGCAGACGTTCAGCAAATGGATGACCCAATCCAATCCACTCTTTTGCAATTAACGAGTCAAGACCTAGAGTGGCACCATAAGCTTATTTGGGATAAAGCTACGTGAAAAACATAGCAATATGAAAAACAAACTTTTAAAGCTCACCTTCGAGAGTCCTATAGTATCGGTCACAGCAGATCTGTACTAGACTAGAAACGACAGCAGAAAGATCAAGACCATTTGCTTCTAAATTGGCCTTTTGATGGTAATTTGTAATAAATGCAGCAGTTTGTAATAGTAATTTTGGAACTTAGAACATTGACACTTTCTCCTAATTGATTACGGCAATAAAACAGCAGTTAAAGATGTTCAACTACCACAATACTTTGAAATAATGTACCGCAGATAATCACAGAACATTCTCGATCCACAAGCCAATTCAAAACTTCGCCCGACATCAATAAACAATAGCTAACTAGTTGAAGCCATCCTGATCCATGAATCCGCGTCAACCAATCTTTATCCCGAGATGCAAATAGATCGTACGAATCTGTAAGAAAACAGGACGTCAGGAAATGGAAACTGAAAGGAGAAACAATGCTGATATGTAAAGATGCCAAATTTTCACCAAACGATACAGATGTCTTCCCTACGTTTTAAATATTTAGTTTCTAATCGAACAGGCGAAAAAACAAAATTTTTCATAAATGCGAGAGGGAGAAAATGTAGCACAGCAGCTAAGAACTGAAACATTTACTAAGGACTTACTAGAGCGATAAAAATAAAAGGTTAAAGTTCTCGGTGTTTATCAATACCTGAGGGATACACCATGCATTCGACTTAATTAAGCATCGTTGGAAGTGAATGAATGCATATTTGGTCTTTACAATGACTCGCAGTGGCCTGCCGATGTATCGAGCCAGTGCTGCTATCCTCCCAGACAAGTCTTGTACCAATTCTTGGACCCCGGAAGGATGGACGAATAATGAGCCTGGGGTGCGGGGATTGATCTCATGTGTATTGCAGGGCGTTTCCAACCACTGCTCCACAAGCACCTCTAATAGAGTGATAAGCAACAAAATACTACACGAAAAACATAGAGGACTCGATTATCCATGAATGATCTACAATAGGAAAACTGAAATTATACACATACCAGCAGAACACGATCTTCGCAAGCGGTCGTAGCACAGAGCAATTTTCATGGGAGTAATCTCATCACTTAAATAAATCATACACGGAGAGCGCGCTGAGTTTGGGGCAATACATCTTGATATCCTATAAAGATAATTAAAATTTCCGTCTATACACGGCAATAATAAAAAGCATACATCAAAAATCTGACCTAGCTAAAAATACAAATACACGAACTTATCACTGAGCTGAGAAGATTCCCAATTGACATCAAATTTTGAGGAACGTAGAAGAGATACACCGGAAGGAAAAGACCATACCCATACCTGAAATAACTGAGTGCTGTTGTAAAAAAGTAATAATGTGGAGACTGAACACACCGGAAATCGACCATGCTGCCAGTGCTGGGCCATTCGATCCAGATCATACTGAACAAGTTCAGCAGGAACTACGAAATATAGAGGAAAACTGAAAATCAAACGGTAGACGTACTTTATTAGAACGCGCAAGTAGTACTACACGCTTCAAAGAGGCTTCCAATAAGTAAGGATGTTAACAAATGGGTCAAATTAAAAAGTTACGACACAAAAGTTTCCTGGAAGGTTACCTTTCTGCACTGGAATAGCTTAGAGTTTCTATTTCGCCGAAGAAATTTTCGCCATCTAAATCACTATATCAACCAGTGAACGCTTGCTCTCATTCAGCTAAGGTTTCTCTCATAAAGGGTGATTTTTTTTAATCGTTTTTATTCTGCCAGAGCTAGCTCCATGAGGGAAGAATTTGGGGTTAAATTCATAGCCCAGAGTGCTTAACAAGTCCATGGTTTGGTTATCAACGGTCACAGACTAGAAACAAAAAAATATATAGTTACCACTTTTGGTTCTCTTTAACTTTTATCAGAGCGCGCGTAGCGCAGTGGTTAGAGGCACCCTGCAATACACATTGATTCGATCCTACGCCCAAGGATCACCAAGCCTTCCGTCCCTCCGGGGTTGACAAATGGATGCCAGACCTGTCTGGATAACAGCAACGACTAGATACATCGGTAGGCCAGCAGGAGTCATTGTAAACGCCAAACGCCAGATATACATTCACTAACGTCCAACAATGCTTAATGAAGTCGAATGCATGGCGCATGCCACAGAGATTGATCAACAGTGCCAGATTTATCATTTATCCTTCATAACTTTTATCGAATGTCGATAAATCCGGGAATTTTGATTAGCGAAAAGAAATCCCACGCACTGAACTTTCAAAACCTTCAAAAGTTCTTTTTTTTTCTTCTTCAGTTCCTCCACAATCTTGTTTACAAAGCATACATCGCAAAAAAAGTCGGTGAACTTGAAGGTAAATCCAATCATGTACTCTTGAAATAGTTCACCGAAAATGTACTATTCCCTTTATACAATACAGTTTCACATTTTCTGCACAGTTTCAAGTCCTTCTAGGCACCCGTATTTTCTGCAAAGTTCCAAGCCCTTCTGGGCTTTATCTCGGCCCGTTATCGTCCAAAGACGGTAATCGCAGTTGTGCAAAAAATGTATTCCAATATGTATAACATTTGCGCAACTTGGACCCCTGACCTGAGGTCCAAGTTTTGCAAATGTCTTAGCATCATTTTTGTTGGATTTAACAAAATATTTTTAAATTCTATCTCCATTAAACCTCGGCATTAATACCTAGTATCTTGTTGCATTTCTAAACTAACACGAGATCGTGATAAAAACTCAATCGTCCTGAATAAAACAGCACATAAAAGACGAGTAAGGTTACTTAATTCGAGGGCTGCTCCATGCTATTAGAGTTAACCCAATCGAACAAGAAGAAACTCGTCGCACGAATGACTAAGATGCCGAAGCGTTAGCCATAATACAATGCTTAAAAAACCTCGTGTAGGCCTAAGAATGCAACCAGATACTAAGCAAAACTTCCAGAGACTGATGAAACGGAATTAAATGAACGTACAGATGAAATGCTTACATTTTTAGTGAAATATAAGTATGAAATGGAAGCACCTTCGATGCAAAACATAACTAAGTCTCCTTAACAAACCTGGCTACAAAACGTCTTGCTCCATGTGAAAACTGATTGCAAACACGCCAATGGTCGTTAGCTCTGTGTCCACACCTTTTTAATTCAGCATCCCAGGAACGTGAGTCGTTGAACGACACTGAACAAATTAGAAAATAATCCTTAAGAAGAATTGGACATAACGAATTGGAAATACCTATCTACCAAAAAATCAATAATGAGGTTAACAGGAACGTGAAACCTACATTTCCCAAGCCATTCCGTTCCGGCTTGAAAAATATTTTCCAGTTTCAAAGGACGAGAGAAAAAAAGAATCTGGTTGAGAAGACTAACTCCATTTTGTGAGCCTCGTAAATCAATGGTAGCCACACGAAAGTCCTGAACGACATCATTATTTTCAGTAACGTTACTACTGGATGTAACTACGAATACCACTACATTATTATTTTATTATCCAAGTGATCTACTACCTCACTATGGGCGTTCCTGAGTATCGAAGTGCAACGCGCTACCAGCATTCACAACTCCTCCGTCAGCATGGTTAACCACACTGACCAAGACTTCAAAACCTAACCACAATGATGCAGAGTTATGAGCAAAACTCTGGACCGCAGGTGTCTATGGTGGGGAACGAACGCGCTATTGTTCATTCCGGGGAGTAACGCGTTCACCACCACACCATCCGGGTCCTTAGTTTCGCCTGTCTGAATAGGCAGTAAATAAAATGGTTAAGATTGTGATTATAACTGTAGCCTCAGCTTAACTGGGTTCGCTGCCGATTTGGGCTTCCCAAATCAATCCCGTTGACGGGTGATTGCTGATGGCAAAAGATCGGTAGAACTAGCTGAGAGACAGGCGAAACGAAGGACCCGTATGGTGTGGTGGTGAACGCGTTGCTCCGCGGAAAGGACAATAGCGCGTTCGTTCCCCACCATAGACACCTGCGGTCCAGAGTTTTGCAAATATCTCAGCAACGTTGTGGTTGTATTTCGCTTAGTAACCTGCCATGAAAATTTATAGAAGGCAGAAAACAAAACGTTAAACATTGTATTTTTTTTTACTTCATCGATACTATCAACAATCACTCGTTAATGGGAATGATCTGCGAGTACAAATCGGGATTGAACCCAACTAGCCTGAAGCTGCAGTCGAACTCAGTGTCATAACTTTTATTTACTACCCTTTCTTTCATTAGTTTTCCTCATATCTCAGCAACCCTGTGCTAGTGTTTCACATAGCAGCCTACCATGAAAATAAAAAAGCAGCAAATAAAAGTTAACACACTGCTCCAACTTTGTCGAAAAGTTTCGATGTCATTTGCGGACTCTTGGGTAAGATAAACCTTTGACCGTAAGGTAAAGGTAAAGGTTGTAACACCGTATGCACGAGGGACGCCCTAGATCTGATGCTATATGACAGAACGACAGCAAAAATTCAAGGGTTACAAACCTTTAAATGCAGTCGTATGCAGGAGATCACTTCTAAGCTTGATAAAGAACTTGTTAAAGAAAGAAACTTCTTCTTACTTAATGATTGATTGTTCTCTAAAAATGGCGTTCAAAAGAAAACTGTGACCGAACGTGAAGATTTCAAAAGTACTTACGTTTGACCGGTACATAATAAACAGAATGAACACAGAAGAGGGGGATATGCCACCTGTCATCAAATACCTTGAATCGAAGCGGCAAATTACTCTGCAATAATGAGTGGCACTATCGATCATAATAACAGAAGAAGGCAATACATTTTTAAAGGCATATTAACCTCAGATTTTGCCAATGGCTCGAACAGTAAACGGAAATTTGTACATATTATGCGTCCAAAGGAGTTTTCCGAAAAAGAGAACCCGAACGAACAATCGTCGCAAAACGCACACTCTATTTCTCCTAAGAATAAAAATCAAATCCAGATTTTGGTTAGTAAACTCATATCCAGAGGCGAGAGAAATGGAAGTTGACCGCCTACCTAGAAGTAATCTTTCATCAGTTCCGGTGGATAATAGCCTCGTCCGATCAGTGGACGATGACTGCAATGCATCCATCTAGCTTTTTTTAATCAAAAAGAAAAGGAAAAAAACTCAGTGTACGAAATTAAGATATCACTACATAGTCGTTTTTTATTTACTGCCTGTTCCTTTTAATGACAGGGTAGTATGTGAAATGTAACCATAAGAATCCTGAGAAATTTGCAAAATTTCAGACCGCTGGCGTTTGCGGTGGGGAAAGAACGCGCTTTTACTCTTTCTGGGGGCTAACGCGTTTAACACCACACCATGCGAGTTCTTCGTTTCGCATTTCTCGTGTTACTGACCTACAGATGCTATTAGCAATCAGGTTATATTTCACATAACATCCTACCATCCTCCCAACGGCTTACCGCCTCATCGTGGTTGGGAGGTGTTCCTGGGTGTCGGACTGCGATGTATAGCGGGGATTCATCCCCTAGCAGGGTCTCCCAAGCTGAGAAGGAATCCGGCGTTTCCATCAGGAAACCTAGCTAAGAGTAAACCAATACCAGAATCGTCCACCGTCCTGGTATCAAAGTCGCATGGTGGTAAATCTCCCTCTGATCCATAAGGGCTGCAATGCCTGCAGAGGTGAAGACTTATGGCAGACATTGGTCAGGCTGACCTCGGGACTCCAGGGAACCATAATGGCTTAACCAGCAAATCCCCGAAAAATGGAAATCATGCTGGGGTCCGCACAACCAGTGAGGACGGGCCATTCAAGTATCAAGTATCAAGTAATATCCTGCCATTAAAAAAGAAACAGACAGTGAATAAAAAGCGACTAAATTGTGATTTATACCACACCTTCAACTTAACTGAGTCAAACGACCATTTGTGCTCCCTAGATCAATCCCGCCGTCGGGTGATTGCTGATATCACCTATAGGTCAATCACACAGCTGAGAGAAAGGCGGAACGAAGAACCCGCATGGTGTGGTGGTGGACGCGTTAGCCTCTGGAAAGGGTTAGCGCATTCGTTTCCCACCGCAGACACCTGCGGTCCGGAGTTTTGCAAATATCTCAGCATTCTTCTGGTTAAACAATTTCACTAATTTCGAGTGAATTTTACTTCGCCATCATTTGTTAGTCAAGCTACGGAACAAAAAAGTTTGGATCACTTTGTCCTAAATTGTATCTGAAGGTTCTAACTTTCCTTTACCCTTTCATTATTACGACAGAGAACAGATGAATTCTCTCTATCCATTTCGTGCTTACCGTTACTACTCAGTCAAAGCCATACAAGCCAACACTTACTGGAACGACTATTCTGATGAAAAGAAAAATAGAAAAGGAAACCTTCGACAAGTTTTGGTTTTGCCATATTTACAACTTAGGTTATGAGCTAACCGCATATCAGCATTGCACGAAGGGTTTTGCTTGCATTAAGGACATAAAGAGTACCTTGCGTTTGTGACGCGACCGTTTACATCTACTTCTTTTAGTGAAACCCTAATCAGCCCACTGTTAGGACCAGTTGACAGACGGCTAATGACATACCACGGACCTACCATGTAAAGGATTTTGATCGAGTTAGTCGCAAGTCAACAAGGCGTATAGTCCTCATGTTGCCGATAATGGGTTAGACAGAAACAAAAGTGACCACGCATTCGTCGATAGTGGAAGGTGTAGTTACAAGATGAACTGCCTTCGTGGTACTTTACCAATTTCCATCTCCCGTATACCTAGGTAACGCCCTCATATGATATACCAGTTGAAGCACTCTGTTACACTTGCTTTACAACCTCCATTCCTCGATGTGATCGTATTCGTGTATAAGTTCAAGCTTCAAACCTCAGCCTCATCAGTTTCTGTCTTCTTTTCCCAATAACGAGCTGAACGCTTGTCATAGTACCGTTTCTCTTGGTATCTCGAGAGAGTCCCGATAAAGCGTTTCCATGTCTTCACCATAAAGAGTCACCACTTGTTGTGGATCGAAAACAGTCTTGTTGACATGAGAGTTGGATTCTTTCATTAATGCAGCGATTCCTTCTCTAGTCAATAAACCCACCAAGAACAGTGTAATTCCACTTCCAAATACCTGGCCACATTCGTGCACATACGTCAAGGTGTGCTTATCCCTACGCACAATGAAGATTGAACACAGGCTAAAATCCAGCGATCATGTGACCAAGAGGTACGTTGGGAACCGATTTGGCCCTAAGCCCAAAAAGTGGGCCACGCGTCACCCAGTGCCGTCATGAAATAAAACTCGACCTCATCGCTAGTATGTTAGCGGGAACAGAGGTGATTCACGTGGAACGAATAAAGGTCATAGGTGTTCACGCATTTAAATGCATCTGATACAATAGGATGTAACTGTCCCAACAAATTCAACATTTCTCCTACCCTTTCCTCCACCTTAATCTAATAAATTCTTCTAGAAAATCCATAAATGCAGAGCTTCTTGATGCGCGCTAAGTATGGCCGATCCTACAAATACCATCCATGATCCGTTCGGCGAGGAATTAATACCAAAACACCTGACTGGTATGCCAAACCAGTCGATAGAGTTTTAAGAAGATAAAACCTTCGATCTTTTTCTATTCAACAGTATTCAATTTAATATTCGCTGACCTTTGCCTCCTCATCTGATGGGTTCCCGATATAGGAGAGAAACCTATTCGTTGCTGACATTATATCAGCACAGCATGTTTTTGCAGAGCTGTTAATACTTGTAATTTACAAATAAAAGAAGGTTCTCCCTCAATTTCAGTTCTTTCTTTCTATTCAAAAAACAGAACAACAGAGCTGTACTTATTCAGTTATATCGCATATATCGGAAAGGAATCGATGGACATCAACCATAAACAAAGGACAGGAACTTTGGAAAGATATATTACTGACATATCCAGCCATAAACAACGTAAAAACACTCAACCGTAAGATATTCAAGCACATACTCAACCCCACGACGAATAGTAAAAACATCAAACAAACAAGGCATCCAGCATGAAAAGAAAGAAACACATGCTTTGAGCGAAAGAAGGAAAAAAAAACATTGAGCATCTCTTATATTACAAAAGCCGTAGAAAAGCCTTGCATTCCTGGCAAATCCACATTCTTAAGTAAAAATAATTTAGGTTTACTGCTTAGAACAGAACTCAACATAACTACAAATCAGCACCAATTTCGTATGCGAGCATCGATTACAATAAGTGATTGGACTATTCAATCAATACGAAGGAAGATGATTTTTCAATCAAACAAAAGAAATTTACTACCGCACAACAAATTCCTAAATTAAAAATTTAAAAGCAGACTCTATAATTTAAAAATCAACAAAGAAAGACGCACGGCCGTCAATGAGAAAGTGCGCGAGAGATGGCTACCAATCGTTGTAACACCTGGAAAAAGTGTAGACACTCCTTAAACCTTAATAGCTACATCTAGCCTTAAAACCTACTAATTGATACTGCAGAAACTTATTCAACAATATACAACTTTTAAATAAGCACCATAAAAACCAACAAAACGAAAGAAAACGGTAGCTCTCAGAATTGCTTCCGTAACACTATCGCGATGAGTGACACCTATAGACGTCATCATGGACTAACTAGATTGGCCGGTAAGACAACCAAATGTATCATTTTCTTTCAGGCGGTGTATTTTGGTGCACGGATGCTTCCCATACTACCCTATCGTATAGTTCGTGTAAGCAACCGATAGCCTATGGAACGCAGATGCTATGGCGGGCGTCGTCCACGGAGAGTCATTTTCTCATTAATTTCTCATTTTTCGTGAACAGACTATTGCTGTTGAGAAGAGGGTGCAGCATAGAGGATGTGGACAGGGAAGAGGCTTAGAAACGTCTCAGCCATGAAGAACTAGCAATGCATGCACTTTGCAGCATCATTTTTGGTAAGCGATTCTTTGTTTTCCAATTTTCAATCGCTACGATAACTTTTGGGTACTGTCTAGAATGAGGCGATATCAAAACTAAACCGTAAAAATCGTAATAAACCGTGCGGAAACTACATAGCTTCATTCGATGGTTGCAATACAGTACAACTGCATTGTGACCGAGTGTTTTTCTCGGTACACAATACTCAACATAAGGTGTGAAATACTTCCAAGCGCTAATAGTAATGTATTTCCATAAGAAACCATAGGAACACAAAGTAAATAAAGGCATACATATCGTTCATATCTACAGAACGGTAGCGCCAACCTCTAAAGTACTTCGATTATTGAAAAAGTACTTCCTGTTATCAAAAAAACCTGGAACTCCGTTAGGTTACTATTCTCGCGACGAATGACACGTATAGATGTCATAATGGTTTTGCTGGAGTGGCCGGTAACACACGAATAGATGTCACTTTATTTCCAGTGGCTTTTTTTGGTTCACAGTTTTTTTTCATCCTACAGTTCTCGTAATCAAATGATGAATTATCCAACGATATCCAGATGGTGTGGTGAGAGGAATATCTATTTACAAAGTTCTCACCGACTTCTCATTTTGCGACGAGAGAGTATTGCCGCTGAAGGGAGTCATTAGCCAGTGAGGAGGCCTAGAAATGCCTCTATCTCGAAGAACTGGCAACACATGCAGAGTGACACATCATTTTTACCATATTTTTGAAACCATACAAGTTCATTAAATGCTAACAGATGCATAGTTGCAAAGTGGAGTTTCCCATTCCTTTCTTTTTTCCATTTTTTTTTGTTACAATTTACAAACCAGAGCTGTTTATGCAACAAGAGCAAGGGAGAGTGTACAGATAAGCATAGAGCAACCATAGGTTAAGAAAAGTGCAGTTCTTTCAAAATGTAGAGAAAAATCGACTTATAAGACGGAAATCACAATGCAAGGAGACAACATTAACCAAAACCACCAGAGTGGTCGGCGTAATATCAGTAGGTGTCCTAGTGATCTCAGCGAAAAAGTAGCAGCCGTCCGCTCCACAAAAATTGGGTTTCGTCACGAAAGTGTTAAAACATTCGCAACGACGCCTAATTTTTGCCCGAATAGTTATGATTCCTACGGAGGTCAAATCGGTCACAATGTTCCCGCAATTACCAAGCCACTCCCCGGTTTCGTCAGGGGTTCCCCGCTGCGTTTTGAAAGAATTTCTGCGCCCCTCCTAACCTATGCAAGCTCCATGCTCTTCTATATATCCTCTCATGTTTCTGGTGAATATACGACTCTTGCACGTAACGAGAAAAAAACCCACCTCTAAGAAATCATGTGCTGTCAACGTATAATGAAGCTGTATAAGTTCTGCAAAGAATATTACGATGTTTACTTTTTAGCTTTGATATCCTCTCATCCCAAATCATAGACAGAAGTCATTATAGCCAATGAAAGTTACAAAATAAAAAAAATGCTCCTCAAAAATAATCTGCATATTATGCGCGATGCCGGTTCTTCGAGGAAGAGGCATCTCTGTCCCATTTTACCGGCCACACTATCTATGCAGAACACTGTCTTCAACATCAATAGTCTCTCGACGCCAAGTGTGAAATTAAGTGAGAAATTAAAAAATACTCTTTCTTGGACGACCTGCCGTTTTACACCTGCACTGTGTAAGGTACCGATCGATTAGAACAAATGTAAGAAAAACTCCTGTGCACCAAAATAAACCCCCGGAAAGATAACAACTCTCATATAGGTCATACCGGCCACTACGTCTCAGTATAAAATGACCTCTACAGAGGTCACATCATTGGGAATGTGTTAACTAAACTAAGGTGACTGATGAAGCAGTAGCACATAATCCGCTTATACCAAAACAATCTCAAAAGAAGGTAGCAATCATTTTTGAATAACTTTAAATGAAAAAAATCAGCTTTAGCTTGCTGTTTAACAAAAGATAATGTTAAAAAGTCAGAGATGAAACAAGGAGATCAAAGAAAAACTCTCAACTGTCAAAGGTTACAAGAACATCATGTACTTGCAGAATGCGTGAATTGCTAAGGTTAACTACCAAATCGAGTTGTGCGTAAAGAGTCGATCGACAGTCTCTCCAATATGCGCGGGGACCAGGTTCGATCCCGCTCTGCCAACCAAGTTTTCTACCTCTCCGGATCGAGAAATCACTACCAGGTATGTCCGAGAACAGCTCACTCCCATTGATCCACAAAAACTAGGCACTACCTGTGATGAAGATCTACGAACGCTACGATATCTCTTTGGAAGAAAACTACCTTCAGCATAGTCTAGAAACGACTAGCGTGCCTATCTGAGATAGATGATATATCTACTCAACAATAAATCTAGAGGCATAAAATTGTGCAGGGATCTCTATCACCGATAAAAGCACGATCCCTAAGTAGCGTCTAGTCCATCTTTTTACATAAACAGATTTTAAAATTAAGACCTATATTTTATTGTATTACTATTAGTTAACGATTCTACTGAACTCTTCAATCACCAGCAAAGTTCTTGAAATTTAACGATACCAACGTTTAGATATATTTACACTGGCACACAAGTGTTTGATTTAACGCGGGTTTACTCCACAGAACGACCAATTTGGTCAGTAATGCAAGAACAGCAAGCAAGAACACTCTGGGGGTCATCCAGCAGAGTGATGAAAGCACAATTGAAGGTAGACAAAACCAAGACGCTATAATAAGACCAAGAGGGCAGATAGAAAACAGGAAAATAGTATGACACTCCTGGTGTCTGACGTCACTATAGCATTGCGAATTCCATGGATCATGCCGAGTGGAAACTGAAAAAAAACTTCGTGGATACGAGCGATGAGATGGTGTTCTCTTCTCCACGACTGAAATAAATATAATATTAAATATAAATATAAATGAAATAAATATGTCTTAACATCAATGTCACATGAGTACACCTTTTATCCCACAGTCGCACGGATAACCGGACAGTCAACACATGAAGGATTTTCTGATAAGTGACAATAAATAAAAGTATTGTACTAAAGGTCATTACAAGATTTTAAGACATTTGAATTCCAAAAACGGTGCAAAACGACTCAAAAGATAGACATAAAATAAAGCAAATTAAACGAACTTTCCTGCTCAATCGATTTAAAACAGTCAGAAGTAGCGCACATTAATAGCCACTTCCGATAAACTTTCTTTGACTATGAAGTTTATGTGAGTGAAAGGTTGGAATAAGACGTCAACCTGTTTCCGAAAGACACGCCCGTGTACGAAACAACGTCGCTCAATAACGCACCAATGCATGCTGCGGACTTATCAACACCAGTTATAGAAACGTTGTGTTGGAACTAAAGTTTTCCCATAATTTTGTTCAGAATTTCTTTTATCATTCAAACCGGTTTATAACTTGTTGCTGCAATGTGTTATGCTGGATTACGTTCTGCAACACTGTATAACAATGGCATAAAAGGACACAACTGTAGCGCAGAAGGTATCGAATCCAAATCGACCACACTCCAGTTTTAACACAAAATGAGCCCACTATAGCCCAGATTATCAATGCAAATTACCATCGTTCGCGGTATGGCCAGCAAACGGCGCTGTTCTGATTCACGCCCTTTGATGAGCTGCGAAGATGTGCTAAAGCAAGATGAGATTGTCATCGCCAATTATCTCGAAACTCACGAAAGAAAAGAGACCGAAACAACTCGGAATCAGGTTTTTGAAGCACGACGCTCAGACTCATGTCACAAAGTAGATTTGTAACTGAAAACTGGTTAGAGTAGCCGAACACCATCAAACTTTCAACCGAAACGAAGCGCTTCTAGCCCATCATTTGTTCAGAAACATGAAGTACTTGTGCCACAAAAACTGTACCGATTACAATTATCTAAAGAACATATTCACCAAATTTTCCGAAATGTAACCTCTACTGTCTGGTAACGCTACATTCTGGAACTGTGCGAAAAATATTACACTATTCTTGATAACAACAGTTCAGATATGGTTAGCCTAAGTTTCGTATTGAAAGAACGAAATAAATCGAAAATGTAGTCCAAATCTATAAGGATACATACTTAGACCCAGTAAAAAAACTTGCAAGAATTCGTATTAAAAATTTGAAGTAAAAAGAAAACACTCTGAAATTGACCAAATTCTCTGAATTTTTCAAAAGAACCTCTCTACTACCTGTACGCTCGCTGAGGTATAAAATCTCTCTACAGTTTCTACCATTCAGTTCAAGAGTAAGCGAACCTACTTCCGAACGAGCGACTGGATGAGAATTTCGAAATGGACTGGTTTGGGACAAATACAACCGATGAGTAAGTACGCGCGACAGGCGCCTCATTCTTTTAGATTAAGTGTGTATTACTTGCTCAATCAGCCCAATGCAATTAAAAAGGCAAAAAGAAAAAATTCAACAAAAGCGCTTGAATATCACCTGTCCAAACGATGGTCGATCTTGTGGTTTTAAGGCCCAAGCGTCATTCATTATGCGAACAATATCCGTAGGACATCCTTCTGGTGCTTCCATTCGATAACCTCTTTCTATGTGACGTACCACATCTTGTATTGGCTATAACGGAAGAATTTAGTTATTAAGTCTCAAAAAAGGACAAAATGAATGATATATTTGGAATGTAACGGATTATATGTGTGGATACCACTAAGCTGAATTATGTCATATCATCGTCCAATCTGCATAATCTATACAGTTTTGTGAGATATCCAATTTCTTCAACATAAAAATAAACCACGGAAGGAAAGAAAGGCAAATGAAGAAACCATCGACGATGAAATTTTAGATCCTAAGTAGCAATCACCAACAATGGTATGGAAGTGCAGAAGAGAAATAACAGGACTACCTTCTAGGCAGGTTTCTGCCACTAGAATAGGTAGAGATCTTACAAGATGATCAGATCAACGCAATGGTCTTTAATGAATATGTGGAAATAATAAAAAGGAAAAATTAACAAGAATGTGGCAGTGTTTCGTTAACGTTAAAGGTAACAGTGAATTCAATATAAAACAATTCCCACTATGGCAATTGGCCAAACGAAAAACAGCAGGTTACCTAAGGCTTACGACTCTGTGGAAAACGTTACTCTTGGTGAAATGTTATGATATCCGTTGATGGATGATTGCTGATAGCACTACAAGTTAAAAACAGGGTTGGCAAAAAGGCGAAACGAAGGACCCGTATGGTGTGGTGGCGAATGAGTTAGCACCTGGAAAGGACAGTAGTGAGTTCGATCCCCATCGCAGACACCTATGATCCAGAGTTTTGCAAATACCTCAGCATCACTGTTGTCCTGATATAGATTCCACGTGTTCAAAAGCTTAACTTTGTACACTTAACATCACGAAAAAGCGTGAAGAGTTATTTCGGTATTGTAATATCGCGTCTACTAAATCGGCACTAGCAAATCCTCTAGCAACCAACTTCGGGTTTATATATCTTGGCTTTCGTTAGTGTTTCCATAAAGCGTCATTTATGACTGGACCTGTCACACCTATTTAACTAAATCGAACTGACGGTACAAAAACGTAGGTACAAAATGCCTTAGTTGACAAAGAAAGTGTTTTTTTTAGTAAATTCGACAGTTCTCTACGATTATTTTCACATCCAAATAAGAAAAGCGTTAATGAGACTGTGGCGAAAACACGAGACAACAACCAGATTTGAGAACAACAAGTGCACACAAACACACTAAAACTCAAGAAACAAAGGATGATTATAAGTGAAAAACAGCAACACAAACTGGTAGGACAAGCACATAGACAACACATACCGAACGCCCATCGACACCCTGAACAAGGATACATACACCAAAAAAAAAACGTAAAAATGTAAAGTGAGTGATTAAAAACCCACAATCCGTGGATATGGTACACGACCAAACGAAAAAATCTCCCATAACAACACTCCAAAAGACCACATGTCACTCTTAGACGAGAAATTCTGAAACATAGACTAGAGATAAATAAAGAACGGATTCTGTAAAAAAAAAAATGCGACTTACACTATGTCGCAAAGCTTCAGGAGCTGTCCACTTAATCGGAAACTTTCCAGACGTATTGTCCTGAGAAGACGAGTGTGCCTTTTTGGCTAATCCAAAATCGCTAACTTTCGCCACATACTCTTCATCCAACAACACGTTACGAGCAGCCAGATCTCGGTGAACGATTTGGCGAGATTCCAGATAGCACATTCCTCCGCAAATATCTCTGAACAAAATAGTGAAGTAAAGAGTTATAGTTTCGAATAACAGAAAAGTGGAAGAAATAAAGAGCACACATTGCAAATTGCACCAGCTGTAACTTGTCAAGTTGATGCCGGCCTCTGGATCGTAACAAATCCACTAAATTTCCATTAGCCATATATTCTGTCACCATGTAGATGTTAACATCATCTAATACGACTCCAATAAGGGCCACAAGATTACGGTGAGACAGTCCTCTAAAAAGTATCTAAGATTACTTGAACGTCATATAAGGCCACCAACAAAAAATTTGTTGAAGAAAAAAATCGTGTTCTAACCCATCTTCGCCTTTAAATGTTAAGAAAGATTTTCAATGGATAAAACACCTGAAAAGGGTTAAGAACGTAATCTTACATCGACCATAAGATTGGTTTACTAATTCTGAACAAAGATTCTCACTGTCACGGTTCAAAGAAGACTCTGTATAACAAAACCACTTCTACAACGACTACTACTTACTTTCATGGATACTTGGATGACCCTTCTTCATTATTTGTGAGGGTTCTAGCGTAATTTCCATTTTTCGGAGCTTTGCTGATTTATCAACTGTGCCAAAGTGCCCCAGACCGTCACCACCACAGGCAGTCGCATCCTTCGTGGATCAAAGGGAGATTTGCCACCATGCATGCAACTTTGATAACAGGACGATGGTGGATCCTGGTATTGGTTTACTCTTAGAAGGGCTTCCTGATGGAAATGCCGGACTCTTTCTCAACATGGGAGACACTGCCGGGGGACGAATCATACCACTGGACATCGTAGCGACTAACCGTTGGGAGGACAACGATGATTACAAAAACAGAACATCCTTGTCCATTTCCTTTCTTCCCACCCTTCACACACAAAGAGGGCGATTGTGAGAAACATGTTTCGAACAGCCACCTCTGTGTGCACTACCAGGGAACTAAAGGAAGAATCGCGCGACTTGGCCCGGCAAATAGCCACCTCCAATGGCTACGAAATAGTAACCCCACGAGATAAGTTTACAAGGAGAACGACGCGCCCACGCGAAACGCTTGGCCAAAACAAAATCCCGTTTATGTTGCCTTTTATAAGCGATGAAGTAAGCGCAGCTATAAAACGATGCTTAAGAAGGGCAGATCTAGAGGAATCGGTAGCGATAGTTGAAATACCACCGACTACTCTACGTCGCCAATTAGTTCGCAACCGCCTGTATGACCGTCTGTGTGAAACAACAAATTGCGTAATTTGCCCTTACGGCAGGGACGGTGATTGCATGAGTTCAGGTACGATATACCTGATCTCGTGTAACAATTGCGGAGATGAATATATTGGCGAAACGGGCAGACCTTTGTGTATCCGTATAAAAAAACACCTAGATGGCAAACGAAAACTAAGACGAAGCACCCCACTAGGCACGCATAGGATACAAAAGCATAGCGGAGACGATTTTGAAGTGAAAGTCAATATCCTTGCACAGGAGACTAAAACACCAGCGCGAAAACTCCTTGAGGCTTTTTGGATCAATGCCAAAAGCCCTACAATGAATAGCAGGGATGAATGCCCGGAGATCATACGCGACCTGATCTCGTACGTTCGCATCGATTTTTGATGTGGGATGGTGCAGTCGTCAACCACATGCGACTATAATCAGCTGTTCTAAACTTCCTCATTGGAAGTCACGAAAAAGCGGTGGGTTTTTCGAGAAGTTGTTGATTGTGTAATTGCCGGAGAGTTCTTCGTCTTTTTGTAAGTGTTATTGAAGCGTTTGGCCTAGTAGATTGTATATCAGTATACCCTTCCAGGCTCTGAAGAAGGCGATACTGCCGAAACGTCAGCTAGCGTTGTATTGTATTGTGTTTTCTTTATGGAAGTAAATGTATGCTGTTTAAAAACCTCGCGATTGCTGAGCAAGAAAACGACACATACAAAAACAGAATTGAGGACTTACACCATAAATCGAGATTCGTCGAGTAGAGAATCCAGCATACCATTACCATGTCGTTTAGACACCTTGACGGCAACCTTTTTGTCTTTGTAATAACCCACCAATACGTCTATGAGAGTGAGTAAAATATGACAGTAAAAATAATACTAAACCAAAGAGAAACAGTGCGCGAAATCAGTTACCTCCAAACTCGCCGTGACCTATAATGTCACCAAGGCGAATATCACCGGATGGAATAACAAGTCCCGCTTTCATAAAAGCACTAGTTCGGTCTTCTAAATTTGCATTATTCGCCAAGATCTGGTAGCTTTCACAGATTACTGGAGTTACGAGTCGATGGCATAGTCCATCAGCATCACGTTTGTAGTGCTACAAAACACTATCTCTAAAGCAAATATGAATTCCTTAAAATCAAATTTATCAGTCGGTCAAGAGTAATTTCGTATTGCATTATAACCAACGCATACAGTATTTAACTTTTATATTTTAATGGCCCGTCTTCATTAGTTGTGCGGACCCCAGCATAATTCCTACCGTTTCGGAGTTTTGCTGGTTTAGCCATCGTGGTTCTTTGGAGTCCCGGGGTCAGCCTGGCCAAAATCTGCCTCAGGTCGTCGCCACCACAGGTAGTCGCAGTCCTCATGGATCCGAGGGAGACTTGTCACCATGCAACGAGTTTGATACCAGTACGGTGGTGGATGGGAGGGGAGGAGGGAGAGGAAGGGGAGGGGGTAGGTCCCCCCACTGAACATCATCGCAGTTTGATGACACCCATGAACATCCACTAGACACGAAGAGGCGGAAACCGTTGGGAGGTTGGGAGGACGCAGTATTTCGTTCATACTAAAAGTCAAACATAAAAAATTCCGTACGGTATCCTAATGCGACCCGTTGCTACAGACTTCGTATCTTAATGAATTGAAAAACAAGATAATTACCGAAACTAGTTGTGTAAGATTGGTGAAGAACTCCTCGTTATCACAGGTGATTTGTCCTCCCGTTTGGTATATTCGATAGTGTTCCACCTGATTAAAAACTGATATGCTAAGCTATTAGAAGGTAAAACATGAGAGAATCACGTCCACACCTTCCCTCTATACGTCATCGACAATGTGTAATCTCCAGGGAAATTTGTGGATTCCCTTACCAGAAATGTGCCATCCGCTCGTTGGTGAAGCATCCTACAACAAATTTTGTTAGAGAAAGGTTCACGAAAAAAAATACAAGTACTAAACATCGTGGTAATGCACAAAAGGCTACTAGATCAATTTTCTAGTGAGGAATATGCGCTTTCGTTCGTATTGCAGTCATTTAAAAAAGTTCTCGGCGTTGGCCAATCCCCCAGAAATGCGTAATACATTCGAGTTCACTAAGCATTGTTGAAGGTGACTGAGTGAATATCTGGTATTAAAAATGATTTGTTGTGGCTCACCGATGCATCGAGCCAACACTGCTATTCTCCCAGATAAGTCTGGTTCCAATTTACCGACCCTGGAGAGATGGAAGGCTTCGTAGGCTTGGTGCGCAGAGATCGATCCCATGTGTATTGTAGGGCGCTTTTAACCACTGCGCTACACAAGCCGCTACACTACAGCCAGTACTTCGGTAAAATGGTTCAAATATTTCGGGAAGCAATTGTTTTACTTGTCAAACAATTTTATTCGCCCTCTTACTACCCTTACATGGCACTTTTCAAAAGTATTGGAAAAAAACACGTCATTATCTACACAACTAGAAACCCTCGTAGTCCTGCAGTGCTACATACCCAAGATACCATGCCGTACTGTACTTCACAAGAATCACAGTCAACAAAAGTAAAACGTTGTTAAAACAGCTTAAACAACGTAAATCAACGCACCTTTCCGTAGCTTCGCGAGTGACGTTCGAATGGAACCATGGCATATGAGAAGTAGCGAAGACTTCACGTTCTCTAGTTCGAACGCCATCCATCGATGAAAGAAGAGTCCGTCGAACACAGTTAAGACAAAACTCGGTCCTTAGCTAGGAATTCACTAATACGGAGCCCATTTGATCTCTGGAACAGTCAACAATGTTCCTATGACACAATAATATTATTATGGAACAAAACTGTACAAAATTATTATTCAAACACTCCGTAGGATCTCATGACCGAGTATCCGAAGGATTAAACGACATCGATAAACGTGGAATAATACACAACAGTACGTGAGGATCGAACTCCGAAAAATCTGTAGACTAAATGAATATTCAAATCTCTCTTGCTGTTGCAGAAGTTAATGCGGCTGTTTTTGCACAATAACCGATATTTTGGCAAACAGTCGAGGTGAAGCAATACCAGACGACACCTGGCAGGACTCCTACACTGCGTCACGTTGGGATTTCGTCTGGGATAATCCTCTCAATAATGAAGAGGCCTTTAACATACAATATTTTGCACATAATTAAAGCGTTTAATACAGTCTCAGCTAAAATTTTTGTGGAAAACCACAGCTCTCACCAGTGTACATTTAACCTTTTTGAAACCCATATGAATCAACACAAGATCAACAGGAAAGCTTCCATTCAAAATCGGCCGAAAGCTTATTGTACCTGAGGCCATTGAAAAATTAAGCACCGATACCTGTGAGATAAAACTAGTTTAACCACATTATTCGCAGGACATCCATTCACCAAATGATCATATGCCTGAGTAGTTGTGTCATGCTGGGCTAAGACCGACTGTTCTTTCGATAGTGGACTGCCCTCCTCTTTCTTAGCAGAATGTTCGCACAATTCCATCGAGTCGGTTCTTGTCAACGGCATCCCACATCATAAGTGTTTTTTCGTACTTCAACTATACTTGGTTTTTTTTCAACTATACACGAAAAGTATCCAACTTATCGAATAAAATGCTGGACCAAAAGAAAGCATGGGAAAGAATGGGTAATTTCCAAGGCTTAGCACGATCTTTGGTGATTATTCAAACGAACAAATGTAACAGCGAGTCCAGTTACCAAACCATAGATATGGAAAACAATCATAGTAAAACCAGCTCTGGACAATGAAAAATAGGCGTTTACTAATTGTGAAAGAAAAATAACTTCTCTAGCGTTGATTTACCCAAGTTTTAAATGAAGGCTATTAATGATGAGTGACGATAAAAATAGCAATCCGTAGGGGAAGTTTTCGAAGTTTTCGTTCAAATTCTAATGTAGGAAAGGTCAAAAGCGACAAATTGAAATGAATTAGACTTTACTTTACCAGTCTGAAGTACTTTGATAGCTACTTTTACAACGACGGCAAAGGCAAGAATCCAACAAAATGAAGACAGATTTCAGAACCAACGAAAAGTTGCAGAACTAAGGAATTCGAGCACGCCACTCCAATACAAGCTGCTTAATTACTTACCTACTTAACTACTAAGCTACATTACCTGAACTCTCCTTAAACTTTGAGTGGTGGAGCGCACTTTTCGTGGATTTAAAGCAGAGCCGCGTCGCGTTGGCGTTGCGGCGCGTCGCCATTCACTCTCGCACACCCGAGCGCCGGTGTACGCCATACGCCATTATGGATTTATCGGGGCAGTTCCAGCCCCGGAGTGCATATTGCGCTCGCCCTCACTGGTTTCGTGAGGTAGTTCTGGTACTGTGGTTTCCGTTAGGGGTTGGGAGTCCTGTCAGGCAGTGCTAGGTAGCACCTGGAACTCGGCAATGGGCTTAAGACGTTTTCTATGCTCCTTATGCCAATCTGTAATGCCCCGGGGGCTAATCACGAGCTCTGCTCTTCCGCACCAGTTAGCTTCATCCCCTCGGGTTCTCAAAGGGTATTTCAAGAGATCTCAATTCTTGGTCACCATCGCCTCCTCTCAGTATTATTATCTGTACTAGTTCCAGTACTATGTCTCCCATCGAATTTATACTCGATGAAGATTGATCGATAAGCAGTTTCCATTGAGTTTGTTGATCACGTTTATCCGTAACTTCCTTCTTATTATGGGCAGTGGACAACCGCCGCTGTCAGTACTGTCTCTTCCTCAGTCTCGTTCGTCTCCTGAGTGCATTGATAACACGGTGTCTTCATTGCTGATTCAGGAAGGTGCCTCTTCGTGATGTGGAAGTGATTGGCTTCGTTCACATTTGTGCCGTTTCCTCCAAAATATTGCCTTTGTTCGTGATGGGTGGACATCTCCCAGGCTTATGGTCTCCGTTATTACAGTAAGTCTCGAGGTGCTACTGAAAAGTTTCTGGATCTTGCGTTGTTGTTCCTGAATTTTCTCCTAGGTTCACCAAGCAGCACCAGAGTTATGATGAGATCTTCCTTGAGACAATCAGCACTTTGTTTTATGGTGTCGGTAATTTAAAGGATTCCATTCGCCATTACATAGCTATTATGGTGAGTTTAATGGAGCATATTTGTTATGTAGCCAAGAAAAGGGCGATTTTTCTTCAAATAAAGCTCGTAAATGCTACTGTGGTATCTAAACGTCGCCTGCACACCTTTCGGAGATGGTTGTACTGGATATAAAGTGGTTGGGACCTTTGAGGTCCAAGTGTAAACTAGGTCCTGCTAAGCTTGCAAGGTCTCCTAGAACGCTATCCTTAAAGGAAATAGGTTTCGAAAAGAATATATAGTGAAGTGAGTGTTTATATGAGACTAGCAAAAATACATAAGTATTGAAAATTAGGTCAAAATTATAGCTTGTTCTAAGTACTAAAAGTACTACACTGCAAGTACTACAAGTTAGACTAACTTGTTCTAACAGTGTTCAATTTTTAAGCATGTAGGAAATGTACTGGCACATTCTGTGCTGTGTCGTTCACTATGAACTAATATTGCACTTTTAATTACCACAAATTGTTCCATTGTGACGTCACAACTCGTAGAGATATTGTAATACAAGATAAAAAGAAGGTAGCGAACTTGTAGCTGCTTTTGTGATGTGTTCCATGGAATTCAAACCCTTGATTTGTAGTAATATTTAGATTTACTTTAGCGCAAGTGCAACTTTAGGGTAACCTCGGTTGTCATCCTTCTTTGCAAACCTTCGATTCCTCAATATATTATGTTAAACTATAGTAATGCTGAGATATTTGCAAAACTCCGGACCGCAGGTGTCTGCTGTGGTGATCGCACCCGTTATTACCCTTTCCGTGGCTAACGTGTTCACCACCACACAATGCAGGTCCTTCCTTTCGCATTGCGCTCGGCCTTGTTTCTATTAAAACTGTTTAACTTTCCTTATCACCTATGTTAAATGGTGGAGAATTGATGGTTTTTAGGCTGCCACTAGGCATCGTTGTTCATTCCTTATAAATCTTCATGAACGAGAATTCGAGCGTACCGGTGGTGATACAAAGTGGCTAAGAGGCCTGAAATATGTGGATGAGCCGAAAATTCTATACTTGGATGACATCAACAGGGTTTTAGCGCATCAACCATGGCTTTGTGATGGCGAATATATAACGGTATGGCTATAATTTATTCGAGGTGAACTTTTCACTCCGAGTGGTCCCGTCGTACTGTCGATGCTGAAGAGTATTTCTCCAATCCAGTAACCATTTTTAGGGCCTGGTGCAAGGGGATGTACGGATACATTGGTCGCTTCACGACCTCGCCTTAGCAGTGATCATCCTTAGCCACACACACGCCCTGTGTTCATTCGTACATGGCGTTGGAGGTGTCTATCCCAGCCAAATGTTAGAGTAAGATTAAGTATCTTCTGTTGTTTTTGAACAATAAGCCAGGAATTCAAAAGTTGTTGTCAACTTTTTAAATTATTGGTGTGTGGACTCAACACATCAATTTCTTCATAGTTCCGTTTACAATGATAGTATGGGTGTGAGCATTATCGTGAAGAGAAGTAAGGCCAAGAATTTATAATGATGCTGAGATATTTACGAAACTACGGACCGCTGGTTTCTATGGTGAGGACTGAACGTGTTATTACGCCTTTGGGGGACTAACGCGTTCACCATCACACTATGCGAGTCCTTCGTTTCGCCTTTCTGTCGGCTTCGTTATTGACCTACAGGCCAAGAATTGATTCGGAGACATCGGACAGCAGAAAGTAAACGCTAGTTCTATGCACTTTTGCTAAGAATAGGAAAGTGACATCCGTCCTTGTGTTAGTCTAGCGTCGGTCCATGTAGTGACGATATCTTTCATGAAAGCTGCCTAATAGTGTCAATACTAGTGTAGTGAATGTAACGAAATCCACTGTGATGCTCAATAGCTGTCCTTATCTCAAGTCTCTTTTTGAGCGGTGGAAAAGTAACGGATCGCGAAAAGTATGGTCTCTTTGATAAAGCGGCATTTTTGAGAGGTGCTTGCTGAGTGAACTTTTGGATAACCAATACTGTCCAAATTGCTACAGTTGAAGTAGTTGCTTACAATTGTCACTGTAGTTGTTTCGGAACCCCTTCATCGGTTTTTTTGTTCGCAAATTTTTGCAATTTTTGAGAATATTGGAAGAATTTCGGACCAAATATTTGTAAAAATCAACGAGTGTATCGGCCTATTCGACTAACCTGCATATTTTGCTTAGCAGGTGGACACACTTGAAATTGTTTACGTCTGTAGCACATGGTTCTATTCAAAAACACTTTGAACGAAAGAATGCATTGAAGAAACGTAGTTGATAGTGCGTGTTTGTTTTGATGTTCTGGTGCTATCTTGTCTGATTCTAGGCCACCTCGCCATGAATTTCCTGATTGGTCCCTGCGAAATAAGGAAAACACCGGGACACAAACTGGCGAGGTAGAGTGTGTCGGGACGTTTCTTTTCGTTTAATTACAGGTTCTAGTTCTTCGATCGGTTTTTGCGAGAGTTTTCTTGCTTTGGAAGAAATCAGTGCAATTGTTTGCTTAGTTTCAGCAGCGTAATTTCAGTAAAGAATATTTCTTCTATGAGTGAAGGTATGACTGATTGTAAAGAAAAAGTTTGAAGAAGTGAATGTGTAACTCACATACATTTGAAAATAAGCTGTGAGACCTTTCTAAGTCCTTAAAGTAAAGTGTTCTTTATACGTTCGCAAATTGTTCTGTGCAGGTCGAGGAACTCCTCCGTCGCATGGCAAGCCTTCAGCGCCCAACAATCGATGGTGGTGAGATGACTGCAAACAACGCACTACATTTTCTTGCGCTTGCTGAAGGATCATCAGGTGGTTCACCTTACTAGCTTTTAAACGTAAACTGTTTTGACTCGCATTTCTGTAGTATTATATGGCTAATGGGAGTCTTGGCTATTAGTCTTATATAGGTCATCGTGACGAGGAGTTGCATTCGAATGTTCATTGGGGATTTTGAAACGTACTCTGTTGAAATACGTCGAAAAATCCTTAGCATGATTTTTGGGGTACATCCTACTCATTATCATTGATTGATGCTTGATGTAGTCTGGAAAGCCGTTCTAGTGCTTTTACAAGTCGTTGTAAGCTTCAACCTTCCGATTATATTGTTACCAGTATGATGATGGTTCTTGACATTGATTCACTATTAGCTAGCTTCCCAGTGGCAGTGTCGGACTCCGAAACGTGGGCGAACCTGCGGTCTGAAGTGCTGCGAACCAATCGTAGTTCGACACTCAGGATTTCTCCTACCTACACTGCAGTAAATCATTGGGGATCTATTTCCATTAGAATTTAAGAAAGTGAAAATTTGGGAATGACATTTCTTTCAATTCGAGACTATGTTGCTTCTCCCACGAACGACTTTCTGTTAACCTCGGCATTGATCAAGTAATTCTTCGTATTCTTGTTGAGCAAACACGAGCTGTTATTTTATTCTTTATTAACGAATAAGCTGACGTTTCGGCGGATTTCGCCTTCATGTTGTTTATGTTGTTGTTTCTAACTTCAGATTTGCACTCTGGCGGTGACTCGCCTGTCGGCGAGGGGAACAGTGAAGAACCAGTGTTTAGCTTTCAAAAAGAGTTTGGATATGTTGACTTTGCAGCTAGAAAGGATCGAGCTAAAACATTTAAGATACACGTGAGTATTTGACATGTTGTTTTTTTTAAAATGTTTGTTGTTACAAATCAAAATTCGTTTATTAGGAGTTCACTTGGGATCATGGCTTCAGCCTTCTCAACGATCTCGTGCCGGAATCTGCACAGAATCTGGATGAGAAGTTCGAGCTTACGCAGAGGCTCACGTACTCTTTGTAAGTTTCACTATCCGTTTGGTCTTTCAGTTGTAGTGCACAACGGCTGTGTAAAAGAGTATGGTGTTGATAGGAATCTTTTCTTAACATGTTTCATTTTTCAGCATGGGTGGTTATGAGAATGTGGATACGACGGTGTATAGAAACGCTGTATGGAACTACATTCATGCCCTTTTTGGTATTCGCCATGATGACTACGATTATGCGAAGGTTACTTAGCATTTGAGCATTCTTCGGAAAATGTGAGGTAGAAGCTACATTGAAATCCGCAACTTTTGGGAACGTTCTTTCTCAGTGAGATACTTCAATAATGATTTCATCAAGGACATTTGTCATTGCTCACTGTTTTTACCAAGTCTGGAGTGATTAATGCGAAACTTTGGCGATGGTATTCTCAGGAGTTTAGGAGACTGTGAAAATTGTTTATTTTGAATATTGAACACTTTAAGTACTTTAATTAACGTTTCTTCTACCTTTTACTTTAAGTACTTTAGCAGTTTAAGTTTCGTTTGTAATGAAATAATTCCTGAGTTTGAATGATAACAGGTGAACACGTTGTTGTCGCGCGATATGAAGACATTTGTGAAGACGGCGGCATGTTTTCCTCATCGTATCACAGAGGACATGCGAGAGTCTGTAATGAAAGACTTTAAGATGTCTGAAAAGGTGCGTTGTGGTTTGTTGACGACTCGATGTATGGTGTGGTCAATATTGATGGTTTTCTCAAGCAAAATAATTGTACTTAGTCGTGTAAATTCTCGTTCTGTAATATTTCTCGTTTGTGATGGCGTGCATCTGTGCACACCTTTTCGAATCCACAATTCTTCCTGCCTTAATGTATGCGTTAGAAAAGTGATGGCTGCGTAAGCAGGATAATAGATATGATACTCAGAATTATTGAACGCGCAGTCGAAAGGATGATGCTAGGAGTATTCCATTTCACACAAGTAAGGGATGGGATCCGAAGCCTGCGTCAACGATCAAAAATCAAAGTTGCCGTTCTGTACGCCAAACAATCGAAGATAAGGTGAGCCGGACACGTAATGCGTATGAATGACAAGCGATGAACAAGAGCCATTAGTGACTGGATTCCTCTGGATCTCAAACGTACTGCAGGAAGACCACCGACCCGTTGGTCAGAGTTCTTCACGAAGAGCCTGGAAGAAAAGTGTGATGATAAACGAGTCTTTAGAGCGAACAAAACCCACTGGTCTACTCTTGCACGAGACAGGGAGAAATGGAAGATTTATTGGCGCCCGCTCGCGTCACTCGACGATCAACACAACTGCAAGTGATAGCATGTGTGCAGTCTCACTACGTTTTTAGTACAACCTACTGAGCAAGCATGGGGTTGCATTAAGATTTAATTGTTGAATATCCGTCGAAGTTGTTATTTTAAACAAAAAGTGAAAATGGGTGACCTCGACTTGAACCTACGATGTTTTCCATTCCAAGAAATCTAGGACTATGGAAAAAAAAAACTTTACTGTTTGTGGGAAATTTAACTTGAGGACATCTAGAATCTGTAGTGTGGAGCGATTTAGACCTGTGTTTTATATCTATAGTGTATAATAATACTTAAGCCTTCGTTTTACAATTTTACCTGCATGAAAATTCGGTCATTTTATTAAATCAGGGTGTTGTGTTTCTGTTCATAATGTTCGTAAGTGCGTTTCAAAGCGATGGTTGAAGGTTCTGCATATTAAGCGATGCAGTGTTTTTGTAATCGGACCGTTGTTGTGGGTGTCTGCAAATTTTTCGTTACAGTAGGGATGAACCAAAGAGATGTAGTGGAAAAACTGTGAATTTAAATGATCATATTGCGGTAGTTGGTTAGAACTAGTAGTATTTCAGAAGTGATATGTTCTCTGGCCCTTAACAATAAGTGCTTTTGTGGAACGTTTAATTTACTTGCATACTACTTGAACTCGACGACACCTCCAGATTTGAATAAAATCGATTATTGATTGGTTAAGACTGACTCGACCGATTACAGATTCATGTAATGCTGCTGATCATGGAGGCTCGTTTGCAAGCGTCAGTGTTATATTTCGCAAGAGCTCTTACCAATCACTATTCGCGTACAAAGAGAGCCATCCAACAACCAAAACGTCTCGACTAACAATTTTATCAGGGGATACGTTGGCTTAGGCTGGTTATGTCTGAAGAATAAAGGATAGCGCACTGCTGTAACAATTCACATTCGTCATTGGTTCGGTACGATTTAGACCTCTTCTCTGTTAAGTTTTAACTCTGTCATTAAGGTTCGATTTAATAAATTCGTGTTTAGCGCACTTGACACTAAAAAATGTTTTACCGTCACTACCTTTACTGTGTATTGTGGCCTTTGATGTGTATTTTTTCTATATCACATCCGTAGCTCCTTGTTAGTTCTATTCGTACAGATTTTCTGACCAGTACAACGTCAAGCGAGTAATTCCCTCATTTATTCAGTCACCTCTGACTTCACCTCTATTCGTGGTATTTGTACAGTCTGTGCTTCCACCGAATGTCAAATTGGAAATGAGAAAAAAACACGCTTGAAAGCACATCTTCTCTTTCTCTGTATACTACTGCTATCATTGTCATGTATGGCATAATCTAACTAGCTTCATTGTCTTAACCCTTCCTAGTCGGTTATTTCATACGCTGTAGCTGTCATTCGCGCTTCGTATCCCACTACTTAAGCACATTTTGTTTCCCAATTTGTTTTTTCGCATAGCGACTATGTAGTAATTCGATAGTTATTTTTTGTCATTCCAGTATAAATATAACCTGCCAGGAACACATACACACGTACCGTACGTATCAGCTGCTGCTTTCGTTTATTAGCTAAAGTACTGTAGTCCAACTATGTGAACCTTGAATGCCAATTCGTTCTACTTCGTTGTCCTCAGGGACGTTATTGTTCTTGTGATGCTTTGTTGAATGTTTAGATTATGTTGTATGGCTGTTATTATTCATTTTGTTTTCACACCTCATTCCTAGAACACTTGAGTAAAGTTGCGAGATCGTTGATCGAATAAAAACACGCTTCTTACAGATCAGGAAAAAGATGATGTGCAGATTTATTTCCTTTATTATTCGTTGGACTTTGCACGTACTGTGTTACAATATTTCTAAGAGTAAGAGAGAAACCGGTCAGCAAGAAAAGAACTGAGGCAATGTTGGTCGGTCGTTTAACATCAGGTCGATGTTTGAGAAGAGAACGAACGCGGTGTGTGGTAATGATGAAATAAGATCAGATATCAACAATACCGCACAAATAGACTGGAAATGAACTCTGGTCGAGTTCCGTGAAACAAAACAAGAACAGTTTTAACGATTGGTTGTGTTATTACATAGTATTGTTCACAACAAATATATGGAGGCATATACAAGTGCTACACTGAACTACAAACAACTCTGAAAAACGAAGATTCACCGTTCATCAGGAGAGATAAATATTTATCACAGAAGAATATGATGAGGATTTTCTTAATTATATGAATTTTGTATTATAACATCTTTGTAAGTATTGATCGGATTTGTGTAAAGCTCGTAAAATTAGATTCTGTAGCACCGTGACAGTTTGTCGCACCAAATTTTGCACGATAAGTGAAAGTTTCAGAACAAGAGTCATACTTTAAGTAGAGAAGATCATCCTCGCCCTTACGTTACATCCACTATGGTCGATGAAATCTGTAAATATTTATTGTAAACATCGAATAAAATATGAAGGATAAAGTATTCAGCTTTAGTCAATCAATTTGAGATCTAGCATGCATTCAACCCCATTCGTAACATAGAAATGGTTGGATACATATTTGGCGCATATAATGACACAACTTGTGCTTTCCTACTGATTTATCAAGTGAGTACATTTATCTTCCCAGAGAAATCTGGCAGCCAGTCCGCCGATAGAGAGATGGAGAACGCTATATTTGCACGGTGTACAGGGTCGAACCAAAGACCACATGTATTGCAGGGTAGCTCCAAGCAATGCCGCTATACGCGCCTTGATATATTATTGATTTGAATTCAATATTACCACATATAATGTCATTTGTAACCCAACGTAGCGTAATATCGATGTTTTGTTGCTCTAATTCATCGCTTTTGATAGATTTCTTTTTTTGTTACAGAATTCTTTACTAGATGTAATAGCAACTCCTACTGTAGAAATGAGTTCTGTTCAATCCATGTTCAACGAGCAAAGAATTATGCAATATGTTCTCGTTACACGAAAAACATGTTTTCATCTTTCAGAAACAAAACCAATTGCCTGAGATAGACGTATCCGATTTGTTTGCCTCGAATAAATTTGAGCGCTGTAAGCGTTTCGCTCATTCGAAGACTATGCAAACATTTGAAAACTCAATTCTACGCGTTCGTGAAACGACAGTGTAGAAAATCTTAATTGTGAGACTATATATATATATATATATATATATATTTGACGCGTGTGTAGCCCAGTGGTTAGAGGTATTTTACAATAGACGAGTGCCGCTATATCGACCATTTAGCCTGAGCTAACAAACTCCGTCATCCTTCAGGGTCATCAGATTTCTATCAGCGTTGTCTTCTTGAAAATGAATACATCAAATTGGTACATTGGCAATCTCCTAAAAGTTATTGTATAGGCTAAATGTGCCTCCAACCACCAGTATGGTGCCACGAATGGAGCCGAATGCATAACGCATTTTTGAGGAATCGGCCAATATTTCATTACTTCATTATCTATAGACACTATACTACAGGGCGCATGTAGCGCAGTGGTCGGAGGCGCCCTGCAATACACATGGAATCGACCCGCGCGCCTCTGGCTCACCAATTCCTCCTTCTTTCCATGGTCGGCATATTGGTGCCACCCTTGTGTAGGAGTATAGCAGCACTGACTCGATACATCGGTAAGCCACCGCGAGTCATTGTAAAGGCCAGATATGCATTCAATCATCTCCAAACGATGCTTAATGAAACAGAATGCATGGCGCATCCCTTAGGGATTGATCAACGCCGAGAGCTTCATTTTATCCTTTTAATTTATACCATTACTAATGACTTATGTAATGGTTTTGCATATTGCAGAACTGAGTTTTATCACACAACTCCGAGGAAAAAACCGCCTTCAGTAACACCTTGAGATAAATAGCCGGGAACGTTCTGGCACGACTACCTCTGGAGTGAAAAAAGATTCCCCATTAATAGCATACTGATCAAAGAAAAACTGCGCCGAGTCCGCTTGACTTTTCAGGAAAATAAGCCACTCAAGTTCAAATTTGAGGACGTTAAATGGCGAAACGCTTCGAGTTCACGTTGAGAAAAAAACTAAGTAGATAAATAATGCTCGCACACACCTAGTAAAAATTCGGCTTTCCTCATGTACGTCCATTTCGGTGGCCTTAAAGTCGTTGAGTTCTTTACGAATAAGTGCCTAAAGCACCGTTTTTGTTTTGCGACAAAGTAACAATCACTACTTTACCGCATATACTTCTTTAGTCCGGCGTACCTTATCCGTAGATGTTAATCGAGTCCACGGTTTATCCGCTTTACGATCATAAGCTTCTGCTTGAGTCACTTCCACGTAGTCATTGAACTGTATAATTTGCTGTTCTTTTAGTTGTGCAATAGTTGGTCGAAAACTGAGCTGAAAAAAAAAGCATCTATGGGGTTCCACTTAGGCAATCGTATTCATACGGTTACTAAGGACGAAGACGAACCTTTCTTAGTAACAGCTTCCGTTTCTCTTCCATTGTTTTTCCGGCAGGATTCCTCAGTATATTTCGATTTTCAAGTTCTTCAACTGTTGGACGTTCACTTAGTTTTCTGCAAACTTCGTATAATATGAATTCATATGAACTAGAAATGAGGAGATTAAAAAGAGATTAGTTAAGAGCGACGTTTTATTGTTTATTATAAACTCCGCGCTACTGACCAATTATGGTAATACCTATCTGCCAAACCAAAGCTGATTAGATGCTTTTTTTTCAGATAAACCTTCAGTGTCCCAGTTTATAATTAGATCCAGTTTAACTAAAAACTATCCAGTCGTTAGCACTCTTTTAGCCTCAATAAAAATGACTCTTCCTGGATATTCCACAAAATGAAATATTAAAACCACCATAACTTTAATTCTACCTCAGTTAGAAAACACCACTTTTAATCATGAAGTACCTACTTATTTTCCTTACAATTTATCAATCAAACGTTAAAGTATGCATACTCTATTTCACCTACATGTTCTTTTCGGCGATAAGATATAACCATCAAATCGGCTTCATAGTCGTTGAAGAACCCTCAGCAGGTATAGGATAAAGGTTTGTATCAAACAATTGCAGGACGCCGTGTATTCGACTCCATTCGTAGCATCGTAAAGGTGGTTGAATGCACATTTGGGTCACACAGCGATTTTCCAGCTTCTAACGAACTACCCAGCCAGTGTTCCTACCCCCATAATAAGTCTAGTAGCAATTTTCAGACACTGGACGGATAGGAGGCACCAGCGACCCTATGTGTACTTCAGGGCATCTTTAAACACAACACATGTGATAGGGACTTAAATCGTAAAAATAGTTCTTAAAGTTATTCAAAGCACAGCATTCGTGAGCCACCTGCTCACACTGTGATTCGACCCTATAGCAAATCAATCACACCATTCACCAATGTTCGGTCGGTTAACTGATAGCAGTTGATGTTTGTCAATAATTAAACATTGAGCTGTCCGTCAGTTCATCCTCAACCTCACCCCAATACTCCTATCGGGCAAACCATAGTGACTGAGAATTTATCAAAGCCGCTTTTCTATAGAAAACCGTTTAGTAAAGCAATAGCTGTCTTTCAATATCAACTCTAGCAAACGATTCATTGTCTTTAGTACCTCCTTCTGTTACCATTATTTAAGAATTCTTAAACAGTTACAATTGACATCGCCCAATACTTTATTTTCTTACACCATTAATAGATAACTTGTTCATATTACTACTATTAAAAAACACTGCTCAACATGTGCACCATACCTTGCCAGTTTGATGGAGGCGTTATGCATCAACGTTCGACGATCATCAGCTGTCTGACCACTAATATCATCCTTACACGGCGGAGCGTCAAGTCGTAAAGCCAATGTATCTCTACGCAGAACTTTTGACGCCAAGCCTCCTGTATGAAAGAATCGACCCATTACAGCAGTTTTTTTAAACTGTATAACTTCATGGCAAAACCCCAGAAACACATTAAACGTAAGGCGTGGCGTAGCGTAGCGTGAAGGATAAAGCGTTTTGCGTTTGTCAACTACGTGGAGATGTGTCACGTCCCCCACTACTTGACTTCATTAGGCATCTTATAGCATATTTACTCTATATAGCCAAGCATATTTACCCTATACAATCACATCCGATGGCTTGTGATGTGTCAAAGTTTGCCGATCCCGAAGGAATGGGAGACATCACTAGCGGAGGATAGGTGATGGAACCAACGAACTTGTATGCGTTACAGGTCAACTCCAAGCAAGGTGCTATAAGCGCCACGAAAGCCGAACCTACATCATGCTATAAGAACCATAATTTGAGTAGATTCGCAAAACTTTTTGCTATCGAGAAGTCCTAATCGCATAACTTTTCGTCATGGTTTTCGATAACAAACAACATTAGTACTCATGTTTATATTTTAGTTTACATAGAAAGTAAACAATGTTTCAGTTGAAAAATACGGGCAGATAACAAAGACTAATGTATTTTGGATCATGAATGAGGTTACACGTCCATATTTTGCATAAAAATGCACTCTAAACATATCATCGTATCGAACCTCCTATGTTTTTTTGTTATAGTTACTTACCCTTACCCAATTTCGTCATAATCGTACGTAATTGAATATATTTCAGAGTGATCCGTGTAGCCCAGTGCTTAAAATTGACTTGCAATACAAACAGGGTCTTAGGTTCTGTCCTCTTTTTCGCGCAAACCAAGTCTTCTTTTCCCTTCGAGATTGACAGGTTGGCACAAGGCTTTTGTCAGAGGATACAAGCAATGACTTGATACATCGACGCAATTCATTGCATAGGCCGAATATGTTTCAACCATCACACCTCTACAGTACTACGAATAGAGTTGATGGCATGGCGGCACATCCCTATCTTACTGACCAACATTGATTGCTTTACTCCGCTGTATTTAATAGGTTATAAATGTCGAATAGATTATTTCCTACATTTTTTAAAAATACCATCTAAACTTCATAAAAGTGATAAGAGACGTTTACCAATGAGCACGTCTTCTTCGTCGTCACTGAATCGCGATGTTGCGCCAGGGACCTGAAGGTAGGTGTCGCTGTCACGATATTCAATCGGATTGTCACTATCACTGTCATCGGTCAAACGTGTTGGTAAGTCACCTCTTAAAGGCAAATATAAACCAACACCAATAACGAAACACACAAGATTTCTAGAATTTGGCTCCTACAAGAGTAATAAATCATTAACATCATTGGGTTCGCACATTAAGTAACTACGAAGACACTATGAAAGCCTCCTCATTGTGACTTCTGTCTTATGCTGTTAGGTCAAAGCTCACACTATTTAGTTTGAGAATCCAACCTTACAAATCCAACTTCGTTTCTTGAGTAACTTGTCTGTTTTCTACGAACATTAAGTCGTGATGGTTGACCAGGTTTTTTCAGTACTGGTTTCTCAGGTCGAGCATCCAAATTTGGCTCCTAAACAGTTACCCTAACATAGAAAAAAGGCAAAAAAAACCTCATGATGTGACTACAAGATGAGCCAACACATTAGTTGTGTAGAAAATTGCTGTAATATGAAAACCTCTTTAAAAAATCGAACCTTCGCTTCAACACCAACGTATCCTTCTAATATACTTGTTTCGCCAGTTTCACTACTGTATGATCCACTCCCACCGCTCGTTCCTGAATACGAATCGATTAATAATAATAATAATAATAATAATAATGCCAATAATAATGATTAAAAAAACTTTATATTGGTACTGGACATAACCGGGGAAAAATCACACTGCAATTCAAGAGCGGAACCCTGTAGCCCAGCAATCTCGGGACTCCAGGGAGAATCAACTTGACGAACACTTAACAACGTTCATGATGAAAGGGAAAAATCATCAAGCAGCAGCAGATGCCACGTGTAAAAACTTGGAAGACGTTTGTGGATGACGGATGCGGGGAAATGAATCGAATGCGAGAACTGCTGGAACCCGAAGAGTAGATGTGAAAAATGGATCGTATAGAAAAATTATATCGCAAAGAAGGCAGATGGATAACTACCTTTTGCTAGTTGAATCGGACCGTTTCACTGTTTATTCATCGATTCTATATGGCAAAATAGCTTTTTGTTTGTTAAAAGGAACAGATGGTCCTACGTTCTCGCATAATGCTCAAATTTTCAAACGAGCTGATAGAACTACTGTAATCGGTAAACCATCGCTTTCTTTGAGACCGGTGAGCATCCTCTTACTTCATGACAGCCGCTGATCAGTGTAGACAGCAGTGAAGACCCGGAACGCTTTGACTCGGGCATGTCAAGAATCCGTACAAACCGTCCAACAGTATCAAAATTTCCATGAGCGACAAGAGCAGATATTCAGAGCAGAGTTATAGCCAGATCCACACCCTTACTTTACCATAGTGTCAGTGGCAAGGCGAACAACAATACGAATGCAATAGGTGATGCAGTCCTGTATGGATCATCTAAATATCTAAGTAAATCATGAATACTGATGAACTCATTCTCTTTGTGACCCACCAGCAAACTCTATGACACGAAGTCAAATATGCCATGCGAAGACGGAATGAAATACGATCTCACTCTTTAACCCGACTATGTAAACAACAGTCTCAGTACACACAAAAGCGCTTCATTTGTCACTTCATAAAAGCAAAGAATACATATTGCATTCAATGAAATTCTTCATTTCTTAGCTCATACAGAGGAGAATTGTCTTTTTGAACTTACTGATATAGTTTTTAAAAATTATCGAAACTCTTACAAAAGTAAACATTACAATCTCCAAACACCTTGCATCAAAAACTCCTAACACTACCATGAATTTTCAATTCTCTTTTCATCATATAGTCAAAGAACTTTTCCAAAAACTCCAATTAAAACTGACGAGAAGAAGTCCTTTGCCAAAGTATCTGCAAACTACTTTGGTATTTTGGGAAGATTTAGTTACAATATTTCCTCATACCGTTTTAGAAAATCGAAAGGAATCTACGAAGTTGCCAGAGTGACTAAAGAAGCTTTCAACGATAGTTTCATGGATTGTAACGTATAACGTATTTTTTCTTGTTCAGTTGAAATCCTAAAACAAGGTTTGGAGAGAAAAGACCGCAAGCATAAATCTTCTCAATGACTGCTTATGAAAAAAAATCAGTATTGCCTGAAACCACTTTCTCACTTAGAATTAAACGAACCCCATATTCCCGTCGTTCATTCTGGTTATCAATCATGACAACACTGCACTATAATTCAGAAATTTTTGATACGAAATGATTCTCATATTATTTCTAGAACACATGTAGCGCAGTGATTAGATGTGCGACACAAACTCAGGTGTTGGTTTGACCTATTGAAAAATTGGTGACAAGTCTCCGTAAGAGGATGAAAACACTGAAGTGATATATGAGCATAATTCCGAGGTCATTGCGTAAGCCAATGACATTCAATAACTCAATAACATTTACAATGCTAGGAATGGATTTCAATGCATAGTGCACCACCAGGGGTTTGATCAACGCTGAACGCTCCATGTCTCATATGAATCGTTTGCACTTTTATATCACTTCTAAATCCTTCACGCTTAAGTGTTTTGCCACAATAGACGTTTCTAGTCGTTGTAATTTATTCTTCCGTATTTAATTCCACTATTATTGTTATTCTATTACTTATCCAATATTTATCATTTAATTTGTTCTCACCACTAGCAAGGCTTTCGCTTTGCACCGGATAGCAATCATTGTTCACTTTCGTCGGAGACAAACAAATAGGCGGCACGTCGTCAACACGGACGTTAGTCACGCCATTCGAATTGACGTCGGGAGGTCTTCAAACACGAAAAATTGCACTCAACATTAGAAAAAAAAAGATCTACGGATTGTTGCTGACTTAGATCCAACCAACCCCTACTACTCACTAAAGCACTACCCCATGAGGAGCACCAACATGATCACCACTACAAATATCTGTATAGGGCTTAAGTAACTAAGGCTTAAAGTTTCAATGTTACCTATAGGAATAATAAATGAATAATACTTAGGATAGCACTAATATCAATACCAGTACTCAGCCTATCAATGAAAAAATGCATCCATTAATAGTTAAGAGGCTTTTTTTCCTAGTGGAAGCGAAATGACTAGTGCTAAAGTTATTTAATGTATAAAAATCATGTGTTAAGTTCTAAAATCACTCTTACAAAGTGCATGAAGAAGAAGAAGTAAGAGCGCTATCCTCGGCACTGATATCGGAACTTTTTGAAGGACCTAGAAAAAAAAAAGAAGAGCTAAGTTTTTCTCAGTACTTCTATTGAAGCTATGTAAGTATGCTAAACTACTAAGAATGCCCAACATTAACAGTCACATATTCCTAACAATTTCCAAATAATTATTGTTTCGCTATGATAAATTTAACTCTATCACGGCTTTCAAAATACCAGTTTTGTAAGAGAAAAAGGCTGAACTAGAAGCAAAAAAGTGCCAAATAAATATCCCAAATTAGCAAAACGATGCGGCACTGCATTGGTAATGATAGCCCGATTTCATTCTTACTGACAAAAAAAGACTGTATAATAAATGTTGCAGTGAATTCCACTGGACCGAAAAAAATCGCATCAGGCATTTATATGTCCGCTCTTCAAATTTAGTTCTGCATAGGTTTTTCGACGAAAAAACTGCTTATTTACGGATTTGTCCCGGTTGAACAATGATTTGTAGGTCAATTAGATTTCGGACGAATGAGCAGATTAGGGCGTTGTCCAATAATAACGAATTTTTAACGAACCATTGACCGCGCTAACGCGAAATTCATCGGGAACCATGATGGATCTCGTTGCATCATGAAAATTCGGCAACGACGGTGACGGAGGACAACAGGCCAGACGACTCGGTGTAAGTTTTCGCGATCGTTCACTTCCCGTTCTGAACATGGATGGACGGTTAATGTAGGAAAATAGATCATTGATGAAAACTCTAAAGCCATGAAAATTTTCAATTCTTAAAAAATTACTTTCAATAAACCTCGACACTAATCAACAAGTCTATGTGTTCTCGATGAGCAAACTGACACGAGGCTGTTGACAGAATAGATTTATTCTACAACGACTAATATTTTGGTGGATTTCGTATTCTTTAGAGGATGGAAAGAATCATTGTAAACTTGACCTCAACTCACGTATTTCCACAACCCTAACAGAAAACAACTGAAGACTAAGCTAGGTGAATACCGTGTCAATGTGACTCCTTCCAGACTTCGCAGAAGAAGGAATTCTGATGGTCTTTCTATTCATCAGAGAGATGAAGCAGTGAATTCCGTGAATTTTTTGAAGTTTCACAAGATAACCCTTGATGTTCGGGGAATTTCATTATTAGTGCCATTTATTTATCCATATTTATCCCACTATCATAGCCGTAATTGACATCCATTAGTAATTCGAGCATTGATAGATGACCACGGGCTTCGATTACATAAAGACAAGCCAAGGAAAAGCCATATGGGGGTGTGAATGGTGCCAAATTTAACCAAAGGGAACAATAACACCACAAAATGAACGACCACCACTACCACCACCATCACCACTGAACCATAACTGACGATTCACTTTGCACTATAGAGCACTATAGATGACGATAATTAATTCAGTTTTATTCATATCTATTCAGTACGACTGTCAACACTTACTGCTACCTTTGCACTTTTCGCCTTAAATGTCGCCATTTCCACGGTCGAATCAGACGAAGCCAAAATTTGCTCGAACGAAACGGGATTGTTCGTCGACTACGCAACCCGCTGAAATGAAGCACAAATTCTATCAATACAACAGCAAACGACAGCGAAACAATAGGTTTTGTACTTGAAGATTAAACATCAGATTTCCTTCAACAGTCAACATTTTGAAATTTTACGTGAATGACTTAAATAAAAAGGCACTAACATTTTGACTTTGAATCCCGTTAGAGTTATTAGGCGTCGCCATTCTGTGATTCATAGAATGTCACGATGTCATTTTGGGGGGGGGGGGGCAGTTAAGGTAATATTTTGTATGAACAGGGAGTTGTTATCATGTTACCATCAGTTTCTTCTGTAGTACATCGTCACTTTCAATGGCTTGTTATCTCAGATTCGGTACGAAAAAGAAAGGAAATATCACCAGAACTAAGGTGAACCCTTCTTCCACTTATATTCAATTAATTTTTCACTTCATTAGAAAAAAATGAGAAAAAACAACGTTCTCCATAAAGGAGAGTTCCCTTTGTCGAAAAAAATTCTCCGCTTTCAGTGAGCCTCTGAAAAACAGACCTCTACTGTTCTCGCAGTTCGCAACACTTGCTAAGTTCTCGTGGAGGTCCATTCGGTGGTTTCTGCTCTCTCAACACAATTTACAATATTTCAAAACCGACTTTTCTTTAACCTTGGCATTACTAATCAACATGTATTCTTTCTCTGATGAGCTCACATGAGGTTAATACATAATTTTTATTCAGCTAACGTCTCCACGTCTTCGTCTTCATCAGAGGCGATGATCCGAGTAAAAACTATTTATCAACATCGTGTAAGCTTATCAACGAAAGAATGTAATTTACAATAGTAAAGCAAGATTTTAAAATTAGATATAACTGTAGTAAATATTACTTACGAAAGTGGAACTAATGCTATTTCAGTAAACACCAAATCATCAAATATAACATCGCTTCTATTAGGACTTCATACTTGCCCAAGTTTGTTACTTGTTTACTTATATGCTCAGTTTAATACTTCTGATAGATTTATACAGATTTACATGAGTGCCAAACTTTCCTATACCACATTCGAAGCATTTATTCATTGCTGTTTGGATGGTGTGCGGAGCACTTCCTCGATACGAAGATATTTACAAGATCCGCCTTCGATGCGCTTTGTGCTCGGCAAGTCTCTAACGTAAAACGAGGGGACTTTCAGAAAAGAAGAATTGCTATTCCCGGAAAACTGAGGATTCTTTTTAGCGTGAAATTACTGGACGAGAAGATTCTACGATGAACAGGTTCTAAACCGAATATGAACTCAGATAAACTCAATGAAAGCTGAAGTTCTGAAAATGCATCATTTAGTAATTCTTCAAGAGCGTTAGAGCCGTCGAGTTTGCTTTTGTAGGTGGGAGACAGCTAGGTGAACTTTCAGGATGACATTACGGTATTCGCAATATGTTCAATCACAGGACAGCCAAATGCTGTTCAATATCGATCCCGGGGAACAAAAGTGTCGATGTACTGTATTCGAATTGGACTTAGTAAATGCTGAAACTTTGAGGTAAACACTACATAACACGTGAAGATTCCACCGGCCTTGAATTACACATAAAGATATAGCCATCTGAGAACTCACATACATCATGAATATGTGAACAATCCTATCTTCCAATAACTCAGAAGAACGAACTTCTATAAACCTTGGAATTAATGGTTAAAAGGATAAAGGATAAAGCTCTCGGCGCTGATCAATCGCTGAGTGATGCGCCATGCATTCGACTTCATTAAGCATCGATGGAGGTGATTGAGCGCATATCTGGCCTTTACAATGACTCGCTGTAGCCTACCGATGTATCGAGCCAATGCTGCTACCCTTCCAGAAGAATATGGTACCAATTTGCCGATTCCGGAGGGATTGATAGCTTGGTAAGGTCAACGTTTCGGCGACCACTTTGCATCTGCTGGCGGCTTGTCTCAGACTGATGTTTTGATTTGGCTGGTTTTAATTCGTCATTCCATGTAACAACACAGGGATATTCCCTCACCTGACAAAACGATAAATAGTTTTTAAACGAAGGCATTCGTCTATATAAAAGAGATCAACAGCAGTAATAAATAACGCGCCGACTTATATGGACAGCATTACATGAAACAACTCCAAAATCTGAAGAAAACGAAGTCTCCGAAACGGCAGTCATTAAATCACAGCAACAGTAACAACAGATTGAAACCTCGCGTTCACTCAACAACAGAAGCTCATAAAAATTACATATATTAATCACACTTTCGTGAACAATCATAAAAACCGCACATTTTCCATTTCACTGCCATGTTTCTGGCAGGTTGCAGAGATGCGTCCGAGTAGTGGTAAGAGGTGTTCACTAGTCAAAATAAACAAAGACCCCTAATTTTTTGGAGCCAGGAAATTGACGCTAGACTTCTCTGGGAGAACAAAAACACTAACTTGATATATCGGCAGGCCAAGTCACTGTTTAGGCAAAATATGCATTCAATCACTTCTCTGACGTTTAACAGAAACGAATACACGGCAATCCAAATGCAGAAAGAATCTAGAAAACTCGTGCCAGGATATTCCTGTGTTATCACTACCAAAATTAGTTGCTAATCGTCGTTATAGATTGAATGGAGGTTCGTGTTCGTCACATTTGTGATGAAGCATTTCCAGGACGACATCGATGAATAGCATGCTTTTACTTTGGCTGAACTTTAGAATCCAAATGTCAACATCCTCTCAGCTCGGATGACAGTATTGGGGTGTAACTTTAATGATGCTGAGATATTTGCAAAACTCCGGACCACAGGTGTCTGCGGTGGGGAACGAACGCGCTATTGTCCTTTCCGGGGAGTAACGTAAGTATTAGGATAACTCATCCATCTGGCTGTTCGACGGAGACAAGTGAATTCCAACTAACTGCAACTAATCAACGCTCTGACGTACATACTAACCAGAAGGGATAAATGTGGGGAGGTTGTAGCTGTTAAAAAAAGAACTTATCGACGACGACTGCCCTAAAGCCAAGCTACTGAAAAATCAGCTGTATTGTAGCTGCGCTATAGTCAGAAAGCAGTCTTACTGTTAGTAAAGAGGAAGATAGACTCATTGTCTTAGAATTCACTTTTGCTCAGAAAACCACACTCACTTTTCTCCGTTGGGATAATTCGTACAGGAATCCACCCTCATCCAAACATCTTCAGGATATTTCAAACCTAAAACACTAGTGATAAGTGCAGAACTTGTCAATATGGAAATCAGTTGGACTGAAAGATAAATAGTTTGATACGGAACAGTCACATCGAGCAAATAACTTTATGTAGGATATCGACTGAAAACACTTCATTCCAGTTCTTCTTTCAGCTCAGAGTACCGTCGTAGTTATTTGGTACTATAGAAGCTCTACCGTTTAAATGCATAAGAGTAATGGCAAGTATTCAAACAAGAACAGTAGCTGAATAAAACTGAAGTATTTCAGAGACGAGATATTTTTAGAAATTCATAGATACGATAGCTTTCAATCAAGCTTTTCATTCTAGACAAAAGAAAAACCCCAACAAAAGAAACAATTCATTTCCATAAAACGGAATATAGACAAACGTATGCTTACAAGCCAGGAAAGATTGCATGACACTGCAGTCCCAGAAGCAATCCCAGGGAATTCTTCCAAGGAAAAACATTGAAGACGGTTAAACGATGTCTCCTATGTTTCTTATGAAAACATTATGAATTCATGTTTCACGCAAAACCTAGCCGCCCTGTTAATTAAAGTCTTATCTACCAAGGGAAACCGAATTGAAACAATGATGGTATGAAGAAAAAACAGGAAGTTCGAGCTTTCTTCAGAAGTCCACAAACCTGGATATCTATATCTATACCTAGACGAGACAGATCTTCATAAACGTATTAGAAGCCTTGGAAGCAGGCGAGTAACACGTATAAAGACTCTCGGCAGACTTCTATATCATAGTTCCAACAATAACAAATCGCCAAACCGACAACGAACGATGATGGTGCCTTGATTTCAATGATAAGGACTAATTCAAGCAGAAAGTCTGAATCCTTACAAAAAAAATCTGAAGCGCTTTCGATGATATCCAAACTTCCAAAGTTGTATAGTCTTGTCTATAGCATCCTGTGCCTTTAATCTTGATGTTCACAAACTATAAGCCGATCTTTGACACTGCATTACTTCACGCTGTTCTGTCATCACTCGTTGATTAACACGTGGATTATTACCTTATACGAGCATTCTCTAGCTTCATCTATCACTCCACCACATCTAATCGTTTTTATCGAACTCTCGCAATTCCATAATAGTAGGGACAGAGATTCGCTAAGGTGATATTATCTCATCAAGACGTCTCACGCCACTCTGATGGCGAATGATGAAACTAATCGTGCGAAAAGATGAAGAGAATCATTCTTCTGGGGAAGGGAAACTTATCACTGGTGAAGATGTTTTAGGAGTATGAAACAGAAATTGTAGATAAGTTAATGAATAGAGAAAGATGAATGGCAACTAGACTACAACGTCTTAAACGTTCAGTGAGCAATTCTCGACAGATTGAAACTGAAAGAGATGGAGCAATTGCCTTTAAAAGCCTAAGAGAAAGACGTTATGAATCGACAAAAGTACCCGAAGTCTCGTATTCACAAGTTTGAATCAACGGTTATTCCAACTTTCCTGCTATATCAAAAGTTAAATATTTGTATGATGTACACAATTCTTGAAGATCACTTTAAGAAATAGATTTCAGAAACGAGAACAGCTAGCATCTCGTAATATGGAGTGCTTCAAAGAGTGTATAAAGCCTATAGTAATAGCCAGAGGCGATGACACAAACTAACCAAAAGAAGCTGGATGGGATAAAGCACAGTCATATTGATCACTAGAAGAAGAAAAGCGATAGCACGACCATTATTTATACGATACGCCGATCCACGCTTCATAAACTACGGGATTTCGAGGGACATCAGCATTATGCAACAATTTTCCTTTATATTTGTACGCCATGGCATACGGCTTCGGCGTTTTCAAATAAAGACATCCTCGAACTGATAAAAAGAAAGGAAAAGCTTTCGGCTCACACAAGGTCTGTGAAGCAAAGGACCACATGAGCATTTAAACTAGTGGTGTGGTGGCCTCGCAAGTTTTTGAAGAGATTCAAAATAGCGGTACGATATGTCGACAAAACTAGTCCCAGAATCGTCTGAACACATGTATTTTTCGAGCGAGTTCAAATTGGATTCACATTCCATGCATACACAAAGAATTATTCTTCGCCAACAACTAATTCTTTGAAATATCTCAAAAAAAGCGCGTGTCGCAGGCGCCCTGAAACACACACGTGGAATCGATCCCCCTCCCTTGGTCCACTAATCCTTTCATATCTTTGGAGTCGGTGAATTGGTACCAGACTTGTCTAGGAAGATAGCAGCACTGGCTCGATACATCGCTAGGACACCGCGGGTTATTGTAAAGGCCAGATATGGATTCATTCACCTATAAACGATGCTTAATGAAGTTGAATTCATGGTGCATCCCTCAGAGAATGATCAACGCCGAGAACTTCATCCTTTTTCTCAAAAATATAAAAACTTTGTACTTTATGGTAGTGCTTTTTAGAAAACTGTTAGATACCTAGTAGCAAAATACGACAAAAAGTATTTGAATAAAGTCTAAACGATATAGAAACTAATCCTCACTGTTTTACTCAACTGATGTTTAGGTCAAACACAAGTACAACAACCAATACGTACCTTAAAAATAAAGTATTTAATCCTGATTAATCCTTTAAGGAAGTACAATACATTCAACTTCATCCGCATCACTGTAGAAGTGATTCAATGCAAACATGGCCCATGTGGAGGACCATCGATCTATGAAGTGAGTGTTGGTACTCACCCAAGAAAGCTGGTAATAAATTGAAGACCACAGGGAGATCGATAACTTAACTCTCAGAGCCATCAGTAGCGAATCAACGATCATCGGTGCATTGAATAGCACCTTTACCCGCTGCGCTATATGCGCCCCGTAATATATTACGTATAGAGACGTTAAGCCAGATGCCAGCCATGTCGAGTAATACATTAACAACGACTTATTAGATGTAGAGGGTCGCCTTGATGGCTGGCTCTATCGGAACACAAAGTGAAGGATGTTGATGAGCTCCGATGAAATTACATTATTCTTTTATCGACAGATCAAGAATTGGCGCTCAGCTAAAGTAAAGAACGAAGCACTTTCAAAAGGAACAAGAAAAGTAAAGGAAGTTGTTTCGAAAAGAGAAATATTGAAAAGAAACATAAAAAGAAGGTTCGCTTCGAAAAGAAGAATGATGAAACAAAGAAGAAAAACAAAGTGCAAAACATGCAATGTTTCAATAGTCTATCATAACTTCAACATAACCTTAAGGTCAAGTGTCCTACAGAGCTTCGCTCCCAGTGTAACCCTATGAACCGTTGATGAATATTTGATGAGTGGCTCTGTGGAGTTCACCTATTGTCAACATCATCCGTGAATACCGACCAATTCCTTGAGAAATCCACATTTTAATATCAAATTATCGATGTCCATCATGCTCGAATAAAACTATCACCATGGACGACAATTGCAAGGGAAAGAAACGAATGGCAAATGTGCTGGGGTCCGCACAATTCGTGAAGACGAACCATCCAATTATCCAGGTATACAAGTGTCCAAGTATTTATCGATGTCTTTCCTAATTTATAACATTAAAGCAATGCTTTAGTATCAAGTTTGCTAGCAACTTACAAATGAACACACAAGGTGTGTTAGACCCCAATTGGAATGAACAACGAGAATATGGTTATGATGCAACCGCTATCTAACGACTCCTAAGTGAATATGTTCTGTTCGGAACTGCCTCACAGGGAAATACATGCCTTCTAATAGTGATACCGAGCATTATAAATAATAATCCAAAGCCTAACGATAACCATGAAGTGACCAACCGGACTCCAAATGAAAACTGATAGTATTTAGAAATTTGCAGAACTGAAGCTTGATAGCAGATGCAACATAACTAAACAGTCGGTGGAAAATAAAAAAGGTTTGCTGCCTGTGGTTTGCTGGCCTCGTTCATAAACCAAAGGCAAGATTTCCTTCCAGTCGTTCATCAAATGTGCTCATCACGAATCACCGTTACCTGACGCCATGAACAGGTTAATCCTCGGGCTATGTAGGACGTCTAAGTGGTAGAAAACGAGCCAAATATGGAGCGAAAACGATATAACTTGCACTAAGACGAAGAAATATTCAGAAGGTGAGGATTCAACTATGCTTCTAGTACACAGAACAACGCGTCCAAATAAATGTGATGCATGGTAAGAAGTCTAAAAATCAAAACTAGGGAGGAAATAAGAGGCGGTAAAGTGTTGACTCTAGCAAATAAGCACCACGGATATTCCGGAAGAGCAAGACCAGCCACAACTTAGTATATCGAGACCACATATGGCAAAATGCGACAAGCACCCATTGGGTGTTCCTTCACTGAAAATGGTAGGAAAGAAAACCCTCACATGAAGAATGAGATGCTCTTCATTCTCCCAAGTAAGCGGAGTCCAGCAGACAGTTTTGGACGTTGAGAGGATAAATGGAAATCTATTGGTGCTAACGAACCAGACAATGATTAACGAAATAGCTGTGATGCAACGCCGGATCTTTTAACCAATACATATACACATAAACACAGAAATCTTAAATCCAAATAATCGGATACCGTATTGTTTGTGTATTCAGCTTAAGCACTTCAAAGAGAGGAGGAAATATGAAAGACTGGAGAGTGAAGTATTCTTACTACCGAGTGATAAAGTTTGACAGACATTTGTGCTTTCGAACTGAATTCTAAGACGAGGAGTGAATATCGAGTGTTTATATATATACATATACATATATTTAGATACATATATACATGTATATATATATATGAGATGCGTATATACATGTATATATATTATATATATAAATGTATATACACATATGGGAGAAAATGACGTTAAAAATACACATCAACCGCCCACGTCCATCGCAAAATCACAATTTTCAAAGAACTTTGCGATTTTAGAAACAGTCAAAAGATTGAAATGGTGTAAAAGCGATGATGACAAAGAAAACTCTTCTCTTTTAAGGTTTACAGAGTTCTATTGTTAATGAAACATCATGCTAGTCATCACGATAGAAGAACGGCAGCGAATTCTCCAGTGGTTCGGAAAACAATGTGTTTTTACCGCCGAAAGAGAA